GTCAAAACTAAGTCGAAACCAACCAACAAGAACCGGCAAGAAACGCGGCATGGGCCGCTTTTCTCTCCCCGCTTTATTTCATACAGAGGTGTCAAAATTGAGGAATGACGTCACTTTCCATCACAATATTAGAAAATATAAATTAATTCACTCATCAGTCGATTCACATGCCGAGTCATGCAAGCTCCCCAATTAATATTTAACATAATAAAATGGACAAGTCCAGAGCAGACTGCAGCACCTGTTCCCGAGCATGACGCACGGGCCCGCCATCGTTTTGCTCGACCATATTTTAGGGAACTTAACGACCCGGACCGCACGATATCACCGCAGAGATTTCTCCTAACGTCATCTATCTAAGAACACTTTGAGTGCTGAAACAAAACTAACGATACTTCAATTATGTAAATCCGTTCAGCGGACCTGGAGATATGAGGTAATAAAGAATATAACATACATATATAAAAGATACTCGCGAAAAACATAACTCTTCCTTTGCAGTCGGATAATAAATAAAGACGACTGATTATAATAACGTTTTCTTTATTTTTTCCTCAAATCATAATCCTCTTAAGGAAGTTTCGGTTTCAGTTTCGGCCGAACCTCAAACTGTTGCCGAAATTCGTTTCGGTCCTATAAACCAGTTTCGGTCAAACACTACACTGAAGCTAACATGCGACGCTGCTGGGCTGCCTCCCAGTCCAGTTTCAATTTTAGAGAATACGTTAACCCCAAGCGGGAAGAGAATCCTCGACCCCTTTTACGATGAGTACCAGATTTATAATATACTAGCTTTCCGCCAGCGGTTTCCCCCCGCGTGGTCCGCCAGTACCTTACTCATAGATCTAAACTCCCCTCCCGCACGCGCACCACCGCCCCGGTGACGCCCACTACGCAACGGGCCGTGCAGCAGAAATCGTAATATTTTAATGTTGCCATAACTCAAAACCAAACGTCCAATTTTAATCATGCAACGACCAAATATTATCTACATAAACTGTACTTAGTGATGAAATAATGAGTAAAATAAACGCGTTTAAATGTAGTCCAAAAAAAATCAAGATTTTTAAATAAATAAATGGTTGTTGTGCCTCACTCGACATAGATGGGTATAGTGTGACGCGGACTTTTTGTAGATTATAAGATCTACATATAATTAGAACATTTTTTGGTTCTATCTTTTATAGCTTAGGCAACGTACGCAAAATAAGTAACATTTCTGATTTTTTACACGTAGTGTCCGAAAAATCCAAATATCTTACGGAACCCAATTTTTTTCCAAAATAAAATATAGCCCATGTTATTCATGGATAATATAGCTTTCGTAGTTTTCGTAATTTTTGGGCCTATTCATACAAACAAATAAAGTTTTCTTCTTTATAATATTAGTATAGATTATGTGATAAAAGTCGACCACTCGATGTACGTTATATATAACTTGTCATCTAACATAGATCTCACTGGTGAACTTAAAAAAGAAAAACAAAATATGTCTTATCATTTAATCAATTATCGAGTCTATTTAATGTAATATGTACAAAATATAATAATTATCGATCTTTAAATTAATGGTAAAAATAAGTGCTGACAATTACTAATAATCGATTATGAATAAATCGGACAAAAAACCCAAAATTACAATTGAAATTGTTAATCGAAATCAATATCATAAAAGTCAAATTAGTCCAACAATTTATTCATACGACTACAACATCTTCCTGTTCATAACCAAACATTGTATTGTATTTATGCATAAGCAAGCATTGTATTTATCCAAAGATACAAGCTAAACACAAACTATAAGAATAACTTATAAAAAATGTTTTATTCTTTACTATGCTTTACAAAACTTGTACCTCTCGAGAAGCGGGGCCCTAATAATTTATTAAATTTCAATGTTTTACAACACGCCAGGGGCAGGCTGCAGCGATGATTTGAAGTGTCACTCACAATTGAAACAATTTAACGAACGATCCGATCACCCGGCCCCAGTGATCTCATTAATAATACATTCCTCAGCAGGAATCATTGTTAATTCATTGGCCAACTTCAATAAACAAACAAACTTACAGACGTTACTTTACAAAATTACTAATGACTGCTGATACAAAATCAAGAAATAAATCTCTGTATACTAATAGCTACTCGTATCTGTGTGTCGTTGTGATTGCATAAGTAAATAGTAACACTACGCATTTAGTGCTATGCTCATAAAGCACGTGCACACGCACTTTATGTAAAACGGGAGAAGTCGCAAATATATAAAACGAGATGGGATTGAAGGAACATTGACGAGGAAACACGTTATAGTTTATAGTTAGAGGCGTAACACGGATGTCCGAGTTTGATATATTTCTCTATGAGATGTATGCCATATTGTCCGGTACAATATTAGGATGATAGTTATCTAGGGGTCGCTACCGCGTACATAATACCTTATATTTATCTCTCACAGTAACTATGTGATCATCTCTCCCAGGAACAGCACTCAAATACAAAGTACACTCTCTAACGATCCCGTATATAACTATAGTTTGATCTAATATTAATAGCCATGAAACATTAAAGCGACAAATTTAACTGATAGCTTAGTACGTCTACGAAACGTCTACGATAAAGGCAACAATACAATACGGCTTCATTTTTGCTCGAATTGCGATTCTAAATTTCAATTTGCTCCACAATAAAATATAACACCCTTCTTTCTATAATGTGTTACAGAAATATGTATCTCGGTATCGATAGACTGCAACCTCTCAACCGTCAATTTATCTAATTTCAACATGTCGTTAATACAAAAATACAGTACATAAGTATATAGTTTGCTCTCGTTTGCAAAACTAGCTCGAGTCGACGCTTAACTAAATTATGCCGATACAAATCAAATTGTAAACGATTTAAATGTTTCATGAATAAAAATAAAAAAGAAAAAAATGCACAAAAATAACAAGACTACGTACACGCTTGTACTGTAACAAACAACAATCTTAATATTTATTATCGGGATACAGTGGAATCAGTTTTATAATAACAATCAAGTAAAATGACAACACGTCATACTTAGCGGATATCACGGAAACCGTAATGTGTTCTGGGGTCTCCGTTATGTGCATGTACTTATATAGCTCAGTACATATAACAATCAGACTAATAAAAAATTCATCGTTATCCTATCAACGTCCCCGCTGCTGGGCGTGTGCCTTGTCGACGGATGGAATCAATCGAACAGGGCGACTAGACCTAGGCGGGTCGTTGGTAAAATAATACGTACGTACGTACATTACACACACTTAACATTGTTGGAAATATGCAAAGGTGTAGAGGCGGAGTTCTCATTCATGTCGGTCGTTCGCTGTAATGAACCGAACGTGATAGTAAACGACATGCTACGACGAGTACTAGTGGGCATAATAACCTACTATTTATTTCATCGATCATATTAAGCGATTTATTTATAAAGACTGAGACATAACAAACGGAACATACTGTGAGTACTAGATATAAAGTAAAATGGTCACTTTATAATTTTTTGTTCTATTAGTTTCACTGAACTGCATAAGGGCAGATTTTACTAATAATATAATTACAAAAAAATATATAATAAAAATGCTGTTATACGTAATATATATTAGAATGACAAAATTATGTCAAGTAACAAATATATTTATGTATTCTATTACAACATCCTTCATTAAAGTAACACTATATATTATATTAATCCATAAATCAGCTTAATAAAAATTCACAAATACTTTGATTTGTATCGACACATTGTTTACCTCAACAGGTACACGTGCACGCACACTCAAACGAACAATACACTAAACATTCAATTGGGACATATCATGAGCTTCAAGCCGGAGGGGCGTATACGCAAAAAAATTGGATTTCCTTATAATGCCAATCTTTACTAATTTTGTCACCTTTTCTAGTTAATAAGACCATTTTTTTTTCCTCAAATTACTTATAAAGATATCAGTGTAACACTTTAAGTATTATATTCATATCTCTTAAAAAGTAAGGATATTACTTATAGACCCAAATAGCTTGAAGCCCACGATATTTACACACGGGTTGTCAAATTTCTGCAATCGATTTTACCATTCACCTTCAATTAATTAAGGTTTAAAATCGAGTGGAGAAATTTGATAGGTCAGTTGACATACAAAATTGTCAAGTATTAGTGCCTACCTTCATTCCTTACACACACATACGTCATTACAACACCTTTACTATTAAGAATGGAACATGAATAAAATCAATTTCCCATTTAAAATGTTGTTATCGAAAAAGTAATTTGTTACGCGACACTCCACAGCGATAGATGGGCGTTACAGCGCGCCACTCGAATGAGACGCTCACATTCGCTTTACTGTTTTATTTATCTTAACGGATACATAATATTGAATCGTGCGTACACACACACAATGCAGTTCGTACAGTAAATATAGATAATGCCACCACAAATTAATAAATTATGCAGTATTTTAGAACTTCCATTCTTAATACGTAACAGTCATAAGCGACACACATACACACACACAACCATACGCACACACACGCACATTTAGTGACTTCATGTTGTAGAATTTCACCACTGAGTTCATCTCACATTTCTTATCGTCCTATAGATTTAAGTTGTCAGCCGATGGACCGATACAGATGTGTATTCAATTTTGAAAATGTTGACTTTTCCCCTTGCAATGAGCAGGACAATACCGTACAATATGTCATATCGCCACAAAATAAAATAAAGTCTGCAATTTCAAGTCCCGCTTCAATTGATTTATTCTCAGAATGTAACCGAGTACGAAGGAATCGCTTTAGCGATAATATGTGGCGTAAAAATTTAACTCGAGACACGGAGGAAGTCGCCGATGTTTTTCAACGTAAGACAAATCTGGGGAGCCACGCGGGCAACGGAGCATAACAGAAAGTGTACACACACATGTATAGATCCGGTCGCGTGTGTCGGCAACGGGGCGGCGGCGGCGGCGGTATCATTCCTTGTACGTGCACGTGAGGATGTAGAACGGCTCGTCGGCGCGCGCGCCCAGCCTGCTCAGGTACTCGGTGAACGAGGCGGCGCCCGCGTCGCAGTACACCAGGTTGAGGGCGTTGTTCACCGGCGGCAGCGTCACCAGCGCTGCCCCCGCCCCCGCACCCGCCGCCGCCGCCGCGCCCCCTGTACTCCCTGCGCCCCCAGCGCCCCCTGCGCCCCCTGCACTCGCCGCGCCCGCCGCCTCGTCCTCGGGGGCCACGTAGAGCGTGGAGGCGCCCGCTATCCGCCGCTGGGGCACCCCCAGGTACATCACCACCTCCAGCCGCGGCTGCTGGTAGTGCTCGCGCGGCGGCAACAACTGATCGACAGGCACACACATATAGGTACATGTATACGGCCCGTACGAAACCAGAAGGTTCAGAACCCGAAGGACGAAATTTAGTGTAATATCAAACAGATATTGTGTTCTCTGAACAAACACATTTCTCGACAATTTATAATGTAATTGAGGTAAAACCTGGCACCGCCTCCGATGCACAGACAAATGTTAGTATAATTATAAGATCGAATCGAAATTTTCCGGTGTTTCATTTGTGAATAAATATTTATCGAATTACTACCTATTTAACGTTCATACTTGATATAAACTAGAAAATAGCAGCAGTAACGTCATAATTTTATTCGATACCAAATAGTACATAAACAACAACTCTGCCGGGAATCAAACCCGGTACCTCGCCCCCAAGCCCCCCAACTACTACTAAGGTCAGTGTAAAATAGACTTCCTAGATCGTGCGAACACTTAACACCGTGCGATGATACAGTGTATACATACAGTGAACGAGCCCGGCGTCCAGCGCTGCAGCTGCGGCGGCGCGTGGTGCTGCACCTGTATGTCGGTGCACGCGTGCAGCAGCCTGCAGAACGCGCTGGACGCGAGCAGCCGCAGCGCGCCGCGCACCACGTGCTTCTCGTCGCGCTGCGCCCACTGCGCGCGCACCTGCTCGTACCGCCGCTGGTGCAGCGGACCGGACCACTCCCACTCCACGTCTACGTTGTATGACAATGTATAATCATAGCACGTTCATCTCGACCCCACGCCGACGTATTTAGCGATGCCATACGTCCCTAATATTTCTTTAAATTGTTACAATTATTCTTAATGAAAAACACTTGAAAAATCCACTTGGTTTATCATGTAGTTTAAATCTACTATTAAATAAATACTTATTAAAAATAATTATTATAAGGTATCCGATTATACAACAGATAAGAATACTTAGACTTAAGATAGTCCAGCAACTGAATAGGTGATTACTTCTAAACTTATTATATATCAAAAACTATATTGTTTCCATTATTATTACATTTTTATGTTATCATTATAAAACCATAGTTTGTTGTTTCTCCCTATTTATAATGTATTAATGTGGTAATGACATGGTTTTTGTAAATGTCATTACTCCTATTAGTGCTAGTGAATTTCTTGCTCGTTCTTCTTATCAGCCAAAAGGCGGCTTGAACGAGCGGTAGGGAAAAAATGTTGGACGATCAAAAGTACTTTTAAGAAGTTTATTTGAATAAAGATTATTTTGACTTCGACTTTTGATCCCTGGCATCTTGAAATGGGATTCGAACCCATAACCTTTCGCAAGCGTTTTTTATTAAGAATAGCTTTCAGTATATCATTGTGAATGCGAAATTGTACAAATATAAGAATTCTTTCATTTTTTATACATGACTAGATACCAGCAGGGCTTGGAAACCGGTTTATTTTTTTAACCGGTTCGACGTAAGTACATGCGAAACGTTACATAAAAGGTTCAGCTCCTGTGAACCGGTTTTTAAACCGGTTCACTAACCGGTTTAAATATGACTCCAGACAATGATCTCACAAACTTCAGCGCGGTTTTTAAGTGCCTACACTCCTATCTATAACATCCGTACATAGGAATGATAAATGTCGTCGCTTAAAAATCACATAACTCGCATCAAAAGCGTAAGAACATTGCTTTTTACGAACCAAGCGAATTAACCGGTTTTTATTCTATCCGAATTTCACTCCGCATTTAGTTCCGATACATTATACATTATAATAGAACAGGTTTTACCTAAATAAAAACGGTTTATTCTGAACCGGTTTCAAGCCCTGGATACCAGTAACTCTTATACTAGTCGATATGTCGATATATGTTACCTGTTCCGTGCAACGCTTGCAGCAGTTGCTCGTACTTGTCCGGCAGCAGGAAGTCCCTCAGGCAGACCTCGCTGGAGCGCTCCATCTGCGTCTGTATCTGCGCGCGGCTCCGCGGCGACATGTACGTCGACTCCACCCACTCGTTCACTAACACCTGCCGCCACACACACACGACCATGTACAAACATGTCTTTTGGAATACATATTCGCACCCGCAACATTTATGCTAATGTATGACGAATATACATCAGAAAAAATTTAACCTTTTGAAAATAATTTTATTAGATTGAAAAAATGTAACAATATCAAGATCACATATTTCTCGCGGTATTATTTACTGCTAATAAAAAAATATATATTCAGATTTTAAACTCAATAAATATATCCTTAGAAAGCAAAACAAACACTTGGAAGAATATAGATCAAGCCACCTTTATTTTCTAAGATTTGTCATTATTATTTTTGGAATTAAAGCTCGAAAGGATTTGAAAGAAATATCGGTGGAAAATTTATTTGGTAACCTTTAAAATGACGTTAGTTTGATATTATATTATGAACTTTTATGCATTATGAAATTTTCTAACTGTGTGAGAGTTACGGAGGTAAAACATGACAACCATAGTTTATTCTCTTGAGCACAAGTTGAAATTATATTTTTCTTTTGTCATTTTCTTAAAAAGTGTGATTGTGTTTGATTTTATATTTTGAAATTGTCTGTTACCTACTGTGATAAAATGGACACTACACCAACACAACCCTTGCAGGTTGTGCCATTGCTTGCGGCTGATCAAAAGTGTGAAATCGCTCGCAGACTGAATTTAAGTCGCTCAGCGATACAAAAAGTATACAACAGGTTCCAAACTAAAGCGTTAATTTAAAAGTACGAGTAGATAATGTTTAAATAGCTACATAGTAACTGCTGAAAATAATTTACAAAAGTTATAAAAGAGTTTTGGAAATACATAAACAACCACAAGGGGGAAAAGTGTACTTTTATATATACAAATATACAATGCAATTAATTAACAACACACACACGCACACACGCACGCACACATCTTAGCTTACAGAAATTTAATATTTTTATCTAAAAGTCCTGCAAATTGCTACTACGCTGGAACCTTGTCGAAATAGCACCCGCATGACGCTTTCGAAAATAGATAGCACAAAATGCAATAGATTATACCAATTTGTTCGATTTTTTTTTTCCATCTTGTAGATAGGGACATAATCCTATTGCTAAAGAAATTTTAGGGCTTCTGATAAAAAAACAAGTGGTTTTGACAGTTCTTGTGTGATGTTACCCTGATGCTGCCTTAAAAAATCTGAAGAGACCGAATCAGGTGGAAATCTAAAGATGCAAGGTCAGGACTATACGGCGGATGCATTAACACCTCCCATCCAAACTCTCTTAATTTTTGCTGAGTGTCAGTGTCAAGATGTGTGAGGTCCAGCGTTAACATGATGAAAACCACACCCCTTCTATTGATTAATTACGGCCGCTTTCCCACAATTTCTTGCTTTTATCTCATCAGTTGCTCGCAGTAGATTTCAGTCGCAATTGGTCCTGCCTGGCGGTAACAGCTCATAATGAATAATGCCCTTCCAATCCCACCATACACACAGCATCAACTTTTTGCGAATTAACCCGGGTTTCGCCGCAGTCTGTGAAACCTGACCGACCGTTGACCACGATGTGATCGACTTTTCATCACCGGTTACCAGCTTCTTCAAAAATGGTTCAGTTCGATTAAACCAAATTTGTGCTACTCTCACAGAAACTGCCCTAGATTTTTGTTACCCCTGTTTATACTTTATAATAAAAGTTTACCTGAAAAAGTGGTACCACTATTGTGGAAGACAGCAAATCTAAAACCTGTCTGTAAGAATAGTAATAAATATGATGTCATTAATTATCTCACTACTATCGTCCATGGCAAAAAAAACAGAATAATTCATTTACAACAACAATACTCGGAAATTCATAGAATCATTATACCACACCAACATGGTTTTGTAAAAAATCGACCCACAGTTAGCAATCTTTTGACTTATACATTTTTTTTTTATTTGAAAATATGCAATAGATAGATGCAATATACAAAGATTTTTGTAAAGCTTTTTATAAGGTAAATCATTATATTTTACTGTAGAAAATTGCATATAATGGTATATGTGTTATGTTGCTACGTTGGTTCCTCTCCTTTATAAGAAACAGAACTCAGAAAGTAGATATAAAATAGTAGTTATTCATCAAACAGGTTGATCGTACCATCAGGGATAGCTCGGTCCAAGGGCTGCTGCTGTTCGTTTTATATACCAATGTCATAGATAAATGTTTTCTAAAGTCTTAATTTTTGATTATACTATTGCAGATTCAAATGATTGTGTAAATTAAGTCTCAATAAATGTAAATCTATCACTTTTACATAAAAACTGTGGTATAGTGATCAACTAGAAGTAGTTCAACGTATATTCCTTAAAACTGTCAATCATAAGTGTTTCCGCGCAAGGTTCTCCTATTAAGTCTTACTGAGGAAGTTTTCACTGACACCACTCAAAACAAGGGGACTGGTACTAGAACAAACAATACTGTATAACGTTTTTAGAAGTAGGTATTATTGTAATCAACTAACAAACCCCAATGTATTACCTTGTTGCCGCATTCCTAGTAGATCCCAACGAGCATGTGAAAATCACCTCATCACTTGTTCACACCAAAACAATGTAAAACTACTGCAGGAGAACCGTTTTATAAGATCTTATTAAATCCTTGTTAACCCTGTTGATGTTTGAAGTGGTACAGGTGGCTAGAATGCTGAACGATAGATAAGAGACATACTTTAAGATTATGTTGTTTCATAAGCTGGTACTATCGGTGCAAACTTTACGTTTAGTCACGATAATGTGAGACCTCGTAGCGCGCTAATCGTATGGGAGAACTTATCGAAGGTCAGGGTTCAATGAATGAAAAAGTCGGCTTGAATTCCATATATTATAACCCAATCAATCATAAGTACCCATGGGACAAACTTAAGGGGCAGATTCGAGTAAAAGATTCCGCCGTTTCATCTACTGCTGAGCTAAAAGTCGCAATGCCTGAAGAATGAATAAAGACAACAAGAGGCAATAACAGTTAATAAAATAAATCTACCCGATTGTCTTTTTTTATTGATATTTTTACTTTTTCTATTGCACTCATTTCTTTTTTAGACGGTAAACGTAAAAATGGGACATGGCTTGGTTTATCGGATACACTTGGGAGCATAATTATAATGCAATCACAAAAAAACAGAAACAAATGTTATCAATTTTACGTAAGTTTTTAATGTTAGAAGATACTAATATAATCATCAAATTGTATGAAACATAAAAAAATAGAAAAAAGGTCGTCTTTTTAAGCGTCGGGTTAAAAAAACTGAATTTCGCATTCGCGTTGCCGAATGTCGGCAGTAAATGTTCGCATTAGCATCACTTATATATTTAAATATTAATATGGAACCACTTTTTTAGAAAACATTGCAGAGCACAGAAGAAAATTAGTCGAATTATTATCGAACTTAATTTTAAAATTAGTTAATATAGAAAGTATGATCTTACTGGATTGTTATGCGGTGAGATATATACGGGTGGGGGCGGAGGCTGCGGCGGGGGCGTGGGGGGCGCGGGTCCGTGGAACCAACCGTTGATCGACAGCCGAGGCAGCTCCAGCGACAACACCTCCTCCACCTACACAACACATATACATATGTAACATATCGCGCTATGCCACATAAACAAGTCTAATATAGTACCTGTTAAAAATAAAGGTTGAATACCGATACGTCCAGTCATAGAGAAATGATTTTGGTTGCTATGTTATTGTTTTGTTTATTATCTTTGTTTTAAAATTTTCTCTGTCATTAAGGATTATATTATTTTTATTAATAAAATACTTTATACGTTTACTCCACAATCCTTTATTTGCTACATTGTATATTTCCACAAAAACAACAGGTTATGGGCCCAGGCCCTATGTAGTTTTTCAGGAAAGTGGAGTGAATAAAACGTTAGAATCATGCAGAAAGAGTCAGTCATAACAAAACTAAAAGGTCATTCCAACTATGGAACATGGTCATTCGCTATGCAAATGATCCTAGTGGAACATGATTTATGGAATTGCGTAGAGGAAGAAAATATTGTTTTGACAGCAGACAATCAGAAGCGTGATGCTAAAGCACGGGCCAAAATATGCCTGAGCGTTGAGGAGAAAATTTACCCACTAATTGCTGAAGCAAAAAATGCTAAAGAAACTTGGTTAGCATTAAAGAGAGCATATGCGGATGCAGGTTTGGTGCGTCGATTAACATTACTTAGAAAATTGTTCAGCGTGAAACTAGAGAGCTACCCTAGTATGGAAGCGTACGTTACAGATATCCAAGCGACACATCAAGCACTCGTAACGATTAAAGCTGGTTTGGATGATGAATTTCTAAGTATAATAATGTTAGCTGGTTTGACAGATTCGTATAATCCGCTAGTGATGGCTTTGGAACATTCAGGAACAAAAATTTCGTCTGAGACCGTAATCGCCGCAATACTTAAAGAAGGGCAGCGACAAAGTCAACCAACGTATAGTGGGATGAATGAAAACAAGGACGAATCGGTACTAGTGTCGAGTTCTAATGACAAAAAGAAAATACAAAAACCTATAATTTGTTATTGTTGTAAAAAGAAAGGGCATTATAAGTCTCAATGTAAAAAATTGAAAAATAATATTGATGTTCAGCCGAAATCTTGTCTTGCGAATGACAACTCTGAGGAGTTTGTAACCTTTTTAACTAGTAATTATGAAAGTAATGATAGATGGGTTATAGATTCTGGTGCTACGTCCCACATGACATCAAATGAACACATTTTGAAACCAGAAAAATCTTGTGCAAAATTTATTACCTGTGCAAATAAAGACAAAATTGTTTCAAACAAACAAGGAACTGTTGATTTGAAGATTAATCACGAGGGACGTACCACAGATGTGAAAATGAGTAATGTATTGCTTATCCCTGAGTTATTAACTAATTTGATTTCAGTAAGCAAGATTGCTGAAAGTGGTAAGGTTATTATTTTTGATAAAAAGTGTTGTAAAGTTTTTAATGATACTGTTAATGTTATAGGTAAACCTCTTTTTACAGCACCACGCAAAAACGGGTTATATGTATTAGGTCCGGATAATAACAAGTTTGCGACAGTTCTTTTAGGTGATAGCAGTCGTAGTCAGGATGACTATGAGTTGTGGCACAGGAGGTTAGGTCATTTATCTTATCCTCAGATGAACAAACTAAAAGGTATGATTAAGGATATTAATTTTGGGAAGGTTGATAACAAAGTTCATTGTGTGGCCTGCAGCCAGGGAAAGCAGTGTGCAAAGAAATTTCCACATCGAAAGAAATGTAAGCGAGCAAACGATTTGCTTGAACTAGTACATAGTGATGTTGCCGGTCCAATTGAAACAGAGTCATGGGGAGGTGCAAAATATTTTCTGATCTTTGTTGACGACTACAGTAGAAAAGTTTTCTGTTATATGTTGACATCGAAGAAAGAAGTATTCAAATGTTTTCGTGATTTTAAAGCTTTTGTGGAAAATCAAACTTCAAAGAAAATTAAAAAATTTAGATCTGATAATGGTACAGAGTATACCAATAAGGAATTTCAATCTTTTTTAAAGAAATATGGAATTCAGCATCAGACATCTGTTCCACATACTCCAGCTCAAAACGGAGTAGCTGAGAGGACTATTAGGACGATCACAGAGAAAGCACGTTGTATGCTTCATGACAGTGGTCTAAATAAAAAGTTCTGGGGTGAAGCTGTCAACACAGCCGTTTATTTGAAAAATCGATCCCCAACAATGGCTTTAAAAGACAAGGTTCCTGAAGAGGTGTGGTTAGGTCAACAAGTAGATTTATCGTATCTGAAAGTTTTTGGATCTATTGCACAAGTCCTAGTGAAGGATGGCAGTAGAAAGAAGTTTGATGCCAAGACTCGCAAATTAATTTTTACGGGATACAGTGAAGCACAGAAAGCCTACAGATTTATTGATTTAAATAATCCAAAAAGGATTATCATCGGTCGAGATGCAGTCTTTAATGAAAAGTTACAAAATCCCTCGGTCAGTGATCTCAAACCTGAGGAAGTTATCAAGCAGCCTACATCTGATAAATGTACAAAAGAAGTTTCTCAAGCCGAGAAAGAAGTTGCCCAAGGAGGACTTTATTGGGATTATCGCGAAGAGGACAGAGTGTCTTCTGCTACCAACGTCTGTGATGATGAAGTCGGAGAGGTAATAAGATCAGAAACAGAAAGTCAAGGCGTAAGTAATATACGGTCCGATACTTTTGAAGCTCAAGACGAAATGAGTAGTCAACAAGATTCTGAAATAGAAGAAACTAGTGAAGTTTCGCCAAATAGAAGATATCCCTTACGAATACGTACTCCAAAGAGATATGATGATATGGAATACAATTTTCTAGTCTCAACTAATGGAGATCCTGTTTCTGTAAAGGATGCAATGAAGCGCTCAGATAAGACGCTGTGGAGGAAAGCAATGGAAGAAGAATATAATTCCCTTATAGAGAATGGCACTTGGAATTTAGTTGACCGTCCTTGTGGGACTAATGTGGTTAAATGTAAGTGGTTATTTAAACTCAAAATAGGAGCGGATGGTGTAGTTCAGCGACATAAGGCGAGATTAGTTGCCAAGGGTTATTCCCAAAAATGGGGAGAAGATTATTTCGAAACCTTTGCACCAGTAGTCAAGCTTTCGTCAATCAGGATGTTGTTTGCTTTATCTGTTGAGAAAGACCTCAAGGTACATCATATTGATGTTACTACAGCCTTCTTAAATGGTGACCTCGAGGAAGATCTTTACATGGAGCAACCAGAAACCTTTGTAAAGAAGGGAAATGAGCAAAAGGTATGTAAGCTCAAGAAAGCCATATATGGATTGAAACAAGCAGCTCGATGCTGGAATGTCAAAGTAGATGCTCACATTGTTAAGTTCGGCTTCAAGAGGTCAAATTATGATTCTTGTGTATATATTAAAAGAAGTAAGAATAATTTTACAGCTATTGCTCTGTACGTAGACGATTTTTATATTTTTGGCAGTTCACAACAAGTTGTTGATCAAGTTAAGGATCACATAAGATTAGGTTTCAAGATTAAGGATTTGGGTGAGGCTAAAGAATGTCTGGGTATGCAAATCACGAAATCAGAAAACTTGAAAGAAATTCATTTGAATCAGACTAATTTTGCTAAAAAGATATTAGAACGATTTGGTATGGAAGATTGCAAACCTGTTGCGACACCATTGGCAATGAATTTGAAGTTAGAAAAGGGTGACATAAATCATGATCCCAGCTATCAAGAAATCATTGGGTCCTTGATGTATCTTGCTTTGGGTACAAGACCAGATATTGCTTTTGTTGTAAGTTATCTCAGTCAATTCAACAACTTCTGGAACACAACTCATATGTCAGCATTAAAACGTGTTTTACGGTACGTCAAAGGCACAATGAATAATGTTTTAATATATAAGAAAACTGGAAAACCGTTATGTGCTTTTTGTGATGCAGATTGGGGTAAAAATGAAGATGGTCATTCGTTTACGGGATATATGCTTGTTTTAGGTGGCGCTGTAATAGCATGGCAGGCACGTAAACAGCGATGCGTTGCATTAAGCTCAGCAGAAGCTGAGTATATCGCTGCTTGCGAGGCTGCTAAACATATTATATCTGTGAAAGGTTTATATGAAGAATTAACTGGTGTTAAAGTGTCAGTAGAATTGTTTAGTGATAGTCAAAGTGCTGCAAAATTGATTTATTCTAATGCTGTAGGTAGAAGATCGAAACACATTAACATCAAATACCATTATGTGAGAGAACTAGCGGAATCTAAAGAGATTTTCATCACTTATTTGGAAACTAATTCCATGCCAGCTGATGCTCTCACAAAAGGTCTGCCAAGACCAAAGTTTGAGTACTGTTTAAGACGTATGGGTATTCAGGGGGCGTGTTAAAAATGAAGGTTGAATACCGATACGTCCAGTCATAGAGAAATGATTTTGGTTGCTATGTTATTGTTTTGTTTATTATCTTTGTTTTAAAATTTTCTCTGTCATTAAGGATTATATTATTTTTATTAATAAAATACTTTATACGTTTACTCCACAATCCTTTATTTGCTACATTGTATATTTCCACAAAAACAACAGTACCGTTACCGTACCATTTCATACACGAGTGTTTTGTTCATTACCAGCTGTCTAGCTTTTCCAATTATGTGTATTTATTAAGTGGCATTTATTAAGACCATTACTGGCAATAATCCCATGTGCTTTATATAATCGTCCGTTTCATTTGCCCCCTCGCATATCCAACAGCATAAGTGAGATGGATACCCAATAGTTGTTTTTTGTACTTTACGGTAATATAATATGCACTGTAGTAGTTAGATCTATTCTGCGCAAACGAACACGCACCATGGACTACGTTAGTCATAACTCACTGTATATACATTTCAGCCATACCTTTTTATCATACAGATGAATGTGATTTATCATTATATTTATGTGTATCGTTGCTTAAGTATTATATCTATATTCTTATACTCATAATTATTTTAGATGAAAAGATATTACGTTGCGTTCTAATACTGATAGGGAGTAGTAGAATTCTTTACACAAATTTAAATATAGTGTTGTCACCTGGTGGTACGAGTCGGTGTGGACCTTGAAGAAGGCGAGCCTGTTGTTGGCGGGCAGTAGGCGGCGCGCCACGTGCGTGGGCCCCGCCTCCCCGCGCGCGAGCAACTCCAGCGCCCCGCCCATGTGCGCGCCCCACCCGCACTCCTGCGTACACGCACGCTCCATATCATATATATACATCGCAGGCCAGTCATTACCGTGGGCACATTACATACATTTCCTAATTCGCCATTATCTCTAACTATATCGATACTATCTCTAAGTAAAATATGCAAAGCATTCAATTCCGTGACTCATCGGCGATAGCGGGACGCGCTCGCTCGACGAGTATTTTAAATTATAGTCGAAAATCTAACCTAACCTAAACAAACCCAATTATGTTCAATTTAAGTAATCATCAAGCAATGCATTTTGACACGTATGTTTTTTGTTATAAAAATATTAGATTTTCAAATATTTTGATGTCATAAAAGTTATTTCCAAAAGTATTATAAAATGGTAACATAAAGTCTGCCATTATCTATTTGAAACATAAACATGGCTACCAATATTGGGCACATTAAAAGTGAAAATACAGGCTTATGTTATATGTTCAGAAAATATGAACCATTTTAAATTATAAATATTTTACAAATAAATATAAATTTAAACATAGCAAACTATCTCCAAAACTATTAATCGCAGAAATACTGTTACTTCCACATTATTTCTGAGATTATTTATATAATTAAAAATTTATCAACTAGCCTATTATGATCTACCCAGTACCTAGGCAGTTCTTGATTGCCTATTTAAATAATTGGCCTACAGCATCTATACATAGTATAAAACAAAATTGCTTCCTTATTTCTGTACTCTGAGATCTTTTAAACTTAACAACATTATTTAAACATTACTGTATGGGATGTCGTGGGCGCTTTTCTATCTAAATAGCTACATTGGTTATGCAGCTGACGACAATGTAGACATTGACCTGTTTATGGTTGTCGCCACTGCCGTTCTCTATGCCAGCAGTTCCAGCGGGAGGGCTAATCGCCCAGGGTGCCAAATACAAGATGAAGGCAACGCGACGATCCGCCAACAGGTCATCGTGCACCAGCAGGTGGTCGCCTGGACCATACAGGGAACATGACGCCGACACTGATGTCAGCTCTATGCCGGTCACCTCTGAGACCTGCCACCGATACAAACAATTGAGGTAATTGTAGCAGCCAAATGTAAGTCATGAAATTAAAAAAAAAATAAAGTTAACATTAATTACAGTCCTCCTTTTCTGAAAACATTGATACGACGTATAAAATCTTACCCAGCTCATAACTTCAGTCTTTAAAAGTTCATATATTCCTCTAATGCTACGTTGCCATGTAAGATTAGCCAAATCTGTAGTTTGGTGAAACTGATACAGATCCATCTTCTTGCGTTCCCAGTCTAAGGTGTTCATGTCATCAACTATGTTATTAATGATCTCAGGGTTGGCTAGAAAGTTATTCAGTAGGCAAACACGGAACGGGTCACATGTCAATGTAATCTCATTGTTTGTGAAATCTTTGAAATCTTTCCAATTTGCCGCTAAACTGTCTTTAGTTTCTTGTACCTAAAATATTAAATTACTTCATTAAATCACCTCTTTGGTAATGGAACAGATGATATCCATTTACTATTTTCCTCATACCTTGATTGCTGGATTCAGTTTGGGATCATCCATGCGATTCGCTCTGGGATTCAGTTGTGCTACGATTGGTTTAATTTCTACTTTATTGTCATCCACAACTATTGAATCATCTTCCCATGGAGACTCTGAATCAGAGCTATAGTCTGACGAGGAAGATGATGATGAGGAATAATCTGCAACAGAATACTTCATTGGGCTACAGGCATTCAATAGTCTAATCCATTCATATATCTGGTACACTCTAAAGGACACTTACATCAACATCATCAAAAATTTATATCTCAAGGGCAAGAGTCGTAGAAAATTGGAATTATGTGGTGATCCTTTGTCTATAAACAGGGGAGTTAGGCAAGGAGATCCATTGTCACCTAAACTGTTCATTGCCATGATGGAGAATACTTTTAGAAAATTAGATTGGGACAACAATTGAGATAACATAATATAAACATAAATAGTAGCCGTCTAAATCATTTACAGTTTGCTGATGATATTGTCCAGCTAGAAGAAAACTTACTAGCTTCATATCATGGTGGTAACCCTAGTCAACAAAAGTAAAGAAGTTGGACTTGAAGTAAATACAAATAAAACTAAAGTAAATGACAAACAGCATGGAGGTTGATATTGTACTGAAATGCAATACCTTAAGTTATGTTCAAGATTATGTTTATCTAAGCCAAATAATATCTCCAAAAGACCTCATGTCCAGAGAAGTTGACAGGAGGATAGCCAATGGCTGGAAGAAATATAGGGCATTAAAGAAATTATGAAAAATAAAACAATAAACATACATATAAAAAAACAAAGACATTCAATACTATATATGTATTCTTCCATGTTTAAATTATGTTTATGTTATGAGAGACTGGTCCCTTACAGACAACAACTGGCAAGGAGTCAACGAGCTTAGATCTAAATTGGTTGATATACTTAAACGCATTGGTTATCTAAAATAGGGATGAACAAGACACATGCTACGCAGTCCAATAGAAAAGTGGAGTAAGCATATCACTTTGTGGTATCCAAAAGACTGTATTAGAAAACAAGGATGCCCATTCAGAAGGTGAGATGACAAAATCTGCCAGACTCTGGGACCATACTAGACAAGAGTAGCCTCAGAAAGGTACTACTGGAAGCAGCTGGAGGAGGCCTATGCTCTAAGGCACATCGAAAAAAGGGACATATTTAGTAGTGGCTGCCAGCTGTATTCTTTTAGTAGTGGCTGCCAGCGACTTCGTTCGCGTTTTCCATTATTTCTTCGCTCATAATAGTTGCAGCGTGATGTTATATAGCCTACAGCCTTCCTCGATAAATGGTCTATTCAACACAAAAATATTTTTTCTATTCGAACCAGTAGTTCTTGAGATTTGGGCGTTCAAACGCATATATGGTATAAATTACGTTGATTGGGTTGATTTCTGCTATAGCCGAATTAACCTAATTTGCAAATAGGAAAAAATCTAAAAAAGTAATGTCATGTAATCATCAATCAACAGAAGAGAACATTATGTTAACATTATTTTTCTGAATGGACTACAGTGAAACATTCATAGTGAAAGTTATTCCTAGACATCTCTTCTTTCATTTCACAAAACGTTCATTAGTGGCCGCCGACTGTACCAAAATACCCATTCTCCTTTGCCGCGCTAAACATTATAATGTAAAATTACGTTATTAAGTTCGATAATTGTCCTCACCGCCACGGATCCTCTTCACTTCGTCAGCAGAAGCCTGGTAAGAATTAACAGCGCATACATCGGAGTCGTCACTATCCGTGTCTGATATTTCGATTACAGCCGTCGAGAGCGGCCGCTTGGCGGGCGGCCGCGGCGCCTCCGAAGACGCGCTTTCGCCTTCACAAACACCAGCGTCGTCTTGCACCCCCGTGCCACTCGAAGTGGGTTTTTCATTTTCTTTGCTTGGAGAATTCATTGCAAACCACTAAAACTACATAATACACCTATATTGAACTAAAATAAATGCGACGCCTAACCTCAAAATTTGTTGACGTTCCAAGACGACAGAATTGCCAACATTGAAAATTGAAACGTACAATGCGTTCATTTTTCATTATTTCTAGTATTTTAATTTAAATATCTCTTTCATTAAATCCTTTCGCTTACAATAACATATATTTTGAAATCAAAGTATATAAAACCGTAATAAATCAAGTACATTTATTTGTACTAATAATATTATAGTATGTGCAGAACTGCAGCAAAAAGTGACATTACAAAATAAAAACTCATGAACATATTTTAACCTCAAATCAAAAGTGGATGTAAACAAAACAATCTCAGTTTTTCAAAAATGAACAACTGTAATAAAAATTGTGTTTCCAAAACGCCGCAACCACAGTGTCAGTATTTTGTTATAAGAAAGAAACGATTATGTCGTATGACCGTGCGTCCAGGACGACAATATTGCGGAGAACACGAACCAGAGCCTAAACTTGACGATGGACAGGTTACGTGTCACGTTATATATACAATTTTAACTTTGAATTAACTATACTTATCTATTTGTAATGGTTTTATATCGATCTCTTGCTCTTCTAATTATACGATTATTGACCAGCCTCAGATCTCTCAGTAAACTAAATTAATTACCTATGGAAAGTTAAATCTACTTCTTTCTTTCTGATTCTATGAATAATAAAAACAAGTCTATATTACGCACTGATATAGTATCTAATAACCTCTCCTCCTACCGTACCTATTTTTCTACTTGTTTATATTTTTTCCAGATTGATACCAGAATCCCTTGCCCAAATGATCCAAAACAGTAAGTAACAAAATACCATAGCCTAAATGGGGAACAATTTAATCTAAGTCTATACTGTTATCACCAGCTGATATTTGCTTTCCAAATTATTAATTAATATAAATATAACAATTTCCAGCACCTGTTATGCCAGTAAGCTGGAGAAACATTTATCCATATGTAATGCACGGCAGGGACCTTTACCACCTTATATAAAGCTGAATGCAAATGTGCCTGCAGATATCAAGCCCTCACCGCCAGTATCTTTGAACCAAGTGCCCAAAGAAACAATAGCTCTGGTTATAGAAAAAATCAACAAACTTTATGACAGTATGTACATAATACTAAATATACTTTACTTTTTAAATGTCTTGACTGTAATTTAACATTTTGGTGAATCATATTAAACTTCGTCATCAGCTTATTAGCCTATTACTATCCCTAATGCTGGGACACAGGCCTTCCCTAACAATAAAATCACATTGGGAGAAAGGGCTTAAATATTGTAGCCCTTTCTCCAACTCTCACACTCTCACTAATTTGCATAACTCTGTATGTTCTAAGTGATGCAAATTAGTGAGTGCTGATACCTGTGTTTCAGCTAGGACGAATGACTTAAATAACTGACTATCAATGCAATTAAATAAGACAAAAATCAAACTTCCAGAGTACTTAATGGGCAACATAGAAACTATTGAGCAACAGGAAATCCATGAGGCAGTTTTGGGTGACTTCCAGGTATGTTTCTCCCTACAATGCTATACCTGTGTGCCATGTGAGCTTGTAAGAACAAATGAAGAGGAATAATATGCAACCGTATTGCAAGACACTCATATTGTTTGCTCAATTCCTATTGAATGTGTGACTATTAGACAACATTGTGCAGATTCCAAAATAAGTAACTTAAGTAACATAAGTCAATAATACAACAAAAAGGTACCATGATCTTCAGACCTACGACAATATAGAAAAGTTCAGTTAATAAGTTCAGTGAATAGTAATACAAGGATTTTTAATGTAGTACATGTAATGCATGTGCATATGGTGGGGCTGCTGTAGCATTAGCCGACGCGACGAGCGCACGTGTCAGCTGTATAATATGATAGTGCACTTTGTAGTGTATGTAGTGTAGATGATACCAAGCATTTACATATAATAATAATATTTCAGGAGAGTAATCGAACGGAGAAGTCTCGTCGTCATTTGCGGCAAGTGTCCAGCTTGTTGCATATAGCTGAACGCGAGGGCCTCGTGCAACCCAACACCTGCTACGTGGAACTAGGCGCGGGGAAAGGTCCGGTCTTTGATACACGATAAACTAATGTCCCCTGCCGACTATATTGATTAATTATGTTATATATTTAATTTCTAAAATGTTAAACAGTCTGTAATAAACTTCTAAGTAGCTATAACACCACACTATATCTAGATTCTAGTGCACTACGTTGGGGCATTACATGTATGGTGTTCTGTTTATAGTGCACTACATAGTTATCCTAATTAAAGGAAAGGGGGAAAATTTCAAAAAGTGTGAGCGTACAGATCAGTTATTGTACTATGTGAGTCGTTCGTCAGGTCATCTGTCGTACTACTTGTGGCGGGCGTGGGGCGCGGCCGGCAGCCGCGTGCTGCTCATAGACCGCGCCTCGCTGCGGCACAAGCGAGACAACAAGCTGAGGCCGCACGCCTCCGACACAGGTCGTTCACCACTCACCACTCAGTCATCACACATCACACGCCACTCATATGTACTTTACTATTAATATTTTAAAGAAAACTAAAACAATGTATGGTGCACAATATCCATAATATAACTTGCTTTATATTCAGGACATGCATCAGCATTTTCGCAATACATTCAACAATTTGCTTTACATTAAATTTATATCATGAAATCAATACGCAAATGACATATATAAATCAACCACGAGTTCTCCTTAAAATTTTATCATTTGCATCTCTTATAAATTAGCAATAAATACTTATCTTAAACAATCTATCATATCTCTATTATCATTCCTCAAGATATACAGTCCGGCTCACACAAACTTTTACATTATTAATACGAGAAAACAGCTGGTTGCTCAAATATACATAGAATAGTATTTTTTTAAATTAGATATAAATTTTATTGGTTTTATTAACTACGTAATTATGTAGTTGTAACAGTGGTTTATTCTAATATAATAATAACCTTGTATATAGATAACGGGTCGGGGGTCACGGATGTGCCGGAAGGGGTGTACCCGGTGTGCCGCGTGCGCGCCCCCCTCGAGCACGTGGTGGTGGGGCGCACGGAGGCGGCGCGCGACTGCGACCACCTCCTCGGTCTGGCCAAACATCTGTGCGGCGCCGCCACAGGTCAGCACCACAGCCCCCTCCACACACACACCCTTGTTAAATTAAATGTTATATTATGTCTCTATTATATTAAATACTTTTATCATAAGCATTGAATTAGATCTATGACCAGAGGTATAAATAAAATTTATTATTTTTCTACAATATTACTGTGTAAACAACACAAAAACAAAAAAGCAATTACATTTGCGTAGTTGTAAAATCGTTGTGAAATCTGCCGCAACCGGAAGGCACGTCATACGTGAGATACACACACAACACACAATTCTGTGCACTTTTATAATCGAAATAACAAATTACATATGAAATGTATATGTAATTTGTTATTTCGATTATAAAAGTGCACAGACTCAAGATTAGATTCTTATCCGTATCCTGAGATATTTGTAACTGTAGTAAATTAGACGAAGACTTAATTTATAAATACTTTAGTTTTTATTATATTCAATAGTTAAGTATTGTACGGTTCGTACACCTTTTTATGATAGAGAGAGAGAAGTAAAAGTCTTGATATATTATAATTGATATATTGTAACAAGTAAACTAAAATTACTGATATATGGAATGATAATGATATGAGTACGCGCGGCGTGATTGATTACCGATGACGAACTAACTACAAATTGACCTAAATTAATGAATGTAGCGTAAAATGATTACTAGACAAAACTGTACGAGTTGGCTCGTACAAGTATGTTGAGATCCAAATGCATGTTTAATTTTTTCACGATTTTTTATTTATTTTTGCTTAATCAATAAATTACGTCCTTTGTAATTAATCACACTTTTGTGCATATTCTACAGCGGTGACGTAGCAAGCTCCCACTCCCCAACTTTTATGCCGATATTATCTAAGCCGTTGCTCGACTGACGGACTCGATATTATTACTTTATAATAACCAGTCATCGTCCATATTGTAGAGCATTCTATAACGCTTTACTAGTGTGTATATTGGTTAGTACCTACACGGCGCATACATGTATACACAGACTACGCGCTGCGCAGCCTGTTGTGTGCGCGGGTGGTGGGGCGCACGCGCGGCGCGCTGCTCGCCACGTGCTGCCACCACCGCGTGCTGCGCGCGCACATGCTCGGCGCGCACCACCTGCAGGTGGGGGGGGGGGGGATATTTCATTGATAAAATATCATCTTTACTAATATTGTGAAGCTGAAGAGTTTGTTGCGCTAATCTCAGGAACTACTGGTTCGAATTGAAAAATTAATTTTGTGTTGAATAGACCATTTATCGAGGAAGGCTCTAGGCTATATAACATCACACTGAAACTATTAGGAGCGAAGAAATAATGGAAACGCGGACGAAGTCGCCGGCGGTCACTAGTAATATATATTATGCGCTAAACAGAGGCATGGCTACCACCGTATTTATATCTACCATATCAATTATTCGGGGTCTCAGGTCACGGGTCTTAATTATTGAGAGTGGGGGGGGGGGGCAACTTGCATAAGCAAAAATTAACAAAAAATTCGCAAATTACTTTTTATTTCATAAATGACAAAAGTCAAAAGAGCAACTTTTTTTGCCCGGTAAAACGTGCGCTTCAAAGTGAGCAACACCCTGTTGATCAATTAAATTCATGTTTGTATTCTCTCAAAGTACTAGACATTTGTTGTACGTTTGTCTTTAAACGTCATACAAAACACAACACAAAAAGTCACTACGAAAAGTGCTTTGCGCTAGAAAATGATCGAGGCACATGGATGTTTCAATGCACATTTGTATGTACTGCTGTAGGAGATGGGCATCACGTGTGAGGAGTTCGAACTGATCGTGCGCATGGTGTCGTGGGCGACGTGCGGCGACGGACGAGCCCGCGACCGGCGCGCCCCTCCACGCGACCACGACCACGACCGCGACCACGACCGCGACCGCGACCACGACCGCGACCAAGACCACGACAATGAGACGCGGACAAACGACAAACACGAAACGGGAGAACCGATCAAAGAGTCGGACGCGCCCGAGAGGACCGTACAAGAACGTGCCGAGATCGGACGGCGCGGCAAGGCGTTGCTGGACTACGCGCGAGTGTTGGCGCTACGAGACGAGGGGTTCAATGCCCGGTTGTGTTACTTTGTACCCACCACTGTCTCCCCAGAAAACGTCTGCATAATAGCATCCAAACCCTACCGAGATACGAATTAGACTTTTTTATTTTGTGCAATAAGTAATATGAAAAAGTGATTATTTAAGATACGTACATGCGACCGATTTAATTTATTTATTACTAACTATTTCTAAGGTAAATAAATTTTTATTTGTATATATCATTATTTTCTTTGTCTTTTTTCAATTTAGTATCTTATATTCCAGTCCGCTGCAGTAGTTCTAAAACAATACGAATAAAAAACCTGACTTAGTGCTCATATCCCCCGGGAGATAGTTGCATTCATTTAGGGTAAAACCCTAAATGAATGCAACTATCTCCCGGGGGAGTAAATAAAAAAATCAAAATAGCCCTCAAAATCAAAAGTTATTTTTCCGATTACCTAATAGTTTTCAATTGGTCATTGAAAAAATATAAATAAACACATTTTTCTACAAATTTTCATGAAAACCGAAAACTATGACGTTTTTTGGAAAAAAGTCATTACTATTAAAATTTATAGATTTTTATTAAAAAAAAAACAATAATTATTGTTATTTATTTGTTTCCCTAGGGTATACAAAAAGGATGTTAATATTTTAAATTATCGCCTGTTCAACCATTAACAAAAGCATGCAAATATAGTAAAAAAAATATTAGTTTTGTTCAATGTTACATCTCATAAGCATCTTTTTGTCGTAAATTAATCCAATAATTTCAACATGAAGTAAAGGAAAAAACTAAATAACTTTCCGAAAGTTGTTAATACCTTCTATAAAGCACTTTACTAGACCTTTAAAATGAGCTTTAATAAAAGTCCGCAGCATAAAAATTTGCAATAAAACTGGCTCTAATAAGGGACTAAATAAAAATTTGAAACGTTTTTATTTTATAGATATACATGAAATATATCTTAAAAAAATAATTTTAAACAAGTGTCATTCATATAATAAGTTATAATTTGAAAAATATATTTTAAAAATTTCCCGCGAAAACGCCAACTTTTCGCCAACAATGGCGTTGCTATGACGTCACGCTCCTCTAAACCTTATATCGTTCTATGGATGCATGACTGTTTAATTCTCTAAGTTCTGATGAGTAAGAGGGGCGTGACCTCACGCGCTGTTTACGGTTACGTAAGAACCAGTAAAAAATATTTGTTTGTTGTCAGTAAATCAGAAACGTTTTGCGAGCATTTTCTGGCGTCTGGTGGGCGCACATCCACTAACTCGATGACTGCTTTATAATGCATTCGCAGTCACTTTTATTATGGCTCATTTCTCCTTGAACCATGCAAAAAAGCAGCTCTATAAAGTGAATAAAATCCAATCGAAGCGCCTACGGATTATGCTAGGGGCAATAAAGTCCTCCCCATCCATGCCCTTCAAATAGAAGGGGATGGTCCGCAACTTTTTCTGCATATACAATACCTCAGTGACAGATTTCTCCTTAAAGTTTTACAAAATGAAACGCACCCATTGTTACCTACTTTAGACAAGCTGACCCATTTATCAAATATAAATTCTTCTCTTAAAGTACCCTGTATAGTTACTAGTTATTATAAATTTCACCGCCCTTCCATTTCCATTGAAAAATTTCCTTGCAATCCTGTTTTTATACAGCTTCGAGTCTTTAGTTTTCGACTCGCCCATCTCACTAATTTATGAAAAACAGTCGCCCATTATAACCGCATTGGCTCCAAGTATTTAGGGATGCATCCAAGATTTCAGACACTGAGAGTGTTGGAGCGGCAGGATGGATACCAAGTGTAAGATAGTCCTGAATTTTAAAATACCACCACCCTCATCCGTCTTTACAGGTTAAGCAATCGCAATATTAAACGCAATTTTATATTGTGAATCGCTCAACTTAAACCGTTCAATCATCCTATCCGATTCACTTAGCTGCCTTCAGGCAATATCCTCCAAGCCCTTGCGGTCCAAATCTCACTTCCCAATTATTCTCAAAATTGAAGAAGCTTTACTTAGTTGTAAAGTGAAAGGAATTAGAACTGATGCTGAGCTGGTTCCCAGGTCACAGTGGCATACACGGCAACGAATCTGCTGATTCATGTGCCCGGAACGCAATTGTCACTGGTTGTACTAACCATTACGAAAATACCTATATCATCCCTCTCACTCATTCACATTATAATCGTGAGAGAGGCATTGGATAAACACCAAAAATAAGACTGGAAAGTACTAATTTGACATCCGAACAACTAATCGTGTTATGTCGTCACCACATTGGTCACTCAAACTCTCCGGTTCATTTGGCCAAAATTAATTTAATCTAGACCTAAAATTATAATGAACCATTCCATATTTCCCCCATACTAAAATGTTATACCCGTCTATGTGTTGTGTTAATAAAAAAAAATAGCACAAAAATTTAATGATATATGGTTATTTAATTTGCATGCGAGTGGTACCTTTTTAATTCTTCAACCCTTAAACTCTGAAGGTGACCGGTACAAAAATGTTATGATTCACATGACTTTATAGCTTATAAAATTCATTACCAAAGTCAAAATCATATTTGTATGTATGAAACAACTTGATATATCACAAATAGAGAATTATCGTCAAAAACGAAATACATTTATTGAGAGATAACGTTGGAAAATTATGCAGCGTTAAAATTTTGAAAGTTGTAAAGCGTTAATTTTTTAGAATAAAAAGCGCACTTCGCTTCTCTATCAGATTTGAAATGGAAGGTAAGACGAGCTCAATTCCAAGTTTCAGAAAAATCAATACAGTTTTACAGAAACCAGTGGTAAGGCACAATTATTACGTTGAATGACTGAATAAATAATATAATAAATACACAAAATAACTTTTTAAACATTATAACCGATTAAATAAATTAAACACTAATATACGGTCAGTTGCACAAACGTCCATTAAGGTTTAACGAATGTCAAAATCGTATAGGTAATGTCGCTTTAAACTAATGAATTAATGGACGTTTGTACAACTGGATGTAATTCTATCAGGATTAAAAAATAAAAACGACCTTCTGCAAATATAGTTCTCGTATATTTATATCAATATAATTAAAATCTAAAAACAAACTCCACAATAATTATGTTACACGAATCAGCGGAAACTAGTCACGTTCCTGTGTTATATATTTAACAGCGAACATAAAATACGGTTGATATTAGTTAATTGAATAAATGCGCGTCCGTCCGGCCAGCACTGTGTCCGTGTGGTCACTCGTAAACAAACAGACTATAATACCATTGGAAGATGAACAAAGTCTTAACACTACATCGTGCGAGAGTACAATAATATAACACAAGCTTCTGTCTGTTCGTTCGTATACAATGTACCGGTACCGTCCGGGCGCACATCGGCCGCTGCGCCCCAATAACGCCTACAAACCAACGTTGACTTACGTAACAAACTATTCAATAATATGTATACACCGCAAACGAATACAATCTAAACGTTAAATGCCCCACCGCGGAGTGATCTCGCCACCGGCCGCCCTCTTATTGCTACATTTCTATCTTTAGGGATAGTAAGGTTATTATCAAACCGTGAGTGGGCTATTTTTAACTGCATCATGTGGAGTGTATCATAAAATTTATAATTTAAATAAAACTTTGTCAAATCAATAATAATAGTTATGTATGGAATGTTTCATGTTTGAATAAGTGTGAGACAGCAGTGAGCACGAAACAATAATGTTGCGTCGACCACATAAATTATTAATAATTTATTGGGAAAATGGACGGCAAGCAATTATTGAACTGTCGATGTGAGGAAGGAAAGAAAATAAATTACACGGTATAAATTTTAGGTGTTCACGTAACCTGATGAGATTAGAACTTTTTTTTAGATTAAAACAAAGAATTGTAAAAAAGACTTTTATAATTGAAATAATTTGAGCGAGTGTCGTCCGAGTGCTGACGCTGTTGCATATTACAACGGTTCAGGGCGAAACCACTTGGCGGCGTCCTCTCACATTTTGTCACCCACAATACCTTTGTTTAGAAACTATTAAAAATATCGCAAACAGGAGCATCCTTACAGAGCGCACTCAACATAAGCATATGTTTAAAATTCCGATTGACGAATTTTAATTTCAACGTTTTAACATACAAAGATAACAATATTGTGCGCGATTCGCCGATGACAAATTATATAAAATAAGGGAATGCGATTACGTTTATACCATTTCGATGACGACATTGCAACGAACCAGTACGACTTACAACACCGTGTTACACAATATTTACACGATCAGTGACTCTAATGGTCATATTAAAAATAGTGTTGCAACAATAGTCTGTATCGGTAAACAATAATATCGAAATTAAACACTAATGCTATATATATAAACACTATTGTAATATATAAAAAATAAATATATGTTAATATGACAACACCGGTTATCTATATGAAATCAGAATTGTTCAACAGTTCGTTTGTTTATCATTTCAACAGCAACAACATACTCTCTATAAATATATCTATAAGCAACCTATCGCCTAGCTATTCGCGTTACAGGACAAACGAAAAGAAAATATTAATATTGTACTAGTATTCAGTAATCCAAAAAATAAATTTTAATCAAAAACTTTATAGTAACTTATACTTAAATCGTTCGCCGACCGCATTCGGCCCCTCCGGTCGTGGACCATCATCGGTTCCGATAACACAAGGACACTATGTTATTGCATCATAATATATATATTATTATTAAATTTGTAAAGGAATTTCGAGGGAACAACTCGTCATCAACATTAACGATCAACTTGACGGATACCGCCCGCGAATATTCTACCTACTGCACGTAATTATTCAATTTCAACTTTAACGGACTAATAACACTAATCGGCCTGCGTTACTATTGGACACTAGTCAGTACAGGTACATATTTTATTAATCTCGCCATAAGAGTGACTCGTCTTGTATTGGTAGTGGTATTGGTGCCGGTGGTGGTGGCGACAGCGGTGGCGGTGGCGGCGGCGGTGTCGGGCGTGGTTCAGTATCCGTATCGCTCCTGTAGCGAGGAGACCACTCCGTTGGCGAGCGAGGATATACGGCCCGCCACCCGCGTCACGCCGGCACGTACAGACTCGCGCACCTGACACATATATACATACATATACACAATACACAGGGGACACATTATATTATCATAATTTTCAACTAAAAAATAGTCATACTCGAAAAGTGTCTATAGTGGCGCAAAGAAACTAAGTATGCGGCGCCACCCGAATACTTCCCCCCCCCCCCCCCTCCTGTTCTGTTCTGTATCTATCTGTGTGCGACCGTTACCTCGTCCAGGTCTGGCGCGGAGACGGTGAAGCCGGGCTGCTGGGTCCTGGTGCGCTCCCCGAAGTACTCCGCGGAGGAGATGCTGCTGCTGCCCTGGAACCGGGACAGGTTCGCGTCCCGCTCGCACCCGCCCCCCTCCTGTTGCACCACCACCGAGCGTCCATTACGAACCGAACATTTTATTACTTCACTTTTTAGAGCGTGATTTAGCCGTAGTCGGGTTTTACTTTTTTAACTTAATTAATATAATTATGTATTTAAACAAAATCGCAAGCAAAAAGCATCAATAAGTATTCGATATGTGCTAAATAATCCCTTTCATTTGATAGTCTACACGAAATTGTCGGAATAATATATGTCGCATCATCATAGCGAAGATCGTTTGATTTAGTTTCTTTTATTTTAATTGCTAGTTACTCGATTACTTAATTACTCGATTGTAAAGAGAGCGTGATCATCGATACCCTTAACCGATTCCGTGCGGAGGTCTTTTTCATAAACTTTATTGCCTGGCGTCAAACAAACATTTTATGATTCCCCTGGGGAATCATCCGCCATAAAATGTAACTTTTAGCTTTTCCTCGTGTTTCTCTTGTTAAATTGTCATTTGCGACCCAATATCAAACGTAACCGGTTAGTAAATTTATGTAGTGCATCGAAAGGAGATAATCTGTGTGTTTTTAAGGAAATGGAAGGTAAGTGACTGTTTTTTATTAGGTGTTGTAAACCTTTTTGCATTATTTTAGGGATTTATTTATTTAGTTGTGTTAAAATAGAATATGTGAACAGGAGATATATATTGTTATAATGTTATATGTGTTATATATTCCCGTGTTCAAAGAAGTAACTTTATATATAAAATTCCTTCTGAATGGAAAATCTAAATAATTCAAAATCTAGGTACACGTGCCTACAGACACATACATGATTCATTATGTTTTATGTAAATTAGGATTTATTTATATTATTTAAAAGAAAATGTTAGAAATGTGGAAATTGTTAGTGCGTTTCAACCAATATTCTTTTTTTGTTGTAGATCTAACTAGAAAAACTATTTCTCAGTCCGAAATCGAAACACAATGCGACGACGAGGATATGTTTTATGAAAATTCACAACCTTATAACATATGGTAATCTTATTCTTGCAGTGGCAAATCTTGGAGTTCAGGTCAACAGGAAACAATCGTCACAAATGCAAAATCAAGAGTCTAGTAACACATGCCAATATCGTCACTAACGCAAAATCAAGAGTCCGAAAACACAAGTCAATGTCGTCACAAATGTAAAATCACGGAGTCCCGGTGCACAAGCGAATGTCGTCGATAATATAGTTTCAAACAATAATACGCCTTAAACGCAAGAGCATAAGTACTGTACTTCGTAACCGAACGGCCAGCGAACGGCGAAAAAAATGGCCCATTGCCCCATTGTTCGCAAAAACTTATCTTATAACAAAAGCGTTTGAAGACCGTTCCGATGATTCACTTTGTAATAATATAATCTAAGAAAACTAAGTGGACCGTTTTGATTATGTAGTTTTCGTGTAACAATAATTCAAAAATATACATAATGTAAAGTTTACAAAGGAACATTTTAATCTTAATTGTTGTCTCAATTATTGATAGCGGGTGTGATGGTATAATATACAGTTTATCATTGTATGGAAAACAAGCTAAACCAACCCAAGTCAAGCAAAATCGATGCGTAATTTGTCGTAAAATCGAGTGACAAGATATGATATCATTTGATACATTTCTAAAAAAACTTACGCAACACGCAACGTAACAAAAGTTCCTATTAAAAATTACTTAATATGGTTGACAATCCCTGAAGTCTGCGAATTCACGATATTACTTAAAACGAACACTGTAGGCATGATATAAATGACAAATAAAGACACTTTTGTTTAAGGAAAAACTTTGACAAATGTCGTCATATTGGAGTTTCATGTGTTCTAAATTTGTATCCTCTCAGGCATCATACGCCATACGCAAAAGATTTACATGGTGCCCGAGAGTCATCATCCGCACGGAATCGGTTAATTTTATTAGAACAGTGACACTGACTTTGACAGTTCGTTAATAAAAACCAAGTTGCCGCCATTTTGGTAGACATTCTGTTTCCGATCGCCGAGGAGTAAAGACATCCGACGACATCACGCTCATCTCGTTATATTTTCGTATGAAAAGTGATAAAATAGAACAAATCCACGTTGGTATATACGCCTGCAGTGTTATTTTAAAGATAGTCCTCCGATAATGGACGATCTATTTGGGCTTCGTAATAGACCCTTTGACTACCCGCCGTTATATATATTTTTAGTTTCTTACTTCATGTTCACTAGAGGGCGCTGTTGCCAATTTAATGTGACGTCATCACGCGGACAACAACGGTGAGCAGTATCGAATGAGCAGATGAACATTTGAGCTTTTGATACGCGAGAGTCGAAGTATGCAAATTGGTATTTTATAATAAATTAACAGAGAAAACTTTAATGATGTAACAAAGCGAAATCAAACATGTGCTGTGGAATTATTATCGGCGAGTGGCCCACCTGGTCGCCGAAGAACTGCGCGGAGCTGATGGCCTTGGCGGAGCCAAACTTCTTGACGGCGGAGTCATCGTCGGCGGCGGGGTCAGTCTTGCGCGCGCGCCCCCTGCTCCCGGGGGCGGGGCCGGTGGCGGGGGCGGGGGCGGGCGAGGTGGCCGGCGCGAACATCGAGTGCGTTTGGCGCACGGGCTCCGGCTCTATCTGCTCCCACGAGGAGGACAACCTCCCCCCGCCGCCGGCGCCACCGTCGCGGCTGCCGTACGGCTCGTTCCTGCATAGTATAAATATATAAGTAGGTGCACTCGAGACCCGAGCGAGAGATAATGGCCTAAACATGTAGGGCTATCTAAAATATAGTTTCCCCCGGTATGGTAAGCACGCGGAAACTATAATACAACTTTTTAATGTTTTTTTTTTTTTTATTTATAGACCAGACTACAATTCCTTTGATACCTACGTCATATCATAGATTTAGTGTTTTACCAAATGAAAACGTGATTTTAATAAATTATGTATTTATTATTTTTTTTCCAAATTATCAGGCTACGAATAAATTAAGACAATGCAAATCTTAATTTTTAATAATCATATGCTTTGTACAAACTGTTTCAATCAATGGCCTATATTTTTTATTACATTGTCTAATACGCAAATATACAATTCAATGTCTATTTCGATTTGGAAGTATTTGGGCATAGAAATTTAATAAATTAAACTAAAAATTGATATCTGGTAAACGAAATCTTGAGTAGAAATAATTCATAAACACTTTCAATGGGTAATACCTAAAGAACGAAATACCATATACTTGATCTATAAAAATGAGAAATACCATATACTCGATTCATAAATGCATATACGATATTTTGGTTTAGTTTTCAAAGCCATCTTGTTTACGTCCAGATATTTTATAACGAGCGGCGATACAGCGACGCGTAATAGGTGTACGCAAGTACGGCGTACTAGCCACGACTGGCTAATTGCGACTCGTGCCTTGAACTTCTATAACTTCGATAATATTGTAAGTGTGTGCGTGCGACGCCGCATACGCACGGGCGCGCTCACATACGAACCATTTTCGGTGCGTATGTATGAAGAGCACGTACTCTTATACCAGAGGGTAACGGTGAGTACGTGCGCGGGCTAGTCACCTGATCATGGTGAACACCGAGTTGAAGTGGTCGTGGTCGTGGTCGTGGTCGTCGACGGAGGCGAGCGCCGTGTCGGCGGGCAGCGTGCCCTCCTGCTCTATACTGGTCATGGCGGCGGCCGCCGAGTGCGCCACGCCACCCCTGCGTACATACATATATGTACACAATGCAATATTAACGGGTACATAACACAAATTAATTAATTAATTAGCACTAATATGATGCGGCGCATAAAGGTGTCGTTACCCCCTGGTGGCGGCCGCGTTGGCGGCGGCGATGCCGAGCCGGTCCGCATGCGGGTCGCGGTACTGCAGCCGCAGCAGGCCCACCTCGCGCTCCACGCTCTCCAGCGTCGCGACGCTCTCGGAGGCCTTCGCCTTAACAATCATTGTTAAGATTATTGTGAATCATATTTATCAAGATAAGAGGAAAATCTTTTTAGAATTACTAAGGTTTCGCTGTCTGTATGTTATGTAAAAATAGATAATTACATTAAAGTGAAACAATACGGAACCTTCGTGCGTCATACGCGAATCCTACTCCCGCTTAACCTGTTTTTTATTTTAATACCTAGACTGTGCTATAAAGAAACATTGTTTTTACTACTGACTTGCTTTAAATATTTCGCACGATCTTCAGAAGTTTAATCTCTATTCCATTCCTTTACTAGTTGGCCCTACCCAATGGCCCGTTTATACTTAAATTACAAACTCGTTATGATAGCATCATATGATGTTAAACTAATATATGTATATTGTGTATATATAATAAATGCTATGCTATACCTATGAAATTGCTATCGGATTTCTTCAATTATAATAGAATGTTATTAGAATTCAGAAAAACAAATTAACACATACTAATTATCCAACAAAACAGCTATTTCCTTCACCTCATGATACAGTATTACGATAAATGACGTCGCTCTATTAAATCAAATAGAAAACACTTGTTTAAATATAAAAGATATTCTTGTATTAAAATATGTAACTAAATATAGAAATACGTTCGGTAACAATAGTTCCAGTTGATGTGTGTACTGTACATCTCCACCCACCGGTTCGACTGGTAGAGAATGCCTCGCATTGAGTCTACCATTTGTTGTATTATAGGCAATAACAATTATATAAGTAAATAACTGCATATGCAATTATTATAAATGCACCCCTTAAATAATTGTCGAGTAGTAAAATGTAGACCATATTCACCTCCATCTTTAGTTTCTCCGCCATGATAGCTTCCCTCTCTATATCATCGAAATTCGTTGCTACTTTCGTCGCACCGAGCCCCTTGCGCGCCCCCAACTGAAATATTACAATATATTAACACGTGTATTTTATTTAGAATCTATAATTTGCTTCACATTGTCTTATACAGATACACACATCTGATATTCATTGTGTATCATGGATGGACACGAATATATACGGCTAGAAATCTCAAAACATCGCAGAACAAAATATATATTCGATGTTTTTATTGCAAACAGCGTGTCTTAGCAGCGTGAACTAAGGTTGGTGAATGCGTGATCCTAGCGACATACTTAAATTTACTGTTCAGAATGACATAAACAACGTGCTACTTACAGCTGCAAACCTAACTTTACCTATTAATATAAATAAAAATAAAAAGAGCTCTTTAAAAATAATAATCCAAATAATCGACGTTCCACTGATATACAATCAAAAGTAATAGTTGATCCCGAAATGACAAAATAAACAATTGCTTTATAGTTGTTTACCCCTGGACGTTTGTTGGGCGCGCGTTTAGCGGAAGCGGAGGCGGAGGCGGAGGCGGCGGCGGCGGAGGGCGGGGCGCCCCACAGCCGCGCCTCAGAGCTGATCTCCTCACTCTTGCCCACCTGTCCACCATAACACATGCATACACTCACTTATACTATACAATATTATTTATGCAGTGCTTGTAGAAGTCGATGGCCATCGGCATCATATATAGCTAACTCACTTTATCCATGATTAGAATATTATGAAACAGCTATATGTTCGGTTGCAGTTCTTAGGTTGCTCATTTGAACAATGTCATACACCTCGATTATCATATCACGCCCAGGATTCACGATGTATGGGCATTTCTGAACAAAATTAAAAAAATCGCCATCCTAAGTAAATTTTTCTTTTATGTATAAAATACGAAATATACGATATAGTATTTGGTATTCTTGGCATGTCAAAGCTCATTTATGATTTTAATAATATTTTAATGATATATAACTCAAACTCCTTAACAACCAAACCCCTGGTAGTGTCCTTTTTCTAGAATAATACATTTATTTATTTACCATTGATAGCTGAATCCAAAAATATATCAGCTATATCGCAGTCATATTATTTATTTATATATTTCAATCAAAATATCTGTGTGAATGTTGTCGTCTAATAATCAAAACTTGTTTAAATTTGAAAACAGTGCTGAAGTAGTTTTGATTTATTGAAATTATTTTCTAGATACTGTTGTTTTTATAAAATGTTATTTCTATAATAAATTAGTACAGTATTTAATTACTAATTTATTACAAAAATAACATTTTAAATTAAAAAAATAGAAAATATTCTAACACAAATAATTTTATATATAAAAAAAAACACATTTTGTGTTTTCTTACAATTGGGGATAATGATTCTTCGCATTTTATATGAAAATTCAAAACATTATTTAATATATTTTTTTTACATTTAACTGATCTGTTGTGTGTGATTGATCGGTTTCATTACGCCGTAATAAAGAATTACAAATGAGTACACGATTAATTGGGTTTCTTTCAGCGAGCTCGAGCTCATGAGGTACCCAAATATCCAACTTCTTTGTGTATCCAGCTTTATTCAAATACGCCAAAACTGTTTTGTGGTTAATCCCCAGTTCTTCAGCTACGTCGTAACTCATGTAAGACGACCTTGCTCCAAAATTGCTTTTCCAAAAATTGCATCCATTTTATCCGTGGATCCGGGCGACCGCAGCGACGTGCATCTCTGACATCGAAATTTCTGCGCTGAAAGCGCTTAAACCAACTTGTGCTACTCTCACAGAAACTGCACTCCGCTCCATAAACGTCACGATTTTTTTTCGTATTTAAATTGGTTAATTTGCTTTAAACTTTCAAAGATAAAGTACTGAAATGTGAAAGCATGTATGCAGTAGCTGCTGCTGTACCATAAACAAATAAAGCTATCTATCTGGTGTAGCCGGTCGACATGTTCGTTATATATTGGGCTGGATGTTGTTTCATCACTTCACCGGCACAACTCTCTCCTCCATCTCCTTAATTTAAACTTGAACAATAATCATCTGTGATCAGCTGCGAGTGCTAAAGTCAACGTCATTTATAGAGTTCTCTAGCTTAGCCGTTTCTCTCTTATCTCGGTTTCTTTTCTTTCCATAAAATTACTTACGCATTAGATTGTCATCATGTCTACGCAGCTACTACTCTAATAAAATAAACCTTGATTATGAATTGCCACATTCATAATATTAAATATTTTAAAAGTTGACTAAATATTCATTTTGGATTGATAATATGAGGATTATTGATATCTTTTTTTTCTTGCAGTAAACACAATAATGTAGTCATTAATTATGTTAAAATAAATAATGTAAAATTCTAAAAGCTATGTGAATAAGCATGTTACCAGCACAATTAGCTAGTACATAATATTACCTACGCAAAATATTCACACAAATAAATATAAATAAAAATACACAAATTTTTTAAACAATGCAAACACTCATAACGACAATTAAAACAACGCACAGCAATGTAAAACCACAATTGGCGATTGCATATTGTTAACATGAATCACAAGAACTATATATCAAGTACTGAAAAAAAAAACTCATATGTTATTTTATGAAATATGATAGTGTAATGCTTTAGTAATGGATACGAGTGCGGGCCCCCAGTCAGTGGAGGGGCATACCTGCACAGATGCAGATGCAAGCTGATTAGTAGTAGTATTGGTGGTGGGTTCTCCATGCTCTGCAAACCAGTCTACCTCACGCTCCTTGCTCTCCTTAGCCTCCACAGGAGCAGGGTCCAGGTGCAGCTGCAATCACAATAATTCATCTAATAAATTTGCTACCATCTAATACTGATATTAGAAAAAACAAGATTTATTTAATATTATTGTAAATAAATTATTTGATGATGAAAGAATACTGATAAAACCTTGGTTCCGTGAGTTTTCATAGCTTGCTCAGAGAGAGAATTCAGCTTGTCACGATACATTTGTGCCACACGAGAGCTGTACTTCTGGCGGGCGTCCTCTGACACCAATCCGTGTGTGTGAAAATACTGCGTCTACAAAGTGACAAGTACGGAAAGTAACAACAATGCAATTTCATTCTCATAAGATCTCGGCCTTTTCTAAGTGAAACCGATCTCAGTCGAAATATGGGTAAGATCTCGCGAGTTTAACGAGATTGCACTTGAGCATAAAAACAATTTATTCAAAGTGCACCAGTGCAAATTTATGCTAGTCCAGGGGGTTTAAAAGGCAAAGCTTTACACTTTTACAGTAGTTGTGTTTTCAAAGTCTTCTCAATGGCTGGTTATCTGGCCAGCACAATATTAAGAGGAAAGCAAAGATTCTTTTGGATATTTTGTGCTTCTTAAGAAGCAATTTTCAAAATTGATGTGTCAAGTGACTGAATAAGCCTTTAAATTGATTAGTATATATTGTTAATTTATTCTCTAATATCTTATAGATGTCTGGGTACAGCTTAACTTTACTCAGCACTTTTATAAAATAAAAAAAATTAAACCTCACTAAATCAATTTATCGCCATTGCATACTTAATATAGTGATAATTGTTGGAGCCATTTCCGAGATTACAAAATAAATGTTTATAATTCCTATATTTTTTCCTAATTTATTCAAATATTCTGATTTGAATAAATATTACAGTAAAACAGTAAACACAAAAATGCCGATCTCACGAGATCTCATAATTGGCGAGATTCAAGCATGATTCACTACCCAAATTCATTTTCATAAAAATCATCTTGAAAAACGTATGAGGTGAAGCCATTGAGATTCTTTCGGTAAGACAAATGTTTCGGCAGGTCTTAATTGGCAGGTATGCACACATTGGATACAGACACATTATCTGGATAATAAATACATAATCTGAGATTAAGACAATATAAAATAACCCATACTTACAGCATTTGCATTTCCACCCAGTTGCATATTTCTGAGCTGTTTCCATGTCCAATTAGTATCTAGTTGCGTGGACCGCACGAAGGTTAGGTGAACGCCGAGACTACGGTGGACAGCAGAGCAATCCAAACATATGAACACGCCGTACGTCACAGATGACCACGTAGGATTCTTAGCATTACAGTCGAAACATACCTGTAAACAGCATTGAAGTTAAAATAATCACTGAACAATAATTTATTATAATAAAGCTGAACAAAATACCCACTTTATTCGCTGGAATTGCACGTAATCTTTGAAAAATTGCTTCAATATCGCTTTTACTAGGCCCAGAGTCAGCCATTTTCGACGTGTTGTCTGCTGTCACTGTCATGTCACTAAACGTCTTCTTCTTCTTCTTTTTTAATTCATGGCCTATTTGCATTGTATTGGTCGGTCTAATCTGGTCGCTAGAGGTGGAAATATCTGCTTAAAATTTTTAAGCGTTATTACGTTCATTTTTAATTAGTGTCTTTAAAAAAAAGCGTTTTAGCATGCTTTTTTTTCAACTGACGTTTGGAAATCATTATAATAAGCGTGCAACATTATGTTATCACTACATAATATAAAACAAAGTCGCTTTCTCTGTCCCTATCCCTATGTAAATCCCTATGTATACTTAAATCTTTAAAACTACGCAACGGATTTTGATACGGTTTTTTTTTCATAGATAGGGTGATTCAAAAGGAAGGTTTTTGTGTATAATTCAGGACCACAACACTATTACCGTTTCTCGACATTTTATTAACACAATCTTTAAACTAATGGAGTTCAATAATATTTAGAATGTTTTATATACACACCATCACCTTATAACAAAACTTATTTACATTGTTTATTTTTAAGAATAAACAAAATTCATTACTTAACAACGAAAAGCATACTGTTTTTTTAAGTTTCGTTTAAAATAGCGTTTGGATTAACCAACCAAAAAAGTTGTTGCAAAAAGTCTAGATGGATATCACGCGTTATAGTATAATACGGTGCATTTATGTAAAGTGCCATCTAATAGAAAAATGCGGAAACAGAAAAATTGATTGAAGCTGGAAATTATATCTTGATAGATGGCGGGACGTACAATAAGAATTACTATACTTTTCTTCTAAGTGAAAAGCGCTTTTGCACTAATTTTGAAAAGCACGCTTAATTAAGTGCTTTTCGTTTAAACGTTCATCTCTAATGGTCGCTCTATAAAAAAAAACGAATAGAAGAGAGGCGTATTTTCTAGAACAGGTCTATCTACTACGTATTTTACAATACTACATAGCACTTATTGCGATTTTTTTCAAATGATTAATCTAACTAGTATTCCATACATTACACGATTTATCAAAGACCATATTTGCACGTAATTTAATGTAATCAAATTGTCGTGATTATTTAATAACTTTTTTAGGGGTATCTTAGGCTGGTGGAATTAGTTTTGATTTCTTTTTTCCAAAGTCAATTTATTAAAATAAATAAAAAAGTACATATTTTTATTTCGAATAATGCCTACCATGTTTTTAAAAACTACTATTAATTTCACTACATACTCATTAAAAATAGTACATGTATGTAAGTACACATAGATGTCTGTGATAATGAACTAAATATAAAATTTGTTCCTATAAAAATACATGCAAAGGTATGTATAAAAATAGTACTTAAAAATATCATAAAACAATTTTATTAAAAATCTATATTGAAAACATAAAATCTAGTATAGTCTATGAATTAATCTAGTGATGCACTTCATAAGTTTGATATTTATCGATAATGTTATTATTATTTGGATACAATCGATTGAAGAGTATTTATATATTGAAGAATATATGTATACATACATATTTATATATACTTTTTTATATTTTCTAATATTGTGATGTAAAATTACATCATATTTTGATCAAGTCAGTTTTCAATCTGGACGACTCTGTATGAAATAAGACAGGGACAAAAAGCAGTCGAATTTCTTGTCGGTTCTTCTCGGTACAAGATCTCCCCCCATAGACTCACGAACCGATGGCATAGAGTTTCGACTTCACATAAGTGCTTTGTAACAGCCTAGACTGAATAAATGATTTTGATTCAATTTGATTAATTAATCTACCAGATTTGCCCCCTTATTCTGTAACTCTGAGGAAAACCGAAATAAATTATTCACAGAGTTCTCTGGGTAAGCGGTCATACGAATAAGTGATTTTGACACATTGGAATCATTCGCTTTGTAAGGTGCTTAGTGCTTACGACTTTAGAGCGTGAATAATGCGAGGCTTGAAAAGGGAGGTGAGGGGGTTCGTCAAAAATCACAATATACCACGAAGGGGGAGGGGATCACAGTAATATATCACATGTATTTATTCTAAAACGCGTGATTACTAAACTAACAAAAAACTCTACCCCAGCGTCGCAATATAAACCAATTATAAAAAGTCGTAGCAAATAGAGATAGATATATTACCACAAAGTTGTTATCAAAGATGTAATCAAACTCAAAAAGTGAATACATCAACAATTCTCTCATGTTACCTTTATTTTATGTTGTTACCTTTATTTTATGAGACTCGAAATATTACTTTGACGTTTTACACATCTTAATATTGTATTCGTTATTGTAGGTAAATATTAAAAAAAACGCTAAAATCCGTTTTTGAAAAACTCGACCCTTATAGGTGTTAAATTGGAGTAAAAAAAATTATTAGTAAACTAGTAAAAGTGACATACAATAAAAAACAAACTTTTGCACATTATTTTTATCGACAATAAGTATTTATGAAATTGCTTACTTGTAGCATCACTAATATATTTCGTTTTCACCGCTAGTCTCGGAGGGGACGCATGTCAATTTACAAAAAAGAAATTTTCTGATATTTTGCTTTTAATTTTAGGATTTTTAGGTCAAGTAGTGCGTATACTAGTAGGGTTTTGAGCAAGAAATATTTGACTGTTGTAAATCAATTACATATTGTGATTTGTGCTTAGTTAATTTGATTGACTCCGTACCCAGCTTCAGACTGGGGAGTGAAAGTTATGGACTTGGTGGAACTTTACCATGTATCTATGTTTTCCGTGTTTCTCGTGAATGTGTAATCGGCTAGCGCAATGGAGAATGTAGGCTTTCAACCGAGCGGCGAGGAGATCGAGCGAGCGTTGATGGATCTCGGCCCGCTCCTCGGCGTCACTATCAAAGAAGAGGTGCCAGACGAACTCCCTGATGCAGCTTCAGGATCTACATCCCGATTGAATGTAATGTATCACGAAAATAAATCAACACTAGAAACTTACTTCCTGGTGTAATTAAAGTTCAGAAACTTCAAAAGAGAAAATTTCATATGACCTTTGCATCTTTTTGTTAGATATAAAAAAATCTGATGCAGTAATAACAAAATCTACTATTAAGACAATAATATATAAATTGTGGTTATGTTCCACATTGCTTAAGTAAACAACTTTACATCTTATTTGTATGTAAGGATAATGTAGTATATAAAAATGTATCAGTGAACCTTGTCTTGACCTAATACATTTGGACATAGTTATGCAAACCAGATCCAACCCACATGATAATATATTTTGAGAAAAATGGGTTTTTGTTAAAATGTTGTAATGAAAAAGGTGTTTCTTGTTTTTAGTTAAATTTTATTGTCATACTGGAGATTGTATTTTCTATCATTTATTTATCAAGAACTTTTTCATATATGAATTTGATTCTAATATTTTTTCTTATAAAAACCTTTCTGGATCTATATTGCAAAATATATTTGATGTGCATTGGATCTTAATAACTAAACATATATGTATGAATATATTGACAAATGGTATTATTATTATTATAAAAATTATTATAATGCAAAGTTATATAAATATAGTTTTACATATAATAGAATATTTATACCTATAAATCAGTGGTACACACAAAAATACAGTGTTGATAATGATATTATTTATTTATTATCATAAGACACATTAACAGTACAAGAAATCATAACAATAACAACATAATCACCAAGAATCACATCTGATATTTGCACCAATAATAAGCGTGTACACGCTACACACATTAGCAAAATTTTGTCACAATTGAAGTAAAATTTAATTCAAGTTTACAAATTATGAAAAAGAAAACAAAAATTGTAATTGATTAAGAATATATATTATAATGAATACATTGCAATGTTAAACTCTAATTAGTCAATAATAATAGAAATTAAAATATAGATATGTCAATATTGCATGTCACTTTGAATTAAAATTAGTTTAATATGTTTAGTTTAATATATTAGTTTGTTATGATATTACTGAGATTGTGAAAAGGAGCTTTTATCTTTTATGCAAAATCAAGCAACTTACTTATATAATATAATTGGTTTCATGCTGCATGGATCTTTCTTTTAATATATGAATAATTTAAATATTAATGTACTAGTTACCATGGATCTTTTTTTTGTTTAATATGATTGTGCTTTTTCAAGTGGGTATTGTTGAGCTAGTGTATTTTTAGCTATTTTTGTAACTAAAAGTTTTTCAATCATCTTTATCTTCATAGAACCTATAGAAGGTTAATTTTTAGGCTTTGATGTATATATAACTAGATTTTCACAAATTTGTGGGTTGGTTTCGTTTGCATAACTATTGCCATTTGTTTTGTGGTTTCAGTTGTGCATTTAAATTTGGTACCTAAACCTTTTTTATAAATTACCAGAAATATTAAATACTTAAGTAATGAGTAAAACATGATTGCATACCCTTGAAGTAAGTTTTCAATATATTGACCTTTTATAAAATTAAACAGAGAGAAAAACATTTAGACAGTGAAACAGTTTTTCTTTTTATACAAGTGGTTGTTAACAGTGTTAACATTGAATTTTTATAATATAAAATATTTTTCTTAGTACCTTGAAATATTGTTAGAATACTAACTTGTTATGGGTCCACAGTTCAATGAGTACTGGAAATTTAATAAAAATATGTCTTATCAAGTTTAATGACACCAATCAATCTTGTTACAAAAGGTTATCATATATAGCAATTGAAATGACAAAAAACAAGGTTCACTGTTGGATTTTATGACTTTTAACCTTGTAACAGAGTATGTTCCACTAGGTACCTTGTTACAGAGAGTGTTACACATTAAATAATTTGATAAATAATATAAAAAATAAAATAAGAATTATTTAAATCAAATCAAGTAACTACAAGATCAGTATTTTTATATTTAAATAGATAAATTTGAATCTAACTTTCTGTGGTTATAAAATTCAATAATTTCAAAATTATGTAAATATAAAAATAAATAGCATTTAAACATATTGTCAATTGAACTAACTGTGAATTAATTACTTTAACAGATATATATATATATATATATATATATATATATATATATATATATATATATATATAGGATTGAATCCTTTCATAGGCATTTCTTGTGCAATACTATACATTTTTTTATAAGATTCTCAATGCCAAATAGGATACAAGTGAATTGCTCTTTATTGCTCAGAATTGTTAATGCATGGAAATTAAAAAAAATCAGGTAAACACATCATAACGAGGATTCCTTTAGAGAACATTTGTGTATTAATTCAAAAAATAAAAATTTTTGAACTCTCTTATAAAATCATTTCTTTTAATTTAGGCAAAAGTTACAAGTGGTTTATTGGACGTAACTAGAGAAAAAGTGATTTTTCATGCACAGGTTTCTGGCAGCATCACAGAAGGTGCAGGTTCAGAAGTTTGTAAAGAGGGTGCAGCGGAGGGGGCGGACTCCCTCGCCTCTCCAGACGCGCGCTCTCCGGCGGCCGCGCGATGCGTGCTCTGTCGCGCTCTACTCTCACTTCAGGAGGGCACACCCAAGCTCATGGAATGCTTGCACTCGGCTTGCGAGCCTTGCATCAACGCCAAACTGGAGGAGAGGCAGGCCGGCTCCAGAGACTTCTTAGGCGAGTATGAAGAAGCAAACCATTCACTAAATGCTGTTGCTTGCTGATATTGAGAGATTATTAGTTGTCTTATGTTATGAATCTAATTTTTTTAATATAGCAAATGCGACGCGAATCTAATATTATATCTATGATATGATATTCAAATGAATAAAAAAACTGATTTGTTTTTTTTTACCCCACTTGTTTTACCTAAAAAAGGATATGTTTCTCTTTCTTTACATTGCATTATCTACACTTGGGAGCAAATAAATCGAGGCATCCCCATTTTTAAAGTTTTGTGGCTATTATTGTAGTTATTTTTTTTTTCTTATTATATATTTTGAACTATACTAGATAGTGCTATATGAATTTTAAATCGTGTTTTTTTTTTGTTAAATAAAGAATTATGTCCAATTTTGCCTTAAAAATTTACTAACGCATCTAGTGATGTGGTATATTTCAAAATGTATAGCTTAATCCTAACTTATTTCATATCAGGAAATGAAATCTTAAAATAAAGTCTGGATAAAAATTGCGAAGCTAATCATTATTTTCATATAGTACTATGTCAACTACCTGAATGCGATTCGGACCCTAAAACGACGGTTTGCTATACTATATAAAAAATGTTCTTTTCAACATAAGGTAGAACAATCCACATTCACTATTAAATTCAGGTTTATTTTTAAAAAGCATTGATTTTCATGCATAAATCTGGAGTTTTGGGCAGCAAAGCATTATTTACAAATTAGAGTAGGATAGGTTTTTTTTGGCGACACGCATCACCAAGGCCTCCAGATGAATAGATGCTAAGATATTATTCTATTTTAAGCAAAAACTAATTTAAATTATCACTAATGGTGGGTAGAAACGACCGTTAAAAAAACATGCGACGTGTCAATAAATGTATCACAAGTCTTTACGTTTAAAATTGAAAAGAATTTATATATTTATTTTTTTAAAAATCGAGAATAATACGATTTCAAGTTCGACGGCGATGTATGTATTTATTTAAGTATGTTCAGCGAATTTTCCGCAAATTTCTTTTCAAATTGTAAATCCATACAAATATGCGAATATAACTGTCTTTGTGTGTGTCAGTTAAGTTTTCACGCCCTTACTGCTAACCAATTTCAAGTACACAGTCAAAGTCCACGCGGGGGAAACCGCGAGCGGAAAGCTAGTTTAGTATAAATCTGAAACTATATTAGCAATAAATAATACTATATGATAAAGTGAAGGCTAGAATGTGAGTATGTTAGTTATACTAATAATTAAGATAATTTTTTCTTCAATTTGTTTTCTGATAGTCATATTCACAAAACCTTAGCTCAAACTTTGCGAATGTTAATTTTTAAAAAATATGTGATTGCTAATGCGAAAATACAAAGAATGGTACTATTGGCTTGACAACTCGACTGTTTTGGGAAAAGTATTTGGAAACTTTCAAACGACCATATTGGATGGGAGATATCTTCAGCTTATTTTCCAGGATATATAGATGATGTCTGATATAGTAATGTAACTAAACATATAATTGTCATTAATTGAGATAGTCACTAGGAGTTGTGATGTCACACTTCAAAAAACATGAATACTGGTTACACTAGCAACAAAGAAGTATATGTTACTAAATAACTAATTTAAGCTGTATCTATTGGCCTATTGTTTATTGTGCTTGTAATATATGTATTCTGCAAAGCTGTTGGTGTTCCAAGAAAAATAAATTAATTTATTGTCGCAACTGCCCAGTAGCCATTTGCATTTGCATCACCTCTGTCAATATCTAATAATTTTCATTGATTTGAGAAATTCAATTATGATTTTTATTTTCTTTATATGTGTATTCCAGCTTCTTATTTTGTGTTTAGAACATTTTATGTGACAATATGTTGATTCCACAATCTACAAATATGTGGCTTGGTCGTATTTAGTTAAGGCATGTTGGCTCTCTCCGAGATCTGATAACTTTTTTACGACGCTTGTACGTGACGCTTTTATGTAGCAATAGTTATGCCCTTACTATAAAAAATTACCCATATTTTAACTTTCATCGCACCCAATGTTTCTTTACAACATTTTTCTTGTGGAGCATTAGCGAATTACCAAAACATTTTTGATTGTGCAAGCAACATAGTTTTAAAGATTGTTAAATTACCTTTCGGACGATATACCCATTAAAGTGTTATGTTCAGCAATACCTAAAATAATAGCTATGAATTCTAAAAAAATACATAGTAGTACTCCGTATATTATAGTTTATCATTGGTGTAAATAACTAGTACTCCGATGATAAACTATGAAAGTTTAAAAGAACGTATTTGTTAATTATCCCGCTATTATAACAAACTAAGAATTAAAATTATAAAAAATACAATGTTAAGTGTGTTGAGAAGGTGTATACATTATAATGTACAGATTTGTGTGTAGGCGCGGAACGTGTGACGGTGACGTGTCCCGCGTGTCGGCTGCAGTGCCAAGTGGCCAACATGATCGACCAGAGGTTCGTGCTCGAGAAACTGACCGTGGAACAGGCGGGCTCTACAGGTACACATCATATCATTTGCTCGGTTTCATATAATATATAAGGTTCATCGTCGATATGAACGACCCCACCGTATATATATTAACTACTCGAATGTGATTTTTTACATAATTTTTACCAGTTTTTGACATTCCATAGAAACCCCCACCCGCTGTCTGTGTTTGATTATTATCGTATAACTTTCATAAAAGTTGGTATCAAGCATTTGCAGGATATAACTGTGGGTGGGGTGGGGTCGTTCCATGTGGGAGCAGTGAGTGCAGTGTACAGTGTACCGTGTAGTGTATCGCTAACGTGTGGCCAGGGCTGAGCGGTGAGCAGCAGTGCAACAGCTGCGAGGACACGGAGCCGGCTACCAGCTACTGCGTGGACTGCGCCGAGTTCATATGCGACAACTGCGTCAACGCACACCAGAGGTGTGTTCTAACACGTTGATTTCTAGTGTTAGAAGAGATTGCTCTATTGCGATGATATGGCAGTCTCTTGTATACTTATAATACTACTATCACAGAATAATACAGTAGCGAAACTTATGCCTACGCCTACGCTGCATTGGACCGTTAGGGTTGCCTTCTTATTTAAAGTAGTAATAAAACAATATTGAAATTTTAAAAGATTTTTATTTATTATAATTGTAAATAATAAGTGCCTGTTCCAACTCATTCTTAATGCTTTATAATTAAAGGCTGTTCTTATACAGACTTAATCAATTTGGTCCGATTACTAAGAATTTCAAAATGGCGGTAGGTGTTGTTTTTTCTGATTGACGCATTAATTTTCCAACATTCAATTTTTGAGATTTGACAACTATTGCAACAAAATAAACATTCTGACTAATATATTGTACACATGTATTTAATTGATATCGATAATAGCAATAAAATGTTATTCTAACCATTCCATATGAGGAAGTAACACACGAAAGGTTCACGTTTGAAGACGTGATATTTAAACGTCCATTTACGACACAATATTTCGTGTATTATCATCGGGATCGCTCACTCGCCGTACGTGTAGTAGTCCTGACGCGGCAAGCGCAACTGAATGCACCACGAGATCCCCTGGAAAATCCACATGTATCCTGTTTGTTCTTAGTTGCGCTACTGTATTATTCTGTGCTATCACTCGGTTTTTGAGAATGAGAATTTTAAGTCAAGTATGTATCAAACTGTACTTAAGAGTTACCTACTACTAAGCTCTTCGTTTAAGTGGTGATTTATTTTTTTTTAATTGTCAGATCATAGCAGCTCGATGAAACTAGGACTTCTTGCCACTTGCTACGTAAAGAACTTAAAACATTGAGAATAACCAGTTAAAATTTTGTACTTTTCTCAATTCAGAAACCGTCTTGTATGTCTTGTCGGCACACGGCCGTTGCGGTGTGATTTCATAATTAATTGTCCTGTGTCATATGCAATATAGTTTGATAGTAGTATATTTAATCTGATTCTGACTACTGCGAAAAGGTTAAAAAAGGGGACAAGGTTCTCTTAGTTCGAAATTTTAACACAAACCATCGTCGTGTATTAAATGTGAGCATATAGATCGTAGAATAATGTGTGCGTGTGTGTGTGTGTGTGTCAGGTTAAAAATAACAAAGGAGCACACGATAAAGAGCAAGCAGGAGGCGGTGGCGGAGCTGCAGGCCGCGCAGAACTCGCACGACATGTTCTGCAGATACCACGTGCAGGTGACGTCACTACACATATACATACATATATCTGATTTATAAATATACATATTTATTCATAGTAAATAAAGTCGAATAAAATGGACTCATCATAGTAGTGAACAGAGATAACACACAATAACAAAGGTTTTATAATATTCTTTTACTATCAAAAGAACACTATCCGGTTGCTTTATACATTTATTTATGAATCCGATAGAGGAAAAAATGCGTCCATTATGTTTAACCTTATATTTCGAACTGGCAACCATTAAATATTTAACTTATTACTACCCGCCACCAAACTAAATATATTATAAATGTAATTACCAGAATATAATGGCAGATGGGGAAATTTTAATTTGTAAAAGGCAAGATTCAGAAAAAGAAATTTAAAAAATAAAAAAATATCAATAACTGCCTTATTACATTGAAGATACTCTTGACCGAATTCCGTCTGCGTAGGCCACACTATAGTATGTGCATAAAGATACACATGTACACTCTAGATTACCACCATCCAATAGTCCGCTTGGGAAGCACCCGACCAGCAAGCCGATTCTACTAATGTTTCGTCATTATCGCATCTCAATAGAATCTAAACTACTCGCATTTCCCCCTTGTACTATCTACCTGAAGTCTATCTTGGTCAAAAGCAACAAAAATACGATTCAGAATAAATCCGTACTATACCGACCGACTATGATAAGATAAAAAAGGATATTTTGGAATTGGATTGGAATAAATACTACAATTTTACAGATGTCAATATTGCTACAGATTTTTTAATTAACAACATACAGAATGTAATAAATAAAAATACCACCAAAACGAAGTAATCTAGTAGGATCAGTGCCGGTTTTAGCACTACTAGCGCCCTGGGCGAAATTTCTTCGGCGCCCTCTAACTGCAATTCAATTACAATCAGTTACTACTACATACTTCAAATCAGTTACTTGTCTTTTTTTCCCGACCCGGCTACTTACTTGTAATTTGCCCTAAATTTAGGTAGATTGTTAAGTTGGCAGCATTAGAATGGAACGTAGTGTTCAATCGGTTTAATTTCTCGGGAATCCCCGACTTTCCGACCATACAGAAACAATGTGTTTTTCTATAATCGGGGATTCCCTAGATCTATCTCTTTTAATTTTTGACGAAGAAGAACACAATCAACAATTATCTTCTTGCTTGACATAAGTGGACGCTCTTAAAACAATTATTCGATTATTTCAAAACAAACAAACACAGTAATCAAACGTTTAACGCTACGTTACGATGCTTTTGTTCCAACTATATAGTGACATTAGTTTTATTTAAAAAGTAGACATGAATAGTGTATAAGTACAGATTCATTTTTACCCTAACAGGGTGTCACATAATTGTTGTAACTTTGTGAGAGTGAGTTTGCAGTGGGCCATTACTTATTATATGATCAATTATTTTGCTATTTCAAATAAGTGGACAAGTAGCTGGATCCGCTATATTCGGAACAACATCATCTAGTACATGTATTTGTTGTACATCAATAACAGATCAATAACAGAGCAGCATCTGTAATCATAGCACAACTTGCTCCCTTACTTCGGGATTTTTCATCCACAATCTCTTGAGTAGCTATTCCATTTGACTTGCCAGGCAGAGGCTCCACTGCCGATGCATTCGTTTGTATTGCAGCATTTTAGCTTCAGCTTAACGTTTAAACATGCTCAAACGAAAATTTTCTTAAATGACCAAGCGATAATGCCCGCCAATGTACGTCATATTACCTAATAAAATACATATCTTCATATTGGTAATCGGTATGTTGTTCTTTTTTACCATAATATAATATTTTTCTTGTTAAGTATCCTTTAATTAATGCTGAAAGTGAGGCAACTTGAAAATAAAAAAAAAATCCTCAAGGTTCTTGTTCTTGTTCAATGAGCAAGGGAACTACAAGAGGGCGTCTGTGGGAAACGAGGAAGTATTAGAAAAAAAAAATTAGTTCCCGAAATCAAACTAGATGTCACTACGGTATGTTCTTGATTTCTCTATGACAACCCTTCCAGTTTTCTTTCAGATTTAAAAGTAAATTAGTTTTCAAAACTCAATTAACAACTCATATTCTATTTGTACTTTTTCATATTTGTATTGATTTCTAAGTTTCGAACTTTTAATTTTAAAATTTTTTAATATGTTAGTTAAAATGAACGGAAATGACTGTCTTTATTCCATTCGTTTTCTGCAAAAATCAACTTTTGCTAGGGTGGCCATCTAGGTGGAGGTATTTTTGTAGTGCTTTCGTTTTTTTTAAATACTTCCTCATTATATAGAATCAGAAAGAAACGCCGGACGAAAAAGGGGCGCCGCGTCCTGCTGCGCCCCTTTTCGTCCGGCGCCCCTGGGCGGTCGCCCAACCGCGCCCTACCCTAACGCCGCTACTGAGTAGGATTAAACCACTGAAAGCATGGATTACCGTAGGAATAGTAAGATCTATTCGAAAGAGGGATAAATCACTTAAAATGTTAAGAAAGTCACCAATGATTTAAATCTAAAAATAGAATACAAAAATTATAGAAATACATATAATAAAATCATAAAATGTGCTATATGTAGTAATTATAGGAACAAATTAAAAATGTCAGTTGAAAGTAATAAAAGACCAATTGTAAAGAAACAAATTCTAACTTACTCGTATCTATATAATAACAAGTATACCGATACTTCACCACTGTAGGCAGTAATCTAGCAAATTAAATTTTAAATAAACTGGGACTTACTGAAACTGACCTTGTTAATAATACAAAAACTATTTTTACGCCGTGTCAAATCTGGCTTTTTTGCCCATTGAAGTTTATAATATTATAGGAGATCTAGATTCTAACAGTGCCTGTGGAGGGAATAAAATAACCATTCGTTCTTTTTAAATGTTTAAACTGTTTTTGACGCCATTAATTGTGTTCATTTGTAACTTAAATTTTTCTACAGGGGTTTTTCCAGCAGTATTCAAAAGCGCTATAGTTTGTCCAATATGCAAAGCAATCCTTCAAACTATAGGCTGATATTACTATTACCAACAATTTCAAAAATAATTGTGAACCATAGACTTATTTGTTATATGAATAAAATAGATACATTATCAGAAAATTTGATTTATTTACGGACCTTCAGAAAGCCCCCGAAACAGTTTCAATTGCGATATTTCTTAGACGCCTGGAAAATCTAGATATGAGGGGACTGATGCACGCTTGGTTTACTGACTATTTGACAGGTCGAAGTCGCAAAGCATCGTACACCTACGGCGTCCCACAAGACAGCACTCTTGGCCCATGATGTTAATGTAATATAAAATCACCTACAATGTATGTGTTTGGTGAGGTGCTGCAAGACACATATGATACAATTAGTGAGGGCTCACAGAGCTGTACTTAAAGTAGCTTTAAGTGTACCATATAGATTCCCAACAGAACAACTATATCAGCGAGCAATGTATCTCCCGGTCTGCAAACTTTATGTTTTTGTTAAACGTCACATCACATGTAGCCCCACGCCTTTATAACAAGTTACTGAGATCATACGAAGACATTGTACAATACAGGTCAAAAAAGTTCAGGACTCGATTACAAAACGATAAAAACAATACAAACAATTACTAGCCTTTATTAAAAATCAGATAATTTTTTCCGCGACTTCGCTCGCGCAAATTATAGCGGCGCACGATGAAGCATCCCGTGGGTGGAAGAATTTTATTATTAAAAAACTCGACGTGTACTTTGTCTGCATTTCACTTAACGTCATAGTATCCTTGTGAGACACACACCACACACCACACAGTCCAGTCCTGCACCTTCCTGTTACGCCGTGTATGTGTTCGCAGGAGAGGCTCACGCTGTTCTGTGAGACGTGCGACCGGCTCACGTGCCGCGACTGTCAGCTGCAGCAGCACCGCGACCACAAGTACCAGTTCAGCACCGAGATGGCCGCGCAGGTAACGATCTGCGAGTATATTATATTATATTTTTTATTGTGATAACAATATTTCATCTTTTAGTTTAAACTACAATTTTCGAAGTTTACTTTTACTTGTTTATTCAAACACACTTGCTGGCTTACAGTACGCACCAAAGCGCCAACAATGTACTTATAAAATCGCGTACATGGCATTATAATCTGTTCAAGTCGGCACGATAATTCTGTTACTGGCTGTTTACATACATTAAAAAAAAACATTAATTTCAATTTCGAACTTTAGCTTCTACAATAAAAAAATTGTCTTCTTTCCCGCCGTCATAATTTCAATCCAATTCCAAATAATTTCTAAACAAAAAACTGTATGAGATTATTGTTTAGAAATTATTTGTTTTGAAAATGGAATGGGGCACTAAAGAGAATAGGATTGCAGTAATTGCACTGTACAAAAGTAGGTAAGGAGCCAGCCCGAGATTGTTGAAGCCATGAAGAAGGCTAAAGCGGACTTTGACCCGGAGAGTAGACGAACCACTAGGTCGAAAACGCTGGGAAATAGGGATTCGCCTACTCCAGGACCGTCTGGCACCCAGGAAAAATCCCTAAGCACCGGGGAGAGAGCAGGCAAACGGCCCAAGTCTGCGGCTGGAGTAGAGAATGATGAGGGGTCAGTAATTTTGGTAGACAGCGCCGAAGCCGAGCTGGCATATGAAGAGGGACCGATGTCGGCTGAATATGTGAGGCAGCAATTACTGAGCAGGGTAGAAGAAATCCGTGATGCTGCTCGCAGGTCTAGTAATTTAAAGGGCGGCATCCGGAAGGTGTTCAATGAGGCGACGGCTGCCATTGTCGAACTGGCAAACCGAGAGTCAGTGTGCTCGCAGATGGCAGAGGTAAGCCAGAGTGAGACGGTGAAAGGGCTAGTAGAGGAGAACCGTAAATTAAAAAAGGAGATGAAGGCTATGCGCAAGGAGCTAGAAGGACTGCGCATAGCCCTCAAAAACAAGTCGGTGATGCCCCCCAATGTAGATGGTGAAAGGGAAAGATCCCTGAGAAGTGAGGGAGGTTCATTTAGGGAGATGGTACTAAACACAATGAAGGAGGGGTACCAGAACCTAGAGAGGAGCATTATGATTTCGGTGGGGAAAATGGTCTCGGCAAGATTGGAAGGGCTGGAAGGGAGATTACTCCCAGCGCCCAATCTCCGGCCACCACTTGCCGCAGATCGAAGAAAAGAGCAGGAGAGTTCCCCTCCGCAGAGGTCGGAAGGTCCTCCCCAGAAGAGGAGGGAGCATTCTCCTCCAAGAAGGAGGGAACCAACGCGCAACCAGCGTGGGGCTGATGACCCGCGGAAGTCGGCCGAGCCTGGGCCTTCTGCGGAACAGAGAGGGGGGTGGACCGTGGTCCAAAGAAAGGGGCAAAAAAAGCTTCCCAAAAGAGGGACGGAACCTTCGTCGAGTTCGGCAGGAGAGGGGACACCAGTACAGAGTGGGAGGGCCACAGCGGTGGAGGCAGTGAGAGGGCGAGTAAAGACGAAGGGAGTGGACCAGTCAGTGGACGGGAGAGGAAGGGAGCAATTGAAGCCCAAAGGTCCCCCTAAAGCGAGAAGGGTGAAAGTACCGTCAACATCAGCGGTACAGATCACCCTCTCACAAGAAGCGGAGATACGGGGCCTCACTTACTCCCAGATCCTCAAGAAGGCCAGGACGGAAACTGAGACGAAGGATTTGGAACTAAAGGGCGTTAGGATGAGGCCCTCAGCCACTGGGGCGTGGTTGCTGGAGGTGCCCGGTTCCAAAAGCGGAGTAAAGGCGGATGAGCTGGCGGCCAGAATCGGCTCCGTTTTGAAGGATGCCGCCGTAGTAACTCGGCCCTGTAAAACGGTGGATATGCAGGTGGCCGGATTCGACGAATCCGTGACGGGGGAGGAGATATGCTCGGCGATCGCAGAGGGAGGGGGGTGCAACCCCAATGAAGTTAGGGTGGGGCCGATTAACAGAAGAGCGGGTGGCGCCGGCATGGTTCTTGTTAAATGCCCTGTACTGGCGGCGAGGGAGCTGGCAAAGACTGGCAGGATAACGATCGGATGGGTCGAGGCCCGAATTCGTGTGCTGCGCGCCCTGCCCATGCGCTGTTTCCGGTGCATGGGCGTTGGGCACACGAGGGCGCTGTGTCCGTCCAGCACTGATCGCACCGGAATGTGTTTCCGGTGCGGGGAGCTTGGCCATAAGGCCGCTGTTTGTGGGGCCACAAAGGCGCGCTGCGCCATATGCAGTCAAGAGGGACTCACCTCTGAGCATGTGATGGGCGGGAAGGAATGTAACCCCCCACCGGTGAGGGCCCGGATAAACCGGAATAGTAATGACGCTGGCACCCGTACGACCGACGAAATGGACACAATATAGTGTCTGTGACGAATCGGGTGGCCAAGAGAGGGTGTGTCGATTTGGCCAAAATTTACGAAGGGGGCAATCCTTTTTTCCCCGCACCAGTTCGGTGCCACACCTGCTGCTTGCTCTCCGTTCCTCTCGAGGGAGAGAAACACGATGAGGGGCAGAGGTTAGGTGGCCAAATGAGCGCGTGCCCCTGAGGGGGATGATGCGCTATTACAGCCGCGAGTGCGGCGGCCTCGGGGACCGGGCAACCGGAACCCGCGGGGCTGCCGCACTGGCGGCCTCAAGAGGGGCGATGTCCTTAAGGACGACGCAAAGGGAGGGATACAAGCGCTCTCAGAAGGGTCGAGCGCTGCTCCGCACGCGGGGCCCGGTAAAACGGGCCACACGGGGGTGGTGATAGGAGCGGGGCGCGGGACTTAACTATCAGATACCGTGCCCTAATCCGCCGCGCACCACCTGCCGGGCAGCCGGAAAACTGGGGGTTTTAGTGGGTATTCCTCCCCCTACCAGCGCAATTCTGGCGATGGGCGGAGGCGAGTCCCACACTCCGTCCGTAAATGGATTTCCCCCAGTATAAAAAAAAAAAAAAAAAAAAAAAAAAAAAGGTAAGGAGCCAGCCAACAATTTTGATACATTGAAAAACCTAGGCATTAGCCGAATGTTTGTGTATCGTACCATCCAAAGGTACACTGAAACCATGTCTGTTGATGACCGTGAGAGATCCGACCGACCGCTGTTTATTCGAACAAACCAGGCCGTTCATGCAGTTAAGGCCAGAATTCGTCGAAATCCTATAAGGAAGTAGAAAATCCTTTCCAGAGAAATGAGAACCCCACAGAGGACACTTTCTCGGATTATCAAACAAGACTTAGGTCTAGGGGCTTACCGGAGATACACAGGACATACCTTAAATCAGGCACTAAAGCAAAAGAGAGTCGAAAGATCAAAACAGCTGTTACTTTGATAAGCGGGCGAAAAACAAATATCTTTACATATGATTTTTTTTTTACAATCGAGAAGCACTACTACTAGCAAGATGATCGAGTGTATGTACATAGCTCTAAAGAAGCTTCCGAGGTAGTGGCCAAAATTCAGCGAGGCCATCATCCAGCATACGTCATGGTTTGGTGGGGTGTCTCCTACCAAGGGGTTACAAAACTCCATTTTTGCGAAAAAAAGAGTGAAAACTACAGCCAAAGTGTATCAAGATACCGCGTTAGAAGCGGTAGTTAAACCTCTCAACAACACCTTATTCAGAAATGTTCCTGACTTCATAAAGGCTGATTATTGGCCTTCAGCTAGTACGGACTTAAACCCTTTGGACCAGAGGTTTCCAAACAATTTTTACAGTACACCATTTTAAAAAATTTACTGGTTTCGGTGGACACCCTGCTGCTACATTATTACCACATTTCCAAAATTCGTCCAAAATGTGAAGATCTAACGATGGAAATTGGCGTCGCGGGTGAGTTCCATCCCAAAATTCGGAGTATATTTTCTTGCGATCTATTTATTGAAATAATAATGATAACATAATAGAATTAAAATGATTCAATAATAACGTTACGTGACTTCAACAATGCAAATCAATAGTAGAAAAAATGCCCATAATTTTAATGGGAGGGATGTACTTGATGGATAGACAGAAATTTTCAATATTTGGCTTGAGTTTTGTAAGGATAAACCGCAAATCTCCCCGTTCTGTAATGTTTAATCTGCTCCTTTTTTTTGTTAATAGGTTTGTAACGACACTAAAACTATTTTCGATAAGGTATGAAGAGGGAAACGCTATCAAAATTTTTCTCGCAATTTCCCACAGCCCAAGATATTTTTCGGGTATTTCTGCTTGCAGCCAAAATCTTTGATAGCCTTTTTTAAATTGCACCTTCTGCTCTTTCATTGGTGCTGAGCTCGAGTAGTTCCTCTTGTAATACTACATCAGCCACTTCCGTTTCATCAAATGGATTTATGATCCATGGTGGTATTTCCATCATCAAAATATCTTCAAATCTGATTTGAAGTCATCATGCAGCGCATTAAATGTTGAACGTATGTCTAAATATTTTCATCAAGACATGCTGTATGTGTCAAGTTTGGAAACTGTGTGAATTTACGCCGACTAATATTTTGCTTCATAAATTTCAATTTTCCAAGAAAACCCGAAATTACACTCTTTGTTTTTATTAAATTTAGGCTACCCCTTGTTAATGTAATTAATTTTTTTGAACGAATATCTCAAATACACGATGTCTGCTTTCCATTTGATCAAGTTTTATTTTAAATCTGGATTTTTACTTTCCAGAAACTCTAAAACTGATTCAAAAAGTAAGTATAACTTTGTTAAACACGCACCTTTCGACAACCAGCGTACTTCAGTATGTAAAAGCAATCGCCAGAAGTCTTAATCGTTTTCGTCGCACTATTGGGCAAATAAACGAGTATTCAACGCACTGCATTTTATTCTATTAACAGCTTTAATCACAAGTTGAAGTGATTGATGCAATCTATCACTCAAATTTTTCGCTACCAGGTGTTGTCGTTGGATGACACAGTGTATTGCGGTTACTGCTGGTATTATTCTTTTAAGATGGCTTATAAACACACGATAACGTCCGACTATGGCAGGAGCTCCATCTGTTGCCACCGAAATGATGTTTGTAAATGGAATCGATGTTTCCTGAAAAAAATCACCCAATAGCTTAAATATTGATTGAGTGTCCGTCTCTAAAGTTTTCGCGAATAGCAGCTCTTCATGGATTTCTTCTTCCATAATAAATTCATTACCAAGTAAAGTCGACTCGTCCAGTTGAATAGAAAAATGAGTTGTTTGTAGATAATTACACAAGAAACTTTCAATATCAGAGCTCATTTCATCATTACGTCTTTGTACAGTGTTGTAACTTAAAGGAATTCTTTTAAGTACGTCACGTGAAGGCATGTGCAAAACAGTATTTAAAACCTCTTCAACAGCGGGTAAAATTAACTGTTCTCCAATGGTGAGCGATTTCCCAGATATTGTAAGATGCCCGCAAGCCATCATCGTTAGTTTGAGACGTTGAAGCGAACATACTGTAAAAAAGAGACCCACCGTGCCGGGTCTCTTTTCAAATTTTTCCTTCATTGTTTGAAAATATTTTAAATCATTACCTATTTTATCAGGATGACACCCTTCTTAGATGGTCTTCGAGCTTCGATGGTTTCATAGAGTCATTGCTCAAAACTTTGTTGCATAAAAGACATGTCCGCAATCGTTTATCTGCCTTTGATGGAAGAAAACCAAATTTCAAATAATCACTACTGTTCTGTCGACATTTCTTCTTAGATTCAGCCATGTTTCGTATCAGTTACCTACATAAAATATAATCAAGTGTATAGTATAGTATAACTAGAATAATTTATTTTCTGCCAAGATCTGTATCATCCTACAAAAAAAGAAATAAGTATGTAATTATAAACATGCAGGTCAATCATATACCCCTCCTTTAGTGAATAACTACAGCCAGGTAGATAAATAATTGTATAATAAAAAGTACAAAATCAATCGAATAATGGACCTGTTCAGTATTTAATATTTATTAGGTACGTACCTACTACACGCAAACATATGCAAACAAATATATTATTATTACAATCAAATAGGCAGGGAGGTACTTACTTTTTCGGGACCGGCAAAAACTGACATAGATTCACTCACACTTTTCTGTTCAAAATTCCGGAAATAAATGCGTAACGTTTGTCTTTGGCATTCATATTTATATTGGTGAAGAATCAAACATGTTTGCACAGCAGAAGTGGTATTTCGTAGCTGTGCACATCTGAACAAGCATCGCGTTGTACTGAATATTGCAAAAGCAAGTTTTTACAAGTAACACACGCTGACCTTCTTGCAATATTATCACTAACCTACTAAATTCATTGATATGTAGGTAAAGCCAAGAAAACATTTTTGTTCCTTACTATCGAAACCAGATAATTTTAATATTAGATTAATAATAAATTTTCGTGGACCCCACTTACAACTTGTGAACCCCTATTTTTATTTCACGCCAACGTAGACCTCGTTGAATCCCTCGTGACCCCTGGGGGTCCACCTGGATCACTTAGGGAGTCACTGCTTTGTACTATAAATTGTGGTCTGTGCTAGAGGACATGACCTGTTTTAAGCGTCACCCAAATATTGAGTCGCTCAAGAAATCTTTGGAGGCAGCAGTGACCAAGTTTCCAATGGAAACCGTTCATAAATCCATCAACGAATGGCCCGACCGCTTTAAAGCGTGCGTTAAAGCTAAGGGTGGACACTTTGAATAACTAGTTTAGTACATTAACATATGTTTTCCACTCTACTCTACTCTATATAAAATATTTTTTTTTTTTAGAAATTATCGGATATTTTCTTTGTAACAGAACTTATGGCTAGAGTCGGTATGAAAAGTGCAATAAATGAAATTAAATGCTTGCGTTCAAGTATGTCAATATGTAATGAGAAATTTATCAGTATCACCAATTGATCGGATAGGTCGGTCGGTCGAGCAGTCCCCGATTAGCTAAACTTTGGACACTAACTATATATATGTAATCATATACAGGCTGTATTATTGAGATGGAATAGTAAGGGCAGGTACCCACCTTATCAGCGATAGTTACATAAAAACGCTCCTAGGTGACCTATTCATAAATGATTGATAAAAAATTATTGGAAAAATTTTGGTGATTTCAGACATGGTAATTGGTTTATCTAAAATGGTCCGTACAGTCTCGACCCCCTATCGAAATATCTAGCCGATATGCATAATAAAGATTCTTTTGGATATTATTCGTGTTGACTATACCATTTTTCCCCTAAATCATTTATAAGTTGTATATGATAAACTAGGAACGTTTTTATGTGACCAAAACTGTCACGGTACCTGTCGTTAGTAGCCGTCGTGTCAGTAGACCACCGCGTACAATAACAGTAGTGAGCGGTGAGCTGTGAGCTGTGAGTGGTGAGTGTTGAGTGGTGTGTGCGGTGTGCAGGCGCGAGCCAGCATCGCGGCGCTGCTCTCGGAGGTGAGCTACAAGCGCGTGCTGCTCGGCTCCGCCATGAAGGTGATCCGCGACCGGCAGGCGCTCATAGCCGACAAGAAGAAGGCGCTCGTGCACGAGATCACGCAGACTGTAGTCAAGTATGTATTGTGGTGTGACGCCACACTATACTATACACATAGGGACATATTACAGTGAAGGTATATAATTCCGTTGTAAAAATTTCAACTTATTATAAACCTTAATGCGTTGACTATACAGTTCAAAACCACTGAAGAGGAAAAAAACGGGTCGGTTGTTTATTCGATTATAATAAAAGCAGCATTACCATATTAATCTAACAGTATACAAATCGTATATCGTGCAAAATGTCAGGTTAACGAACGCCATCAACACTCGCGGCAAGCAGCTGGTGCTGAGGCTGAACGAGGTGTGTGACGCGAAGCAACGGACCCTCAGCGAGAAGAAGGACGCGCTCGAACAACTGGCCGCCATCACCGACCACTGCGTCTCCTTCGTGAACGGCGCCCTCGAGCAGGTAACCTTCCCCGCACCCCCGACTGTCCTGTACCGCGCTGCCTTAATGTATACAATAACTTGTACACCCCAATTAGATAATTAATATATAATCATAACACGAAAATAGTAATTTTACTTTTATGTACTAAAACATTATTTATGTATGGACATATTTATACTAATTGCTGTGTAAAAGTGTAAACATCTTAAAAATCCACACAATGACGTCAAAATTACGACTCAGCCTTCAGCTACAAATGTATGTACCAGCGCAATACCACAATGATAGACATGAAGTATTATTCTAACCCTTAAGCATTTCGTTGTATTTACTGTACGTTAGTATAACGAAGAATTATAGCATGTGAAATTGAATAAGATAATCATCCACTGTCACCGTCAAGATTATTTGTGGTATATTATTTTACTCTTTGGTTTATGAACTTGTTCATCATAGCGTTTAAGTGCATTTAAGACTAGAGTCATATTAAAAGTAAGCTCATTTTTCTTTGTATTTTTTTCGTATATTGTAGTCGTATTTTATTACAAGCTAAGAATATAGTTTCATTTTGAAAAGCCTTAAGACATTCACTTAAGTTTATTTTTTGTTTGTGACGGCTGTTTGTGTACCAGATGACCACAATTTACAGTATCTGATTTTGAACAAACTATGTACATAGATGTGACACGTTGTATGTGTGCAGGGCAGCGACACCGCGGTGCTGTACAGCAAGCGCGCCGTGTGCGCGCACCTGCAGCGCATCAAGAGCAGGCGCGCGGACATACCGAACCCGGAGATACCGGTGCGCATCAGCCTGGCGCTGGACAAGCTGCCGGACCTTGTGCGCGGTGTGTACACACATACGACATACGACATGACGACGTCACGCTCTACTAGTGTTGATAATGTTTATGTTTTACTTTTATTTTGCCGCCTCTCACATCGGTCTAGCGAAGCGTCATCCATTCAAAGTACCGACTTATGTTAAAACTGACCGGCCGATCGTTGGTCGGTCGGTTTTACTTATTGATTAATAACCGTGTACGCCTCGTGCAGTGTTGTCGAGTATCGGCGCTATAGTGGTGGACGGCAAGGTGGACGGGGCGGGGGGCGCGCAGGGCCCGTACCACCCGCCCGCCGCGCCCGCGCCCGCACCCGCGCCCGCGCCCGCCTCCGCCGCCGCCCCCGCGCCCGCCCCCGCTCCCGCCTCCGCCATTATGGCGCTGCAACACGTCGCCATGCACCAGGTAACAAATCTCACTGCCTTATACGCCGCACCAAAAGACATTACCTTCAATTTATCTCACCGAAGAGTCTATTTTCATTTTGCGATTTCCATAATTGCTACCGATGAGGGATCTTTAAAAATGACAATTACCAATTAATGTTGAATATAAACAATCGTCCCGTGAAGAGTTACGATGCCACCTTTTTAGTTTAATAGTTCCATTTTCTATCAACAAAGTTGTAAGCCGACGGTACGTCTGTAATTAAATTGATGCCATACAATAACATAATTTATAAAAATATATGGATGTAAACAAGATCGATAGGTTTTGTTTTACAAAAAGCAGGATACATGTATAAAGTACATATTGAGTCTATAAATAATTTTAATTAAGCGAAGTACTATTCAGCCGATACGACCGCCCACCAGTGGCGTGATGCGACGCAGGGTGACCATCACCGCAGTACCGCCGCTCAAAGAGAGAGTTAGTACATACCTCGTATTATACACAATACGAAACAAGTTGTAGTTATATACAGTATGTATAATGTAGTCCTATTGTGGGATGTAGTCGGGTCACATCTTATATAATATATATCATATTGTTTTTAATAAATCAATAACCGTTTATTTCAGTTCGATAAATGTAATAACTATTTCGTCTTCTTGTCAAACTTATAATTTAGATAAATATTGATTAGAAAATTATTTGAACATTTCATCACTGAAGTATTTGACTTTAGCGCTATCTGAATCCACATAATCTCAAATGACATGGTCGGATCCTGCCCAAAGAGTCAAAATGTACAGTAATCATATATTTTTTTAAAATAACATGTAAAATTTATAATAGTACCCATAACAATTCTCTAGATCTAGAACATGCGACAAAATATGCCATAAATTAGTACGTTTATTTTATCACGGTATTTACATATTTTAGGTGTTGCCATTACGCAAAGAGTATAGTGCTACAGCTCTACGATGGCAAAGGGCACAGTAAATGTGCCTTTTTATACCCTTATTTATTTATAACACGCATATTATAGCACAATTAGTATTTGATAATGAGCTTATCATAAATATATAAATACAGTTCTGAATCGTATTATTGCAAATAAGAAGTTAGATGATTTTGTGATGATCACAAAAAAAGACATTACATATGGCGAGTTGCAATAAACAACATTTTGTCTTTTAATAAGTATTTTTTAGTCACAGCTGGTGTAATTTACATCATATACTTACATATAATGTAAAACCTAGACATATTTTTACTTACTTCCTAAATTATCTAGAGAATAGAAATGTTGAAGTATTAATTTTTGTAACATTCTTATGTTGCTTCGCACTTCTATTTCAGACATATAATTTGTGATATTGCAAAGAAGTATGTCTTTAATATAATCCTCAGTATGCTCACAGGGCACAGCTCCATACAGATTCCGGCCGCATCATTTGTAGTATAGATGTTTGAGACTGCAAAAATTGATGAGCGTGTGTGAAGAAAGTAATGAACGTGAGGTTTCGAAAGGTTGGGTAGAGGCGGTGCCGTGTAGCGCACGGTTCGCCTGTTTATATACGTAATATAGTTTATATTTATAATATTTGATCAATTTTATTAATGACAAACGCCCCATAATGCCCAGGTAACCTGAGTCCTTATTCTAGTACTTTTTGTTGGATAAGTAACGGGTACGGGAAAATAAAATGTGTGCGTTGCGCATCCAAATTTGATTTGTAAGGTTGTCATTCGGATTGTTTCCATGTCTCAGACGTTGGCCCGATACCAGGTCAGTGCCTCTCGCTGTCCCCTCCTATATTCTTGTTATGTTGTCGCATGCTACACTCAATTATTTGTTCAATATCTCCTTTTATATGTCAGTTTTTGATAATGTTATTATTTTGATTATCAATATATTATATACATGTATAAATTTCAAGAGTCAAACTATTCATTCTGACCACATAGGTGGACCAAGGATAACTAGATATTTAAAGTTACCAGAAATAAAATGCTAATACAAATTTACGTATGAATTTTATTACACTTACTAAAGAAGAGAGTGGACCAATATTATGTTTATGCAGGGTAGACTATTGAGAGGGGACAGTACATGAAAACGTTCCTAGAAGATTATCCATCACTTTTTGAAATATTCTGAACTGCGTTTACAGATTTTGGAAAAAAGGTACAGACATCAAAAATAAGATTTATTAAAAGATCCCATAGAATTTTGATCCTCATGAAATAGGATCGATTGAAAATAATATTTTACTGACTCTAATTAATTTTTTTAAATGGCCAAGGTGCTTGCTCTCACTGTCCTCCCTCAAAAGTCCAACTTGTATAATATGCAATCTACCACGTTTCTTCATTTTCATGTAATATTATGTAGTTTCAATTTCTAGTTATATTAGTAATAGTTCTCTATACTATTCTCATCATTGCACAATATTTTATTTTCATCTTTTGATAGCTTTTAATGTAGGCAGTAGTTGATATGTGTAATAATTTAATGTTTTGTTTTTGTGATAGATATTTATTAGGTGATACAATACAATTGTAGTATATTAGCAGACGAGAGGCCAAGCTGCTGCGTTACATTTTTACTGTTCATTTATGGTACAAGGTTTCAAAAAATGCTCCACCACATTTTTACTCTTAAGTTAATTCTTACAACATGAGATGACCCAATTTGATGGGTAATTTTGTGAAGTGTGTAATTATTTTGAAATTGAATTTTAACTTCGACGAATGTAAGGACTCTGTATTGTATTACCGATCGTCGTCTTTTTTTAAAGCAAGGACTGACGCTATGACTTATATAGCAAGCGATAGATGCTTTTCAATCCCGTGCGTAATAATACAAAGCGGAACGTTTATTTTGTATGACTTAAGTCGAAAGTGTTTAATCGATATACAAATGAAATTATTCGCATCCACTTTACTGGATGTGATGTCATCATGTTGTCATCAGAAAACGGAGTATTGATAAGATTCTGAAATGTAATGTAATGGTTGTGTGCGTGTGTGTGTGTCAGCCGTACGTGCAGGGCGGGTACATGTCGCTGCAGCCGCGGCACGCGCGCGCCCCTCCCCCCCACGTCACCTCCACCACGCATCCACATCAGCTGCACGGTAATTATCACTCTCATATTGGTACATTATAGTATATACGTAAACGTAATGTAAAGATTGAATTGTACCCCAAGTAACAAACATTCTGAATAAAAGTTAAGTAATAACTGTCATAAAATGTTCCAGCTGAATATTTAGCTGTTTAACGTTTGAGTACCGTCTATTCAGCTGTTATCCAAAGAAAATAGGCCCCAAATAAAATGCTTAAAGCTGAATAACGTAGAATCTTGGAAGAAGCTGAATAACACTATAATTAGCATTATAACTTTTTAGTAATAGCTAACGTTTCTTTTATTAAGCTCGGACAACTCGGTTATTAAAAAAATCTATTTTCATAATTATTTAAATAAAAATATTACAAAGAGTTAAATTCAAAAACTCCATTTATGTCATTGTTCAAAAGAATATAAAAATCGGGGAATGAATAATTTACGAGATAGAGGTCCTCCAGCATGTTAATTGTTAGTGCGCAAGTAATTTTTTTCGTGAATTGTATATGTTCTTTGTGGTTCTTTTTAACGCGCCGCAATAAAAAGCAATATAATGGATTGTAAATACTGTTATCTTAACTAAATATCAGGTGTGACAAAAATGATTCTAATGAAATTACTGATTTTGCAATCTAAATGCAACAAAAACCCATGAAATGAGTTAAAAATGTTGACACTTCTCAGTTTCAATCGTTATGGTCAATCCAAAAATGCCTTGTAAATTTAATTATCAAAGATTTTTAATGTCGGTCGATTATTTTGTTTTTAAGGCTGAATACAAGTGCACAAACGTTTGATTAGTAGGCCGTTACTTGAACAGCTTTTGTATTGTAGAATAGGGTATTTGACAAGAAACATTAAAAATATATTTAAAAATGTAGTCATACTATAAGATAATAGCATAAAAACACATAATTGACTTTATTTTAAAGATAAATAAATGAAATTATGTATAATTTTTGCTGATTACTCAAAATAAAATTAAATAATTTTTAAACATTCTATCTGGTACGAAAACGCCTTGTACATGGTTGTAACTCCGATATCGTCACGCCCTAGTAAATATGGCTATAACTACCATAACGGCCGGCTGCACCTGCCGAGGAGGCCGATGTTGCGGCTCGGCAGCTCCGCGAGTACCTCACTGTGTGTGGAGTGGTGAGTGATGACGTGCGTTGCACGGTGCAGGTATGAGCGAGCTGAACCTGCGCGGGTTGCTGAACGCGCAGGGCACGCGCGGCCGCTCGCCGCACGCCGCGCACAACGCACACCACGCGCACGCGCACGCGCACGCACAGGCGCAGGCGCAGGCGATGCACCACGCCTACCAACAGAGTCAGTATACACACACACACATCTACTCACTATTACAAAAAAACAAATATATAGTATTACGTTCCTAATTCCTATGACAACTACAATTTGCAAATTTTAATTAATCTATTTATGCACAGTACAGTACAGGTATTGGCACGAAAGTAAACTCAGCGCAGAAAACGAAAATACGTATCGAAGGAGATTCAGTGTGCGGGGGGAGAGAATTAACCATAACGATAGGACCTAGTGTCATCCTAATTCGATTTCCGCCATTTATAAATGTACTCTTTGATTGATAAATTGCAAACGACATTTCAAATCCCGACACAGAGAGCCACGTAGGGATCCCGAAATCCCTACGTGGCCTACCCTCTATATAGGTACATAAATCAAATTGATAAATTAACATGTTTAAATTCAAATCTTGCAAAAATTTATAATGAGCTACATGAAACAAAAATTACATTATTTGTTATAAAAAATTAAAATATGCTTACAAATAAATCATATTATATACAAGCGAAGAATTCTAATACTCTATTAACAATGTACAAAAGAACTACACATACATATATATTGACGAGACGGGAACTTGTTCTCTTAGTTACACTAGCATTTAATATTATTATATTGCACAGCGTGGTAGTAAAGAGTGTCGATTCGCAGTGATGGGGTACGCTTCTAATGCGTTCAACTCCGGCAACGGCGTGGGCGGTGGCGGGGGCGGGGGCGGGTGCGGGGGCGGCGGCGGCGGGGGCGCGGTAGTCGGCAGCGCGGGCGGGGGCGGAGCGTCCGGTCGCCGCAGTGGCGGCCCGCGCACGCCCTCCCCCGCGCCCTCGTTCTACCCCCCGCACGCCGCCCTCACGCCCAATAACAACACGGCCGCCCTCAAGTGGCACATACCGCAGCAGGGCAGAACCAATGGTAATTAATCATCTTGTTATCTCTTACACATACATGCCTATCGAATTATCGAATGATGCATGGTTATTAACGGTAACGGTCATACCAATGTGGCAGCTGTGAGTGTCATTGTCAAAACTTTTCGTCTTCATCATAAGATATTTACAAATATTCTTCCTAAGGTGCCTCCCCAATTAGTGAAGGTTAGCTTCTCGTTCTCTGTACTGTCATGGGCAAGGCGAAACAGCTCTGCGACGCTATTAATACTTGTATCCTTCAGAATTTTATTCTACGACCAGGTCGTTTATTTACAGTAACTTTTCCCATCATTGTTAATTGCAGGATTTCGTAGTTGTCATGCCTAAGGACATGTCTCAGGTATGCAACTTTACGTTGCTTAGTAGTTAGGAGATGCTTGCGGTATTGGTTGACCCGGCGTTTGCCAACACACTTCTGTGCACCCACATTTCAAACGCTTCTATAAGTTTCCTGAGGTTTTATTTAATAGTCCAAGCCTCGTTTCCATACAGAAGTATGGGACATATGAACTGTTTAATTGTAAGACCGCGATTGCAGAGCACCTTTTTCATTTTTCCAAAGGCACGGCGTGTGATTTCAATTCTAATTCGAATTTACATATCGTTGTCCTATTTTTGTGTTAACCTGGTTCAGAGATATTTATATTTGATCACTTGGATAAGCTTTAGGCACTCCACAAATATAGCTGGTTGAATAGTGGGACTGTTGGATATCACCAATGGTTCACGGCATATAATTTTGTCTTAGACACGTTCATTCTTTTCGACGATTTTCTCTAACTCAGCCGATGTAGACGCTGCAAGAACTGTATACCTACACCTCGGGTTGTTAATGAAGCGCCCATTTATTTTATTTTAGTATTATTGCCGCATCATAATCAATTCTGAGTAGATTATAATAAATCGTCTAAGATCATAATCAATTAAAACCTGAAAAAATAACAGAGCTAAATAAGAATCACAAAATGCAACACTGTCGTACTCCCCTTTTAATTACGATCTCTAGATTCCTCCCGCCAACCCTTACAGTTGCTCACTGGTACCAATACAGATTCTATATTGTACGTGTGTCTCTTTTATCCAATTCTATATCATTGAAAGTACCATTAGAGGACCACGTTGCACTATCGAAAGCTTGTACCGTAAATAACGCGTCTCTCGTGCTTGACTATCACTTAATCGTTTATTGCTTTTACAAATATAACAAATATATTCTTATCAAGGTCTAAAATTTGTTAGTTAGAGTCAAATGAACGTGGTGTACCGCAGGGGAGTGTTATTAGGCCACTTCTGTTCCTAATTTATATTAATGATCCAACAAAATCATTTAATCATCAAACTATTATATTTGCAGATGAGTTATTGGTAATAATATAGATGAAAAATAGAATGGTATTTCTATCTTAAATGAGTTGCCGTAAATGAGACTGTAAAGTGTTTTAACACATAGCTAATTAGAAATGGACTAAGTTTGAATGCTTCGAAAGGCACAATCATTCAGCGAGACCAAACTTTTAGGTGTCATTCTTGGTCAGCATTGTAACTGGAAAGCTAACACGAGATATGGCATCATACTATGGGGTAACTCTTCTGACTTAAACTTTACATTACTTCTGCAAAAGAAATGCAATAGAGCCATTTGTGGAGCAGCACCAATGTACTCATGTTGACCTCTCTTTCGAAAATTGCAAGTGTTAACCCTGAGAGATATGTATATTTTAGAGATGGCAATGCTTGTCAAACGCCATCCTGAACATTTCCCAAAGATTACGCTATGAAAAATCCTCGATTGCGTCCGAGAAATGGTACACATCTGCAACAGCAAACGCCGGGGAGTGTGTTTTTTTTTTTCAAAGAAATTGCTACGGCATTTGCATTATGGTGTATAATAATATCCCTTTGCATATTAGAAAACCATATTAATATTTTTTCAAATCTTAGTCACCGTTGATAAGATATAATTCTATTAGATACATTATTGGTTTCACTTTTGTTTTAACATTGTATTATTGTACAAAAAAATAACCGCTAGTGTATGTCATTGACAACTGAGCGTAGTCTCATAGGGCATATGCCATCCAGCGAACATGCTATAGTAAGCGGGACCGCCCACTTGCGACTACATTCTTGTTTTCTGTTCTGTGTGTATAACATTGGTGGGTGTGTTGTATGCGCAGGTGCGGCGGAGATGAGCCCGGTGGGCGGCGGCGGCGGGGGCGGCACGGAGTTCAAGATCACGCTGGGCCGCGCCCCCCGCGCCCCCGCGCCGCCCCCACAGCCATTAGCGCCCGCCCCCAACCCCTCCGCCGTCACCTCCACCAACCCGAAGACGCCCAGCCCCAGCCTCAACGTGAGCACAGAATACGCATGGTGTTATATATTAACGGATTGTTCAAATTCTATTTTATTATTAGTATTTGAACATAAAGACTATAGGACGTCATAAGCGACAACGATCGTTTTACCAGTTTTGATAGATTTTTAGTTTCATATAAAAATGTAATTTAATTGTTCACTCGAACATACATAGTTATCGACATCCGAGGCCGAGCGGTGATTTATATTACTTTACTTTTTGATACCCACTACCTATGACTACCATAAAAAATGTACATCCAAGAGCAAACTTTACATACTCATTAAATATTGAATTTTTTATTTTCAGATTTTGTATGAAAAGGGTCATGTCATAAGTCATAACATATCAACTTAATATTTAGGTTATCTGATTATCTGTTGAAAATAGTATTTTGTTTTGTTATAAAAGTAAAAATTACTTATTCGATTTCGATATAAAATTTAAATGGGACCACCTCGGTCCATCGAGCTGTCGATGTTTGAAAATCGGTCAACAATTGACGAAAATATTGATGAACATACATCGTCGAACATATAACCTCCCCCTTTTGGATTTTGAAGTCGTTTGTCACCGTGACAAAACAATAGAAGGTGTAAGGTGTTACCATGATATGGTGCACGTGTGTAGGGCGGCGGTTGCGGCGGCGGCGGCGGTGGCGGTTGTGGCGGCGTCGGCGGCGGCGGCGGCGGCGGCGCGGCGGGCGGCGCGGGCGCCATGGAGCTGGACAAGGTGTGCGCGGAGAGCGTGCAGGACCTGATGGCGACCATCGCCAAGCTGGACTCGAACGGCGTGCAGGTGCTGCCCGAGGCGGCGCCGTCCACTGCGCACGCGCACGCGCCCTCACCACACCCGCACGTGCACTCGTCCACGGACCCCGACCACAGGCCAGGTCACTGGCAATGTTTAACGATTTTTTATTTTTATTTTATCTTATTTTTTTAATTTACGGCCATCAAACGTGACGTGGCAAATCATCAGCCCTAAGAAAAATGGTGTTCCTCTACGCTGGCCCAATGTCGATTGGAGGATATTAATGACTTGAAATGCAGCCGGGACTAACCATTTTATACATTATATCTGTTATGAAATATTCCATAATTAAACATTATAATTTTTTAAATGTAATCTATTAATGTACTCCCATTATAAGCATGGAGTCCAATGCTCTGCTTATTACCATGATCGCGATAATAAAACACTCGCTTCGTAGCTTCTAATCAAATATAACAATACAATACACAACAGTTAAATAATCAGGAAGCTGAGCAATAATAGGGTCTATGTAACTAAGTAAATCAATCATAAAGGCTGATTGGACTAAATGGAAGTTAATTTCAATTAATTTTACGACAAAAATGGAACTAACAGATGTAAAATATATTCTATAACCAATTCCCATCGCACATATTCTATTACGCTGGTAACATTGCAACGATATACTAAATAAATTGATTTTCAACGCCACTTAGACTAGGTGAAAGTAAATATTAGTAATTTTACGATAAATATTGCAGATAGAAATAGAAAAATTGCGCACGTACACGTATACATAACAAACGAGTGTTTGTATGCGATTCATTACACGTGTTGTGTCACCTTTTGTGTTTGATTTATTTTTGAAAGAGAGGTCCGAAGGGATCCCTCGCACCTCCCTGTCGGTCGATGGCGAACGTGATTAAAGCTAAACTACTGATTTCGTCCTCTGCAATATATTTTCAGTCATCTATAATCGTTCAGTTCAATTGCCATGTTTACCATGTCCACTTTCTATCCGGGCCTTTCAGTAAGTTTACATTAAACTGTGGAAGAAAGGACTCGTGCACGGGACGCACTCGTGGATTCATGATGTAGCTTTTTCGGTTACAGCGAGCAAACCGGCGGAGGGTACGGGCGGGGGGGGCGGTGACCCCAACGAGGACTGGTGCGCCGTGTGCATGGACGGCGGCGAGCTCATGTGCTGCGACAAGTGCCCCAAGGTGTTCCACCAGTACTGCCACATACCCACGATAGAGAAGCTGCCCGAGTGAGTACACGCACGCCGCACAGCCTTTTATAAATTTTTTGTAATAGAATTCATTTTCCTAGTTTTGTTCTTTAAAATACAGACTTTTTAATGATACCGAAACTAGCCAGATGCAAGTGGTACAGTCAGAAATATTTTATTACAAGTTTATACATACTATATGCGAAAAACTTTTCCCCCAACCTAATATTACATGAAAGTTCGTACGGAACAGAAATCAGAGCGCGAGTTCGTCGTGCACTGGAAAAGACTGTTCTTTCTAAATCTTAAAAGAAATTTCACTCTGCACAACATTAAAATCGAAACGAACAATAAAATCGAAACGACATATGCGGTGGGGAGTGCAGGGAGGGGGGGGGGACAGGGTCGTGGACGACGGAGCTTAAACCCGCGGTTGATATATGTGGTGCAGTGAGACGGAGAGCTGGCAGTGCCTGCTGTGCGTGAACTTCTCCGAGATGGAGGAGGTGGAGGAGGGGGGCGGCGGCGGCGGCGCGCTGTCCGCGCGGCTGCAGCGCGTGATGGAGCGCGTGACGCTCGAGCTGTACTGCCAGTACGAGACCAGCCTGCCCTTCCGCGAGCCGGTGCCGCAGGACAACCTGCACTACCACAACAAGGTACACCGCACTACACTACACTACACTACACTACATAGATAGACATATGCTATCGCGGACTTTTTTTAGAACTCTTAAAGGAGAACAATTTCGTTGTACATGATTTATGCGTAACATTCACCGTTTACGCAGCGCACGCAAAGAAATCTTTAAAAAAGTGAAATATTCTACCGCTTTTGCAACACTTCATTGCTGTTCCACATCTATTTGTCATAGCGTGATGTTTTCACCGATCGATGGATTTTTCAATAAAAATAATAATAATTCAGTTTCTTAGATTAGCGAGTTCAAACAAACAAACTCATCACCTTTATTATAAGTATAGATTATCACAAAAATATTCTCAACAAATTCCCAATTTGACTTAGTTGTCACTATATATTGTCATATGAAATGTATAAACATGTCATGTAATTTATATACATAGATAAGTCGTCCGATGTGCCTGGACATGATCCGCATGAAGCTGCAGCCGCGGTGCCCGCAGCGGTACACGCACGTGGCGCAGTTCGTCAACGACTGCCGGCTGCTGTTCCGCAACGCGTACACATACAACCCGGTACATATGCGCACACGCACACACGCACAGATACATTGTAACAGACTAGTTGACGGAAAACTGAATAGAAAACAATATTGCATTTGTTTATTTTTTATACGACATCTTAAAGGACTAGTGTATTCTATTTTTGCTGTAATTTAAAACCTTTTAGTACTGAGAATATAATAAATAGATGAGAGTCGTTTTGTCAAAGTATACCTCAATGGTATACTTTTACAATAATCTCAATTGCGAGTATTTAATTACATCTCTTTTTATCTTGGTTCGTCTATATTAAAATGTAATGTTCTTCTTTTATAAATAATAACTATCTAACGTGCCGTCCATAAATTACAACCGCTAATGAGCACAATCGGTCGGCAGCCGGACTCGTCGATCTACAAGGACGCCAAACGTCTGGAGGAGTTCTTCGAGGCGCAGCTGCTGAAGTGGCTGCCCGAATACGCCGCTATCGGGCCCGCGCCCGCCTCCTCGCCCGCGCTCGCTCACGCCACCGCCGCCGCCGCCGCCGCAGCTCCCTCCCCCTCCCCGTCCCCCGCCTCCGCGTGGGGAGACGCCCCCGTGCCCAAGAAGCCTCGCGCCGATTCAAACTGCTGAAAGTCACAGAACCCGTCGCGTGCGCCCGCTGACTGTGGCCCAGCGGTAGGCCGCGATCTATTGCAATGTCAACGAAAACCACACAACTACATACACTATGTGCTGACTGCTATCTGTTGGATTGAGCGGTGGCGTTTCTGGGAGTGTCTTACACTGAAAGTTCGAGCTCCGACCCTCACTGGAGGACGTACCATCTCCTGAGGTGTACCGTCGTAACCCTGCTGCCGTTGTCTGCAGCGACGCAATGGCGCCGGGACGAGGCACTTCACCACTCACGGTTTACCGCAGATCAGAGCAGTTGGAGAGGCAAAAGTTAGTTCTCCGACTGTCTTTCGATGATGTTACTAGGCCAACGAATTATCTATCTGAATTGTAATTGTCGGAACTATATAACGTCCGTTTATGTTCGACTATGTTAAAACGATTTCGTGTCCTGTCCCGCTCTCACGAACTGCGCTTAAAACTTGGACGATTAATGTAATCGCCATTTCATCTCTCATTGTTATATACCTATAAAGTGTAACACATATTTAAATTTGGTAGCCAAATAAACAGCAGCCGTATACATTATCATATTATGACGGTAAGTACTGTGTGTTTCAAGATAAATAACGGACATCGGAAACAATCGTCTGACAATACAAACAAAATTAACAAAAAGTAGCTCGACCCTAATATCAGTTAAAATTTCAACTTTAATACCATTTAACAACAGCAAATTAGTGGTATACCTCGGGAGTGGCGAGTCGCCGCCGGTATCTATAATTTGTCAGTTGCATATAGTATTGAATGCTGGAAGTTCTGGCGCTTTCATTTTTTATAACTACACGGAGCCCAGCATCATGTTTTGTTTATATAATATAGTCTTTTCTGGTATTTTATTCTGAATACTTACATAAGCTGTATAAGAGCAACTTTATATCATTAAATTGTCTGGAAACACGGAGTTATCCCATACCCATTTGTTTTCTTGAAGTACAGTATTTAAATTAGAAGCGTATCAATAATAATATCTGTGCTTATTTTATTTCAATACCCGTTGAATTTGTGTATCCTCATTATATGTACATGTTGACTGTTAATTTCTGACATTATTATATTACTTGTATATGTAGAATAATTTTATGTGTAAAATTGTTTAATATCTGTAGTTTATATCTACATAGTTATCTTACATAACTCGTATAATTTGTTTGCACTCATTGAAATGATTATAAAATGCTGCAGACCGATGATGACACAGTGCGGCAATTACATTGTGCATTTTTCTTATGATTGTTTAAAAGAATACAAGAACTGTTACTTTATGTCACTTATAGACTTTTGAAAGTTAAAATTTAAACAATCCACCATCCACGTCACCACCAAGTTATTTACTTTGTAAATTCATATTTTTAAATAACGACATATGTCAAATATGAGTCCGTTTCATAGTAGCGACAAACGTTACCGCGACAGAATGACAATGGTCGGGGCGCAGTCGCAACATGTTGACGGAAGCGCGCTGCCTGTACATGGTGCCTAGCTTTATTGTTTGTCGCCCCATATGAAACAAGACTCGACAAATACTAAGGAATGAGTACATTATGAGACTTATTTATCACAAGGTGTGGCCACTGTATCAGTGGTGATGTTTCTGAAACATGTTTGAAGTTCCTTTCATAGGAATTAGTAAAAATGACAATTCTAGCCCTTATTGGGCTTCTACGGATCTTAATATGCCTGCGTACAGTCACCGATAGTGCTCAAAACAAATAGATTCCTGCCGACGAGAATTAGTTATTTAATGTCTATGGATTGATTTGATTGTGCCAAAATATATATGCCAGTGCCTTCCAAACAACGCTCGCAGCTACTGTGTATACAGGCATTCTATAGTCCAGGACGGACCTCGCGTTCAGTTTTAATATTTAATTGATGTTGAAACACTAGTAGTAGTTTTGTTAAAGTGAACCGCGTTGTAATCGAGTCGTAAGTAATTTTATGTTGAATGGTTATCACAATATTGTGTGTGATATGTCGCGTCACGTGGCGCGCAGTAGCGCGTGGTCGCGCGTGGTCGCGTGTGGTCGCGCATGGTCGCGCGCGGTCGGGGCGTGTGTACACAACCTGTCTGCACTACGTTACTCATCAACAAGGACACGCTCACTGTATGTATGCGTATGTAACATATCCAGGCTAGAATACCGCGACGGTAGTGTTTATTTTATATCTTCGAGTAGATGTATCGGTACATATATTTTATTTTTCTTTAGATGATATTTTTATAGTTAGTTATATGTAAGTATAGTGGCGGGCGAGAATACTACAGAGAGGAGACGACCGACGGGTCTGATGGACTACCTGAATTTTGTAACTTAAATTATTATGTTATAACTTGTTGTAAGTAAAGGATATATGGTGCTCGTCACTGCAGTATTCAGCAGCTAACAGATTATTATGTAGTGTTACAAAAGTATTTTAAGTTTCTGTTGTGTGTATGACGACGTAATGTTATGGAGCATACTATTTGTATGTCTTGCTCATGCAAAAATCTGTCTTTTTTCTATTTATAAATTGGACGTTTGTGACACTATATGTCTCTGGTTATTCAGTCATTTATACGAATCATTGACTCGAGGTTCAAGTGATTGTAGTGCACTGAATAATTTTTCCTATTGTACTTTAATTTATAAAATAATAAATTTCTTAATTATTATCACTCATTTTCATTGTGATGGTTACTGTTAATGTTATTATGTCTTTGAAAATTAATTATACTAGTGAAATTCTCTCAATGTTTGGATAATCTCCCTATAAGTATTATTAATAGAAATAAACATCATTTATTGGAAACTGAATTTTAATTTACTAATCGACTCAAATATACCCGCCATATTCATCGTGTCCTGTCTGTGACAACTTCGGTTCAGACTACAAGTCACATTCAAATGACAATCGCTTTAGAGTACAATGGTACAGTATACCTACCGAGCGACCGAGCGTGACGTGAGTGACGGTGACAGTGACAGTGACAGTGACAGTCACTTGATAAGACACCGCCGCGTAGCTCCTTTGTTGTTTCAACATAAACAAGTAGGATTTAACTGTGATCAGTCGTGTATTGTTATTATTAAACTTCCATGACGACACCGATTGATTAATACAGAAAGATAAGCGAATCGTTTGTACAAGGGAGGTGTATCGAAACTCACAAGGTGAGTGAACTTTTTGTAGGTTAATGACCTGCCAAATATATTGAAACCAGTACATATATATAAATCTAACAACACGCAACTTTGAAAAGAGTTTTAATTGCAATAAAAATAGTCTGATTACTTAAAAAAATAAAGAGTTAAAAATTTCAAGGTTCTCGAGAAAATTACAAGTTAGTGGGCATGCTAAACCGGTCAAGTTTGATAGGTATCGAGTTATTGAACAGACGAAATGACCTTGTCGTTTAGCATGGCTAGACCGTACCACATTCGCTTGTGAAGGTCCCGAGATTCGTGCTGAATGTTTGATTACATTACTATAGTAGTACGAATGAATATTTATCTTCCCACTTTAATGTTAAATCGTTAATAAATGAATATTCTAATGTTTTATACGTATATAACAGTTATTTCCGCTTATAATATATTCTTATGGTTTTGACATTTATATGCAGTGCACTCGGACCTAACAGGGCAAAATAAAACGAAACATTGTCTAAGTCATAATTTATAAGTGTTAATCGTTTTCCTACTTAAACTGCATGTAATATAATAGAAATCTATCAAAATGAAATGCGACTTGCACTGATAACGAGCATTACTCGAAAGTCGAATGACAACAATATCAATGCAATAAGTTCAGTGAACCCGCCGCAGTTATTATTTATCTATACTGAGGGCATTGACTGAATGTTATTGATAACATCGTTAATGTCTCAAGAAATTGTAATGATGTGATTGATTTGTATATATTTTTTTAAATTGAACATTTTCTATAGAATCAATGCATTTTAAAATTTTAAGGTAGATAATTGGGCAGAATGAGACTGATCATTTTGGAGGATGCGGATATAGTGGCAGATTGGGCGGCGCGATTCGTGCTGCAGCGCGTGACTCAGTTCGCGCCCGGCCCCGACAAACGGTTCGTGCTCGGCCTGCCCACCGGCGGCACGCCCCTGGGCATGTACCGCAAGCTCATACAGTTCTATAAGGAAGGCAAAATCTCATTCAAATATGTCACCACCTTCAACATGGACGAATACGTAGGTCCGTCATTTATATACTTTTATGTTGGTATCTCTGATGAATATGTCCGAAACGCACGCATTAGTCCGTTCGTTTATGATACAGGTTTGCCGCGAGATCACCCGGAATCTTATCACTATTACATGTGGAATGAGTTCTTCAAACACGTGGACATAGATCCTGCGCAGGCGCACGTGTTGGACGGGAACGCGCCGGACTTGGTGGCGGAGTGTGCGCGTTTCGAGCGGCTCATACAGGAGGCCGGCGGTGTACACTTATTCATCGGAGGTACACTGTCCATGATACATACTTATGTATAATCCGTGCACATGCGCAATTGACTAGCTTCTAGACTTGATTAAGGAAGGAACTTCGTGTTCTCGACCCGACTAGCTGCGATGCGGAAATGAAGTCTCGATCATTTTTAGGCTATCATTATGAATTTTAAATAATAAAATGGAACCTGAGGGTTGGATGGCAATGTTACTGATGGGAGACCAAGGCACTAGCGAGGCGGTCTTTAAAAAGCTATCTATCAGTTTGTATAGACTTTTTCGCTGTAAGTATCCTCTGGTTACTCTGTAAATAGAGTATTATTTGCGTATCGTCTCTGTGTGTGGGTATCTGTATGTTGAATGGTGTGTGTACGTGGCAGGTATCGGTCCGGACGGTCACATCGCGTTCAACGAGCCGGGCTCGTCGCTGGTGTCTCGCACGCGCGTCAAGACCCTCGCGTACGACACGCTCGAGGCCAACAAGCGCTTCTTCGGCAACGACATATCGAAGGTGCCGCGGCAGGCGCTCACCGTCGGCGTCGGCACCGTCATGGACGCCAAGGAGGTCGTCACAACTCATAAATCTCTCTATCTCTCTTTGCTTAGTAAAACCTGGAATCGCACGTTTGCGCTCGTCTATCAATCATGTGATGTTTTTTAGCAACTTTCTTGCCGCGCTTCGATATTTTAACCTTTTCCGAAAGTATTAGCGAATGAAGCGTGTATCGTGCGTTCAGGTGATGATATTGATCACCGGCGTTCACAAGGCGCTGGCGCTGGCTAAGGCCGTAGAGGAGGGCGTGAACCACATGTGGACCGTGTCCGCGTTCCAGCAACACCCGCAGACGCTGTTCGTGTGCGACGAGGCGGCCACGCTTGAACTGCGCGTCAAGACCGTCAAGTACTTCAAGGTAACCATAACACCAGTCTGTCTTGCAGTACCCGAGGCCGAGAGGTTTGATCATCCCTCAGATTGACTTTTATAACAGTTTAGATATTCAATTATGCATTGATATCGTCGGTAATCTGAGATGTCCGGCCATCAAGTAATAGTCGCTATCGTTATTGCAAGGGGATATCGGCCCTGTTTATTTCGTGGCGTTCAAATAAACCACAATATAGGGGTGTAGCTAAAGCCGTATCAATATTAATTGATACGGCTTTAGCTACACCCCTATATTGTGGGACACAAACAAAGTTAAATAAAATCACCCTTCATTTGTAAACAATATTTTTCCAGACTTTATAGAAGGCTGGCAACACCATATTGAATTCTTATAAAAATTAGTACTGATAGATTGTGTGTTACATATCTAGTCTAAGGTAGATATGTAACACACTCTATAGGTAATATTTTTTGTAGTTTAGGTACATTGAAAATAAAATCGGTTATGTTTCATAGCATTTGTTGGAAACTAATGGATTGTGCGTTTGTAATAGATGATGACTATATTATTTAAGGATATAGATATAGGCATGCACTAGAACGTCTTTTTCAATTGTAACTTTAACACTGCATGCTCCTTCAGTATAATAGGTACACTAGACCTGCACTAACTTGTAAAACATACATACTAATAACGCGGCAACCTTACAAACCTAACGCATGATTCTACATTCACTGCTTATCCAAATTTACAAACATGCGGCTACGGTGGGCGGGAAATATTGCTATTTCCTTTTGAATCTTGGAATGTAATCAGGTACTGGAGCATGCAAACACATGGGTTACTTTAAGAGGGCGCTTGAATAAAACGAATCGAAATCAGTGCCACCATTCATTAACGGAACAATTATTATTTTATCTTATAATGAAACTAGCTTTTGCCCGCAACTTCGTACGCATGGTATACTTCGGGCAGCAATTCTTAAAAATCGCTAAAACAAATATTACACATACCTGAATATAGCGTTATGACTATATCTTTGACATTAACGACCTTCCATACAAACTTTCAATCCCTATTTCAACCTTTTTATGACAATAAAAGCAAACTTACTTCCTAGAGATAGGTCTCGAGTCAACTTTTTTCAGTGGGTTAGGTTTGAGAATAGGTCTGTGTATATCTGTTAAGCTCTCAAGATTAACAGTATGAAATAATACATGATTCTCTTTGTCGTTTAGAGTTTAGCAGACAGTTACCATAATGAATAGAAAAGCACAATATAAATCCCAATTGCTTGGTCGACTTTTAAACTCAGTTTTTGTGTCTAGTGTGTTAACACTAGACACAAAAACTGAGTTTAACTGGGTAAAAGAGCCATCCAATTAGGCAGCTAGCCCTATAATAGAAACGGCTAAATGTCGATCACAACGTCCTTCTACAATGCGGCTGTACAAAGCCCAGCCGATATTTAAAAAAAAATTGTTTGAGTTCAACTTCGTAGACACCACAACAAAAGGCTATATTTATTGATTCAAGGTACAACAACATTTAAACATGTAATTTACCAACTTATGTCCAATATATTTCAGATGTAAGGTTTCAGTACTTTATCTCTGAAAACCATAAATATATTTATCCAATTTGAAATGCAGATGGAAAGAAAAACACAAATGTACAGTTTATGCAAAACTTAATCGAAAACTGAAATCTATGCAAATCTCTTTGAACAAAACAATAACGTAGTTTACTTAAGTATGAACGCCATCTAGCATAGCAAAGCTTAGTTTTTTCTTACTACATTTTATTTCGTATTAAAATACATTCGGTAAGTCTTTTACAATTCAAATTAAATACTAAGGCCTAAATCATTATAGTAATATCAAGGAGATCAAGTATTTTAATAATGATTATTTGAACATTAAAAAGCTATACTGCCGAAATGTTTGAAGGGATTAGGCAATGTTTTAAATTTGGTAAAGATTTAAATTAGAAAGTGACATGAGAATCATGCCGAAACTATCCAACCCTGCTTCTTTAGGTTCTTTAAAATGAACACTTTTTATTGTATTAGTTATTAAATCTTTTAAGTCAGTCAAATACTCATAAATTTGCTTAATAGATATCTTAAAAGACAACGGCTAAGTATAACAGCTGGTATTTAAGTGGATATGTAGCAAATTAGCCGTTGAGTCTTAAGAGTAACATGATTGTTGATATTTTGTCACAAAGTATACTAGAAAACCTCAAACCATGAAGATTCTATGTCAATTCAAGGAACCTATTACAATAAAATATCATAATTTTACACCCTTAAAGTGCTAGTGTTCGGAAAAATATATAACCTATTATCTTCCCAGGATCTAAATACCACTCAAATGCAAATTTTCACCCTTTTTGACTTCCTTCTGGATGGAATTCCCTAAAATACTTACTTAGTACACCTCCACGTAATAAGAGGAATGTCCCCTCCAAATTTCATGTCTCTACAACCAGCGGTTTAGGCTGTGCGTTGTCTGCCTTTTATATATGTATTGATTATGAAAATAAATGAAGAAAATAGTGAATTATATATGTTACTTAATTTTTTTTCATATAGAAAGTATTTTATTTTATTTTCACTTCCGTCTTCCGCCCCACAACTGGCAGATATAGTTTTGCGACTTTCGCTATACCTCAGACTAGAATTATCAAACGAAACTGATGTTTCATAGAATGAGTCTAAAACAAATTTATTCCATGCCAATATGAATTCGATTAAAATATACGTATAATGCAGTCCTGCTCAATGCTCGGATTAAACATGCTGTAAGAGCTCATGTGGTTAGGCCCCTGAATTTTGGTAGCGACATTGGGTAGTGTATGGGGAATGGGGACTTTTGGCACTTCATTTCAATATGTGTATTTACCTTGAGAGCTTGGTCACTAACTAAATTCAGCTTTGTCCAAATGTATATGAAATATTTTAAAGAACTAGTCAGTCAATTTTATCTTAGTATGTTTCAAACTGTAAGGGGCCTGTTTAACCGTGGCGGGTGTCGGTCGCCACTTGAGATCTATGTGATCGTTACGAGTGGTGCGGCGGTATGGATGGCGTGCATGCGTGCGTGTGCGTATGTGATAGGGTGTGTGTGTGTGTGCCGTGTGTGACAGTGTGTGTGTATGTGCGTGTGTGTGACTATGTGTGTGACGGTGTGAGGCGCGTGCGCAGGCGCTGAGCGAGGAGCACCAGCGCATGATCGAGGACGCGCCCGTGCAGGCGCAGCGCGTGCTGCACTGACCGTCACCACAGCGACCGCGACCGCGACCACGACCACCGCCGCCGTAGCCGCTCAACACATCACACCTTATACAACGTTTAACAATCACATCCTTAATACACATGTGAGTTTTAAACGTAACATTAATTTTGATGCCATTAAAATTAAAACTAGGTGTAACAAGCAAACACGAGGCGTATTTGTTATGCTATTTTGCGAATATGGCCCACCATATACTATTTACAATAGAAAAGTTAATCATTTCCATACTTCCAAAGATGTAGGTATTCATTATTCAATCCGCATTGTCCGTGATGTTAAAAGTTTCCTATGTTACAGAGTCTAATGGGGGAGCACAACAAATTGCTCGACATCGTGCAGCGCCCTTGAAATCGAACATTCCGTGTATTGTGAGAAATGTACTAGCATATAACATTTTAAATTTTATACTGTTACAGAATTATGATTATGTATTGACTTTTTTGAATGTTTATGTAAGTAAAAGATTATAACATTTCTATGAAACAAAGTGGTTTATTTATATTCTTATGATAAGCTTTCTTGGGTTGATACAAATTCAATCACTGCGGCGATCGCGCAGTGTATAGGTGTGGCCCTGTATACCTATCAGTATCAATTTGGGCATCAGACAGGTGCATCGATAGTGGGTGCGGCGGCCCGGCACAGTCTAGCGAGCAGCCCCGCCAGCTGCAGGCCGGAGGTGAGTCCGTCCGCGACGCGCATGTGCGTGAGCCCCACCTCCCTCACCATCGCGAGCCGCGTGTCCTCGCTCGCCTCCAGGGATTTGCACACACGGAATATATTGCTCACTATGTCCTCTGCCGCATAACCCAGCTTGCACAGCTTTGCCACTACCTGACCCATCAACACAGTTCAGTTTACACCATTGGATTAAGTAACTAGTGAAGAAGCTCAAGGAATTAAACAAATCATAGTTAGGTATTCGGGGTCTCCAATTTTCCACACTTAGAAGCCATTATGGTTCTTCTTCTTCTTTTTTAATTCATGGCCTATTTGCATTTACACAATTCCGCCAATGTCACGTTTGTGGTCTTTAGCCATTATGGTTTTACATAAATTTAATTATGACACTGATCATTGAAAATGTCAAAGAGTAGAAACTAAACATAAAAAAAGTAGCAGCTTGCTTGTGTGTTAATTGATGAATGGATTATTAAGCCTAAATTCCAAAGTTAACAAATTAGTCTTATTACCTTGTATGCAGAATGTATATCCTGTTTGATGCAAGATTCCAGCATACCCTTGATAAGCATGGGATGAGGTTCATCGCAAACTTTGAACACATTATCAGGGCTGATGTGCCCAAAGCCCTGGGCAGTAGACTGCAAGTTATTGAGAGCAGATCTCAAGTCTCCCTGTGCTGTAAAAACCACTGCATTCACACCCTCCTCTGTGTAGGATAGATTCTCTTTCTCACACACTTCTAGTATCTGAAATACACACAAGTGATATGATTCCATTTTCTTCAAAATAATATGGTGTTAATTAAGACGAAAGGAAGAAACAAATAACTTTTTTACTTTAATAAAAATAAAATTATCATTATCAAAATTAATAAGAGATAAGGAGAGTTACTTTGGCAAGAATCTGAGCATCGGTGAGCCGAGAATATCGCAGAACAGCACAGCGAGACTGGATAGGCTCAATTATTTTCTCACTATCATTTGCAGCAAGTGCAAAACGGGTTGTGCTAGAGTATAATTCCATAGTGCGACGTAGTGCCTGTTGTGCACCATCTGTCATGCTGTCTGCTTCATCTAGGATCACGATCTTGTGACGCCCAGCAGGTAGTGTCACCTAAACAAATAGTATAGTGAATTTATATATTCAAGCAGAAAAGGATGTCAAGATGAATCAAATTATACACACTTTCTGCTGGGCAAACATTTTAATTTTGTTTCGAACCACGTCTATGCCTCGATCATTTGATGCATTCAATTCAAGCACTGCGTCTTTAAATGAAGAACCTAACAAGGCGCGCGCGAGACATAAGATCGTTGTGGTTTTGCCGACACCAGGTGGCCCTGCAATTATGATATTGGGTGCGTTGCCAGTTTTAGCGAAAACTGCCAACCGGGACACCGTATCTTCGTTCCCGACGATATCACTGAATGTTATCGGGCGGTATTTCTCTATCCATGGCAGATGCGCAGACGACTTTTTAGTACTTTTCACTGGTTGACTAGATTTTGAAGGTTTGGGTTCATCGACCTCCATAATGGTAAGATCATCGTCACTCATGCTAAATATCAATATTATAACTTGAGATAAATACGTTTCTTTACTTCGAATAGAAATAAGAGCAATAGCTTCGACCAACAACACAAACAAATATACAGACTTTTTTTTTTTCAATATGGACTTTTTTTTTTTTTCAGTATGGACTTGTTCCGTTATACACGGAAATTTTGCCAACATCCCGTAGTGAGAGAGACACGTTCACAAGTAACCGTTTTTTACGGTGACGTTTAGGTAGCAGAACTAGTAGTTTCGCTCATAGGACAGGTGAAGGAACTAAGCCATACAACCAAATCTTGGATGGTGACGTTTGGGGTTTGAAGTTCTTAGTGATACGGGAATAATACTTTTCTTTTATTAATGGCTATCTGCGCATTTCGCACAATTCTGCCAATGTCAAGTGAATAAATAAATTTCTACATGTAAAATGAAAGGAATGAGAGATGGCGATGAACACCTACGGGAATAATAAATTTATATATACAAAATCTCGATAATATTTAATCAAAAAAAGACGAACTTTTTTTTATGTTAGGTGACTATAATGCTCATCCGGGTGAGTCTTTTTACAATGAACTTATAGATTTTTGTGAAGAACAGGACTGGTTGTGTTCGGACACAATAAAATTAGGTATTGAATCTGGATGTTATACCTACATCAGTGAGGCGCACGGGTGTAGGCGGTGGCTAGACCATTGTGTTGTAACACAGTCTGCTTTTAACACTATCGCTAATGTTGATGTGATATATGATGTTTTTTGGTCTGATCATTTTCCCATTATCTTAACTTGTAACTTGAATATCATTAAATCGACGGTACGTCCAAACAATGCTAGTTATAGTAAAGTAATATGGGGTGAGAGGGATGTTGATCAGATTAAGGAATATTCTCAACTCTGTAATATTAAGCTACGGCAAATAGATTATCCTCAACATTTTGAGATGTGTGGTGATACACACTGTAAAAATTTGGAGCACTTGCGACCAATCGATGACATGTATATGAGTATTGTAAATGTTCTATCTGATGCAGCCAAGCAGACATATAATATTAGGCGTCGTTCAAATAAATATCGACAGATAACGGGCTGGAATAAATACGTACGAGAGGCTCACAGACAGGCCAGGCTTAAATATCAGATCTGGCTCTCCTATAATAAACCAACATCTGGACTCGTGTACAATGAAATGTCTTTAAGTCGTAAAATATTTAAAAGCAAACTGAAATGGTGTCAGAGACATCAGGAAAAAATAAAGTCAGACATTTTGGCATCTCATCATAAAAATAATAATTTTAAGAAATTTTGGATGGCCACCAACAAATTCAATATTAAGCCTGGCCTGCCAGTTAGTGTCGGGGGTGTTGATGAACCGGTGTCGATTGCAAACATGTTTGTAACTCATTTTAAGTCCGAATCGCCCTTAGGTGCGTCGCTGGGGATGATCGATGATGGGGCCTGTTGTGATACTGATCTCATTCGTTTCACTCCTAAGCAAGTGCGTGACGTGATAAAACGAATGTCAAAAGGTAAATCACCGGGTCACGACGGTCTCAGCATCGAGCATTTGCAGCACGCAGGTCCTCACTTGGCTAGGGTCTTGGCTATGTTGTTGTCTCTTTGCATGTGTCATTCCTACCTTCCCAGTGAACTCATGCGTACAGTAGTTGTACCTATTGTTAAAAACAAAACCGGAGATACGAGCGACAAAGGTAACTATAGACCCATCTCGCTGGCCACGATTATGGCCAAGGTACTGGATAGTTTGTTGGATTCTCGTCTTAATAAGTATTTACACATACATGATGCTCAGTTTGGCTTTCGGTCAGGACTTTCGACAGAGAATGCAATCCTAGCTTTAAAGCACACGGTGCATTATTATACCAAAAGAAGGACTCCTGTCTACGCCTGTTTTCTTGACCTGTCTCGTGCTTTTGACCTCGTATCTTACGATGTGCTGTGGACTAAGTTACGGGACATCGGTGTACCGGCGGAATTGTTGCGGATCTTACAATATTGGTACTATAATCAGGAGAATAATGTGAGATGGGGTAACGCGCTTTCAGACTCATTCAAGTTGGAGTGTGGGGTTAGGCAGGGTGGTATGTCCTCTCCTCAACTTTTTAATCTTTATATCAACGACCTGATCGTTGGGCTCAGCAGCATGAAATTGGGGTGTTGCATTGATGATGTAAGTGTTAATAATATCAGTTACGCTGATGATATGGTGTTGCTGAGCCCGACGGTGAGGGCGTTGAGAGAGCTTTTACTGATGTGTGAACGCTACGCGGTTACGCATGGTCTCATATACAATGTTAAAAAAAGCGAATATCTTGTGTTTGGGGCTGCCGGTAGTAAATGTCCATCCTATGTACCTAAAATTTGTCTGAATGGTACGGAACTCCAACGTGTATACCGATTTAAATATCTCGGACATTACGTGACCGATAGCCTTAGAGACGAGGTTGACATTGAGAGGGAGCGCAGGGCGTTGGCAGTGCGCTGTAACATGCTGGCTCGTAGATTCTCCCACTGTAGTATTCCAGTCAAATTAACACTTTTTCGAGCTTATTGTCAAGTGTTCTATACGAGCAGCATATGGACCAATTATAGTCAGCGCGCTCTTAATACACTGCGTATCCAGTATAACAATGCTTTTAGAGTACTGTTGGGGCTGTCTCGTTTCTGCAGTGCGTCAGGTATGTTTGCACAAATGCAGATAGATGATTTCTACTCTATCATGAGAAAGAAAAGTGCTTCGTTGCTCTTCAGAGTGCGTGACAGCTGCAATTCTATTCTTCAAGTCATAGGAGGACGATACGATTCTCCTATTGTAGTACATTGTGTCCGGAGATGTATTACTGGCACAAAATTAGTTTCTAAGTAATTGTAATCGATACTAACACTAGATTTTAAGTGTATTTTGTGTAAAACTAACAAAAATATGGATTCCCTAATGTTGTCCGAAATAAAAATTATTATTATTATTATTATTAGTCAGTATATTAAACATGATTAAAAAAAAAGATCGAGTTACGCAAACGCAACCTGATTGATACGAACGATTTTTTAAATAAATTTATTAGTATTAAGAAAAATGGAAACTAACTTTGTGGAAGTGAGCATAGTTTTTTAAAACTTATCGAAATCAATAGAATCGATGCTGTGAAATTATTAAAAGTAACTCTAAGAGATATTCGCGAGCCCAACTAACCGATAGCTCTCATTGCCCTTTTTTGTAAAACAAATATAGACTGAATATCGGCTTCCTTTCCCCACAATATAATGCCATAGGACATGATACTATGAAAATAACTAAAGTCCACTGTCCGGGCAGTTTCTATATCAGTAATTTGTCTTATTTTTCGTGTGGCATATGCAGCTGAGCTGAGTTTACCAGCTAATATAGAAATATGCGGGTTCCATTGCAGTTTTGAATCTAGTCTTATGCCCAAAAATTTTGTTGTACTTACTAAATGTTCATTGTTGAGTTTAATTTCAGCTGGTTCTACTTTTACATTAGGTAAAGTGAATTTTATACATTTGGTTTTTTTAGCATTCAATTGAAGATTATTAACTGTGAACCAAGATAACACTCGTGAGAGAGCATTGTTTACATCGTCAAAATTATATTTATTTCTGTCAATGTTAAATATCAATGAAGTGTCATCTGCAAACAACACGATCTCACATAGGTTTTAAAAAAAAATGGTAAACCATTTAATAGATAGGCCATATAGGCCTCCCCCATAAATTTCCACGACGATCGGTCCCGCGCAGCCCGCATCCAGCAGCTTCCCGCAACTTTTCCAATCCCATAAGATCGTCGGCCTACGAGCGAATAAACATTATAAGAAAATTAATTACGTTTATTTACAATAAAATAAATAATGAAATCACAAACACTCATCTTAACAAGAAATTCAATTATGAAGGATAATCATCATCATCATCATCAGCCCTTTTACGTCCCCACTGCAGGGGCTCAGGCCTTCCTTATGGATGGTTAAGGAGGATAGGCCATGACCCTCCACGCTGGCCTAATGCGGATTGGAGGGTATTAACGACTGCAAATGCAGCCGGGAGTAGCTCGAGATAATAATTTTTTGGTCACCCATCCCGTGACCGACCCTTGCGAAAGTTGCTTAACGACAACGATCGCGGGCCGCGGCGCTTATCCACTACGCCACCGAGCTACTGAAGGATAATAAACTAAATAAATTGAGTTGGTTACAAACATTAAATAAAAGTAATCGAAGGTTACGTCTCTAATGTGGGTGCGCATTACTTGAATATTAAGTGTTTTGCTAATTCATTGTATTGGTGGAGGACCGCCGGAGTGATTCATTGTAAGGTGTTTCAGTTTCATTTTATTGTTATCTAACGCTTCTGGTCGATATTTTCTGCTTATTGAAATGCTGCGTCCTTGCATTCAAAGTCAATGGTCTTTTTCAAAGCTGTGTTTCAATGTACTAACATTACCTATTTCTCTGGATTTCCAGGAATTACGTACTTATTAGAAATCACCTGAGGATGTCACCAGCTTGGTGGATTTGGCTGTAGCTATATCTTTTGAGAAGCTGACTTACTTATAACAATAGATAAACGCTAAGATTTTTTTTTAAATTAAACCAGCAGAGTGGATAACCGTGTGCTCTGAAGGACAACCGAGTAAAAAGTACTATCGTAAAGTATTTATATAGGTTTAGTTTACATAAGACTGTTTACTCTGTGGTAAGGTGTCTAATGTCTGTCTCATGAAAAAGTTCCACAGGCACAGGGTCCCTCTCCCTGTCGTATGACTAAGCATTGCTAACCGATACTTATTTTATTTAGTTTTTTTTTTTTCAATATGGACTTGTTCCGTTATACACGGAAATTTTGCCAACATCCCGTAGTGAGAGAGACGGAGATTCTTTAAAACTTGAACTTCTCGTTTGAAACATACGTCATAATTGTTTTTTTTTAAATTAAATCTGATCAATATATTTTTTAAATCGGTAACATCAAAATCTGCTTCGATATCATTGATTTTAGAATATCAGTTTAGATTCATTATTTTTGGAGAATAATATTGACGGATGTATTAAAACAGGAGTACAAGTTTCAGAAAATCATCCAGTTAGAGATCTATCTGGGGGACACTGCCGACATAATTTTCAAGCAATATCTAACAGAATACATACTTAAAACTATATTCACTGCTTTTATTCCTGGACCTGCTACTCTTTCTTCCGTAAACAGACTATTGCTATTGACTACCAATAGTATTTGCTCTAAAAATCTTTAAAAATAAAAAAGTGTGGCGTTTTAAAACTGTTCGATTGAAGTAAATATCGATACTTTTCATTCAATACGTGTGAGTTTAATTCTTCATGATCGTTTAAAAGTATCAATACCTAGGTGGTATCGTTCATCCTTAAATTGGCCTCGGCCCTACAGGTGTATTCGAGGCATTAGGACTAAGACGTATTTGCTGAAATAAGGAATTGACGAAGGTACCACATTTTTAATTTTATTTTAAACTGTCAGAAGTATCCGTCCTTATATATTCAACTCCCACCTAAAACTCCCCGTCCAGTTAATCTTAACACTCTTCTTTCTATTTCTGACAAACCTGGCTTTCTACGTCTTTGCAAATTTATTAAAAAACATAATATCAAATTATAAAAATAAGTGTTACATAATCCTCTTTTATGTATTTAAATTATCGTAGTTATAGTGATATTTGCTCTTGTGTTGTTTTGTTTTTAGTAGAGAAAGAACAATCTTAAGGCAGAATTGGTTAATTATAATTACCGTTCAGTCTCTTGAGTCACGTGTCTCTCTCACTACGGGATGTGGTGCAAAATTTCCGTGTATAACGGAACAAGTCCATTTTTAACTACTACTACTAAAAAAGAACAAAAAAGTAAATATGATTTATTTATTATTACTAACAGACGAGTATTACTTTCTTTATCCGGGTCTGAGTGTTTTTTATGTTTGTATGGCCATAGCCATATCGATCGATACTGGATATTTTAGAGGAGGCTTATTTTTACAAAGACACGATGTATTGTACGACTGTATTGTTTCATACAAATACACACGTTTTTATATTACATCCCTATTTGACAATGACATTGATTCATTGAAGTGACGATTACTTTACTCTTTGTTTGTCGAAGAGAATGATTTCAACTTAACACTCCCATCCCAATCGTCAATTTTCTGTTTATGTTATGTCTTGAAAATTAATAATTCTTTTAAACTATCCTCCTATTCTATTTATAGGTTTTAAATATTTAGTACCGTTTAATTATAAATAAGTATCTGTGGGCATTGTGTTCATCGAGTAAATAATTCAGTACCGTGTAAGTACATAAATTTGAGTGGTGAATCATCATCCATAACAGGTTGAAATAATACTTCTTTTCACCTTTCACCAGCTATTTTTTAACATTGAAACTTTGACGATCACCTTTATCAATCAATACAATAACCGAGGAGCATTTCTTATGAAAGAGAAGCCCAATTTATAATGTCGAAAATGCGATAATTACATAGACGCAAAAACTGCTTATTAATTAATGTTTATCACGCGTTAGTAATTTTTTAATATAAAAAGATCTAAATGAGATTAAAAAGGATATAATTACAGAGTGCAAGATGGAGTGGTTGTTTGGTCATCGTATGACGCCTGATGAGATGCTGCGCAAGAACCAGCGTGCGCTAAACAAGGCCATGCGGGACTTGGACCGTGAGAGAGTCAAGATGGAGCAACAGGAAAAGAAAGTCATCAGTGACATCAAAAAGCTGGCCAAAGAAGGCCAGATGGTTAGTCCTAAATAACTTTATCTTATTAATTTGATTCTAATTTACTTTAATTATTTATTAAGATACATATAATTATGGTACCAACATAATATTAACCCTAACCATATACTGAGAGAATTACATAAATTGTTTAGTAACACCACTTTCAATAGACATAAGAGTTTAAAGTAATAACATGTATTTTGTTCAACACAAAGTTCAAATACTTACAGCAAACAATCTGTTGGCCATGCTGTGCCGCCGCCCCCATATACAAATGCCCCAGGCAGTTGTTTAGATTGCCTAAATGCACTATATGGGCCTGCCTTGACAGGCTAATCACTTGCACAGCCTGAGAATGTGCACAAAACTTTATAAATAAACATATCACAATGAATATAGCTCTAACCAGCATTCTTTGGTAATTAAATATTATGTGTCAGAATCAATTAAAAGAATGAAGTAGGGTTATATCATAGGTTTCTTAGGTTTATTATAACATAATAAAGTTTGTATGAAGCAGTTTCAAGTGTACCACTACTGTTTTAAATTTTCTTTTCTACTTATGATTTTGTGTGACATTTTATTTCCATTTGTGCATTTGCTATGAACATTGAATTTGTTTTTAAAAGGATGCAGTGAAGATAATGGCGAAAGACTTGGTACGCACACGGCGCTACGTGCGCAAGTTCATGCTGATGAAAGCCAATATACAGGCAGTGTCCCTCAAAATTCAAACTCTCAAATCCCAGAACACGATGGCACAGGCTATGCGTGGAGTAACTCGAGCTATGGCCACAATGAACCGACAACTCAACATGCCGCAGATACAAAATATATTACAGGTAGTGTTCAATCAAATAATTTTCTGGAATAGTATATTAAACATTAGAGATTGTAACATTCGGTTGCGACAGTGTGCACAATCCAAATATGTTCTCTTACATGTTACTGTTTGAGGCTTGTTATTTAATGTTTATTTACATTTCTTTATCTTATGCCCAGCTGATTATTTGTTGTAATATAAATTGCATAACCTTAAGTACTTGGTGTGTCCAATGCAGGACTTATGTAGAAGTTATTGTTTGATCTCTCTACTTTGATTCTATTCATAGGAAAAGTCTGTGTCCCAATTGAAGGGACATCAATAGGGTGACAACGATGAACTTTATTTATCTAAAGTTTTAGGCTTACTCTAGTATACATGATAAAGTGTGTGAATATGGTTATTTGCAGGAGTTTGAGAAGCAGTCGGAGATTATGGATATGAAGGAGGAGATGATGAATGACTCCATTGATGAGGCCATGGAAGCAGATGATGACGAAGAGGAGAGGTCAGTGTAATATATATATTGTTGGATCTCACTGATCAGGCACTATGACAGACAGATGAGACTGAGATTCTGTTGCTTATAGAGCAAGTGTTACTTGTTTGATTAAGTCTATCATTTTATAAATGTATTTGTTTATTAGTCACGTTTCTTTCATTGAATATACAAAGTTTAGATCAGAGTTCATTTGTGCTGAATCGATTCAATAAATTGCTCAATCAGAGGATCACTGGAGTACTGTCAAGTATGTACATTAAAAAGTTTCCTGTGGTGAAGTGAATGGGGATCGAACTTTTTAAATGATGACACCTGTCTCATTGTTTTGTAGATAGTAGATATTATTTATGTAGAATGCGGCGTGTATATGTTTTAGTGATGCGGTGGTGTCCCAGATCCTGGACGAGTTGGGTCTGCAGCTCACGGACACTCTGTCCGGTCTGCCTCAGGCGACGGGCTCCCTGTCAGTGCCGGGTGAGACGCTTTTATTTAGTTTTCAAGGATGTAGTCACCCAGACGGAAACCGATCTTTAGAGCGGTTTGTGTAATGTTTCGTGTACACATGTGTGTGCAGCGCGCACGCCGGTGGCGACGGGCGTGGGTGTGGGCGGCGGCGGGGCGGGGGGCGCGGTCGGTGCCGGGGGCGCGGGCGGGGGCGCGGCGGGGGGCGGCGCGGCCGACGCGGACGCGGAGCTGCAGGCGCGCCTCGACAACCTGCGCCGCGAGTGACTGCACCCGACTGTGATCGCATTCAAACGCCGGAACTATGACATATTCGGAGTATATATTAAACTCAAATCTACCCGACGCGTAGCGACTGTCCGTCGTTTTCTCGACATGTCCAATTCAATCCTGGCTTGCTTCGATTCTATATGTTTATTTCGACTATATGTTTAAAACTATATTTTTGTCCCGTGGTCTTAGATCTTGCCGCCCTTGAATATACAGAGTGTTCGGTACAAGAACCGACACAAGTTTTTGGGGAATTTGCTAAGATTTAACCTTGTTCCCGATAATACTTTTAAAGGAAAATAACAAAATAAATGTCTGTTTGATCTGAATCAATCATTGTTAAATACAACTAGTATCGAGCAAAAATTATAATACCTATGTGTCTCCAAAGTCAATTTTTTTTTTTTAATGTATTGCTCTTAGGTAGTTTTCACTTGTTTATTATTTTATTATGCTACATGTCATAAGAAACAGTTCCTTAAATAGATAAAACTAAGTCAAAACTACCTATACATATACATTTAAACATCATTAAGGCTTCAGAGGTACATACAATTTTTTCTTGATACTAGTACTGTTAAATAATGATTGATTCATATTAAACAGACATTAAAGAATACAACTAAATTTATTTTATATTATTTTTCTAACAAACAATAAAGATAATTCGGGTAATTTCAATCTTGACACTTGGGACATGAGTACCTATAGTTAAAACATAGCCCTCCAAATCCCCCAAGTAATCGTGTCGGTCCGTGCACTAAGCAGACAGCCTGTATAACAATGAAAATAAGTATATCAACAAATACCTACGTGTATGTATAATAACCTCCCGCTTTGTATCGTTGGCGCTCGAGTGAACGTGGCGACGACGCTGCTGTACAGTTGTTAAGTTTTTAATATAATTTAATTAAGTTTACATAAGTATAATGAATATTTTAATAAATATTTTTACGATATTCGAAATTTTATTTATAATGCAATAAATTCATTATCTATCCCAAAAAACAGCAATTCGAATCTTGATTCGATTTTGTTATCGAAGTCTGTTACGGACGGCGGACATGAAGACCCTTCCCCGCGACCTCACCCCCGCAACGAGTGGAGGGGGCACACCACGGGCAGCAGCGACGGGAGCACCCCCCGCGACCTCCCCGCCGCATAGTGGAAGGGGCACCGACATAACATGAATCTATTAGGTCAATTAACGCGTTAGGATAGTAGCTAAGTGCGAACGAACAAATCCCACTTAAGTAAACCCGATTTGTATGAAAGCATGCCTACGAACGTTTTCGTACTTTGTACTGCAAATAAGAACTGCGATAAAACATAAGAAGAAAGAATAAACGCCTTCAAATCTCTAAACTGTTGTTTCCATCCCCAACAATCTGCCGATTTTTAGTAATATTCCACAATACGACCGCCGCGCCAGACTTTCATTAAAAAAAACGAAAGAACTGTAAAAGCACCTCCACTAGATGGCGACTCTAGCAAAAGTTGATTTTTGCAGGAAACGAATGGACCAAAGACATTTCCGTTCCTTTCAATATTAAAAAAACTGAAATTTGAAAGTTCCAAACTTAGATACCAATACAAATACGAAAAAGTACATATTGAATATGAGTTGTTTATTGAGTTTTGAAAACGAATTGCCTTTTAAACATGAAAGAAAACCGGTAAAAGTAAATTTATGTTCAAAACGTCATAGCGAGGCCATGACAGAAGTTGCTGTTTTCGTGGGAAAATTTGATAATTGAATTTATTTTTAGATATTAACTTACTATATGAAAGACACTTTTTTATATACTTTTTAGTTATATTTCATGTTTATATAAAATCAAAATATAAAAAAGTTGCTTACACCCCTACTACGGATTAAAGTTAATTCCTGTTGTAAAATCATAGCAAAAAAACACATACTAAGTTGACAATATTCCCAATTTTAGTTTAAACTAATTTATTGGGTTAAAATGTTTATATAAAAATTATATTTCTTTTTAAAACTTTAAATACAAATGAAAACGTTTTATTAGTAACACAGTCTAGTGTCCCACCACAATCTACATAATATGGCAATCCTGCCAAACTACGACCGAAACCGAAACTGCATTCGGGATTTTATGTGGTAATAGCACAGAACACGGAAAAGATGATAATAGAATAAGGGCTGGAGAATGACATAGGCTCCTTATTATATCTTTCTATTCCCCTACCGTCTTAAAATAGGGGGTGGAAGTTTGTATGGAGAATTCCGCAATATTCAAAGCAGTAAGTTAAAATTTGTTAATTAGACTCTAAAAAAAACTTGTTCTTAGCTACAAGCTAAGAACAAGTTTTTTTTAATCTGTCACTCATACTTTTAAATAGGGGTTAAATTTTGTATTGGATTTTCCGCATTGTATAAGAAAGCAATAAATTAGTGAATTGCGGACTATAAAGAAAAATACATTTATATTGATTTACAATAAATACGTTATCATTTTCTTTTAGAAATCTTCCCCCAAAGAGGGGGTGATAGATTTGTCAGTTTTCAAAGTAAATAGCCGAAAATTGGTTTACAAACGAAAAATACTTTCATCAAGATTATTTAGAAATGTTCCATTAACGCTCTTCAAAATGAGATGCAAAATTGTATCGGATTTTCTGTAATTTTCAAAGTGGAAAGCTGTCTATTAGTGCACAGGCTCTAAGTTATAAGCAAATAATAAAATAATTTATATAAAACAATAATAATACATTAAAGCTAATCAACTTTAGAAAAAAATAATCAACATCATAAGATAAGAACTGTTACCCGCGGCCTTCGATAGATTTCGCTACTAGCTGTTTTAGAAATGCTACCAAAAGTAACTGTACCATGCGGATGAAGTCGAAGCCAAAAGCTAGTAAGAATATATATTGTAGTATAAGGACGTAGTTAATCAAAAAGGGTCCATCCCACACAACGTCACTTTTGAGCTATAGACGATTGAAGTTTAAGCTGTAAAGTTGTATTTGCATGTTGATGTAACATTTTTGTGTATTATATTTTTATCTAATAGTATAGAAAACCACTTACGTTATCTTATTATAATGTCATTTTAACAGAACTAACGATATTTATTAAAATAAAAAGGTTGAAGTATGATTGGATCCTTTTTGATCTATTTAGGTTTTAATTACCTTGTTCTTACAAAACAAATCTCAGAAACGATCCAAATGAAGAAATAATAGAATAATTAACTGAAACGCCAAAATTTAATCGAATAAAACTATTTACTAAAGGTTCTTCATACTTATTGTTTTAATCTTTAATGTCAAATGTATTCACGATGTCTAAAATCCTACAATTTTATTAAAATTACCTTTTAACAAAAATGATTCAAGCCTTTTAAATCTTTATTGTGATTTTTAACCAAGTTTATGCCTTTAATTTGCTTGCATATGGATCCAAGAAGCTCGAGTCGTTTTCATGGAACAAAAATATGAACCTACCAAAGATGTGGGATGGTAACTACTATTGAAAAAAAGTCAAACATTTAATACAGCTCAGAGCTTTTTTCCTATATGAAAGTATCGATCCTGATGGTCATTTTTTCATGTTCTGACATGTCATCGTACGGCCGCCATGTGTGATTTTACATACGTATATATAAAAGATACATGCAAAAAAAACAATTCCCTTCCTGTGCAGTCGGATAAAAAATAAAGATTATTATAATAATATTTTCTTTATGTTCCCCTCAAAATATGACCTCGTAACGAAGTGTCGGCTCCGGCCAAAACCGAGACTGCTGCTAAAATTCGGATTCGGTCCGACACTAATGAATAACAGATAACTAGGCATGCTGAAATAAGTTTATATCGATCTAAATTGCTACATTTGAAGCAATATTTTTATATTATTAATATTTACGTTTGCATTAAATACAATTGAAAATCGACTCTATTAAACATTATTTGAAACTAATAATGTATTTAATGAAGTTTGATGTTTTTTAGATTCTATATTAATAACAACGTTTTATGAAAACATTGATAAATTACATTTTTCTTTGTAGAGATAGCAGGTACACCAATGAATTGAAGGGTGTGCCTGTGTGCCTGCTAGCTAGACGTCTTGATAGGTATAATGTCATAACATAATAACACTATTTATATGCTATGTTAAAATATTTGTAATATGTATGTGAGCGGTAGATGACAACATATTAACATTTACAATTACATGAATGGCGCGTAATGAGTAACATGAATTGTAACGATGCGAATTTATTAATAAAGTATTTTTTTTAACGAGCCAAAAATTATATTTTGGTATTCGTACGGAGTTTTTGAGTGTCCTCGATGGAGAGTGATAATTATAATTATTATAAGCTTACGCTGATTTTATTTTGATTTTGGAGGATTCATAAAATAAAACAGCTCTATTCCCATTTGTTTATTACAGTGTACATGGTATATATATATTTAGCTTACATTACAATAGTATGTATGTATAACATTTAATAAAATATTAACAATTGATCTAAAAATTACATCCATTAACACCGAATTGTATAATAATGTATCTATGTAAAAATATAACCACCACGACCACCTGATACACTGGGAGGGGGAGGGGATGGTGGGGTCGATGACATATTGTGACAAATCATACGCTACACACGTGTAACTACACTATAAGATATGTTTTTCATCATTCTTCGAGAGGGTTACACATCTGAGAAAACTTTCTTTCGATATTATTATAACAACAGATATTTAGAGAATCTAAAGAACCTTAAAATATAATGAAGATTCCAAAAGTTTGCTACTACCTATATATTTTAACGTAAGAGACATAGTGCCATCTATTGGTATGAATAAAACTTTCTGAAGAACACTTATAATTTTATCGTAAGTAACAGAAATATGTAATATACTATTTTCTACAGTATTTTAACGCGACAAATCTCTACATATAGAAGTGCTTAATGTATATTGTACAATTTCTGTTATGTTTTAGTAGGAGAGGGCTAATCTATAAATGACGTCACACGAATTTAAAATTTTGTATATTAACAACTAATCCTTGCCATAGCTTAGCCATACAAATTCTATTAAAGAAAATTCTTATTATAAAAATTAAAAGATCACAGACCCCCAGACATTACTTATAGTATAGTGTTACTATATGCTATGAGTGTATGTGTTACTATATAGTTTACGACGCACAATACTTTGCGATGTGGACATGATTTTTATTCAAGAATTTTGTATTAAATAAAGCAACAGAAACATATATGTTAGGTTAGAGTGTGACAAACAACACCCGGGCCGAGCGAGCAAAGCGAGCGTGCTGCAGCCAGAAGCGAATAGCTATTGTAAAATGAAACAGTTGCCCATCCGGTCTCGCCAGCACGATGGGAACGGCGGGAAATCCCTTTGAGGATTTTGAACCGGAATGACTAATGGTCCGATATGGGTGACTATTGTCATCGGCAATGGTGGCCGGTCGTAGGCGCCATAGTAGATGATAGAGGTGGGAGTGATAGCCCAATAGCGCATCTCTTCCCACTAAAGGGGCAGGCCCTTCCACCCAAAAAAGTGTGCACAGAGGGCGTTTAGTGGATATGCCATCCGAGTTTTGACTAACCATTCGGGCGGGTCCGTGCGGATGGCGAGTCCCACACAGCCCCTGTCGGCTCTCAAGCGGCGGGGATAATGCATAAAGCATTCCTCTACGTTAAAGAAAAGGTTAGTTAAGGTCACATTAAAGGTGTGCCGACGAGCGAAGAGAGAAGGAGCGTATTAGGTTGACTGTGAGCAAACTAAGATCGACTTAACTAATACTACACCCAGTCCGTGGTGACACGCTGTACGCGTCGCGGCGCCTCCTCGTTGCCACAAAGCGTCGTGAACGTTTTCATTAGAGCGACAATACGGATTTCGCGTAATGACTGTTTTACTGTGACCACAACACAGCGTACACATACATTTTGTTTCTGAGAAAATAAGTAATGTCTGGGGGCCCTGGGATTTTGGTCTATAATATGCTTACTAATATGAAGTTATATTGAGCAGTACTTAAATACGTACGTACGTATTAACCCAACTAGCAAAAATATAGTATAAACATCTTAAGATCGAAAAACACTCGTACGATAGATCTCGTTATTTCAAATAATTGTATAAAAAATACACCTCTTGATTTTTTAATCATTTCCATACCCACTCTACCTTAGGGGAGGCACCCTTAATATTACGATTTTCTAGTAGATACCAATAATTTATGAGCTAAACTGCAGACGGACGGTCGGACAGACAGACAGACATGACAAAATTAAAATAGTTCCTTGTTGAAAAATGAAAATATTCGTATTTCCTTATTTTTACAATAAAATAATTATTCATTTATAAATCAATTTACATTTTTTTAAAGAGCAACCCTAATCTAACTGCAAATGGCTCACGCAGAAGTCATAAAATATCATAATCAGTGTAAATGCTGTGAGATAGAAATTAGAAGTTAGTAATGAAATTAATAACATTTATGACAATGTATGATGGTGTAATGATATCTATTATAGTACTAGTCATATTTAAATTGCAATCACTCGGACTGTTCAATTATCTTGAGATATTTACAGTATTCGTAGCCGAGAGAAGTGCGCCCAAATCGGTTTTACGACACATTAAAGATCCTTCACTCCACCAACAGCTGAAATATAAACGTGCTGATGGCTTTTTTACGAAAACATTTGCTAGTTGGGAACGTACGTATATATATATATATATATATATTCATAAAATTTTTGTATAGAGCCAATAAGTTATCTCTGCGATCAGCTAAATTAACTTACCGATATCAAATAAAAAAGGAAGCGGAGATCTATCGGAAGATTCTGTCACTAAACTAACATTTAAGGCGTATTTTTAAATAAACACAGGAGTTTGACTTCTGTGCTCATTTATGCAAATTCTACTCCCTATACATAAAATTGATTAATTATTTTTTACAATAATACTATTTTATGGGCAACTGTGAGCTACGGCCGTGTGTGACCCGTACAACGCGCGGGCACAAAGAAACATTGTACTGAATAATACACACGTACGTGTACCTACACGGTGGCGGCGACCTCTGCTGCGTTCTCTATATAATGGCACTGCACAGAGCAGGCCAGGGGTCAGGTGTGACGCACATACATAAGGCCAGATACAACACATTACATTAGGTTCACATAATTCCCTTTGGATAACTTATAGCGATAGGGACAAAGATACATAACCAAAGTTACCATCAATTTTTTTTTCTATTTATACAAGTCACTGTTAAACTGTAATTATCAACAGTTTATAATCTATTTCCTTCTACGCGGCTAATGGATGTGACTAATGATAATGATAAACTGACAATGCTCGTAATTGTATGGTCAAATATTCATACACAATCCCCAAAGGTGCTTTGGACAGGGATATTTATGTAAGCTCTGCGGCGATGGTTGCGCGGCCGATGAGCCGCTGTGAAATTAATTTAATTAAAGATCATCCTCTCTATTCCGTTGCCTGGCAACATGACGGTCGAGTGTGACTCAAGTCGTTTTACAAAAATTTTTATATAGCGCCACCCACCCCAAGCGGTATTTGATAGAGTTACAAACATCGTGCCCCCCCCCCCCACCATCGCGCGCGATCAGGCCCCGCGTCGAAATTAAAATATATCCCCGAATTTAAAATATATGTTTTTTAAAGCTTTCGTTGTTAAGTCCGTCCAAATATAGATAACATTCCTATTTGACATGAGATTTCTTTTATTACTAACGTGTGTACACATTCACTCGTCAAGTCGTTGGTGTTTAAAACCACCGAAGCCCAAAATGAAACATAATATTACAACAATTGTATGTGGACTCCGACCACGGACGTTCGGTACTTCGTCCAAATTCCACAATAAATAAATCAATTCCTATTAGGTGGCAGTTGCTGTGTTAGCGTAACGCATACATATTTTTGGCACGCATTTTCAATATCCTTTAAATCAATATCCGATTAATAAAATTGATTAGTAACTATCACACGCCGGTCACCAACCGATTGCATCATGATATCGACTCAACGTAATATAAATTTTAAATTTGTTCAATCAGAAGACAGTTACTGTCGCATATCACAGAACGTTCATGGACTTGTGCTCTCTTTGGCTCTCGAGCCGTTTACAATCGTTCATAGTATGATAATACATTATGAATAAACACTTTAGCTTAACTCCTAAATGATGGGAAGATTACACGCCCATTACCAGCTAACGCTACCAGTAGGTACAATTATATACTCTACTCTCGTGTCCACGGTGCCGTGGCCCTATTACACTGGCCGAGCGCGTCTGCCTCGTATCTACACTCAGATTAAATCGAAACGCACTCAACCTTCAATAGCGCTCGTTTGATCGTTGAGTGAATTTCATTCCTTTCAAGCTATTTATTGTATTCAATGTGCACGTGAGAATCGATGCAAGTGTAATGACGCGCTCGGCACACTGTTGTTGGAGAACTATGAACTGCGCGCTCACTGTGGCGCGCACGCATAGGAGGCGGACTAACGTTCAGGTCAACTATACATATATAATTTGTTAATTGTATAAACGTGAAGTGTATAGTGTCACGTCGGTGGGTACTGCTACTGTCGTGTTACTGTTTAGTGTCCGTGTATGCGGCGGTGGTCGAGCACGCTCACCGCTATGCCCAACTGGCCCAAGTAGTACGTCGACATCACCACCGCCTGCGCGACAGAGAACAAACAATATACCACAGTTTAACAGGTGCACCGTCCGACTGGACCCTGTGTGTGTCACAACGGGACTTTGGTTGTAGGCGCTTTCAATCATATATGTAGTCGATGATTGTCCACGTTCTAATGGCTCATGGGAGGCCGCTTCAAAGTCTGTCAAATTTCATTTATTTAGAATATTAGGGCGACGTTGTCTCACTTATGAAGGTACGACAACTTGTTTAGTGCAAACTGGATCTAACCCTAAACCCTAGAAACCCTAGACCAAGACCCCCACGTGTACAGACCTGTCTGACTTGATCTCTCCTTATTGGACGGCCACTCTGACTCCCGTCGGATTTGACGGATGTCAACATCACGGCACTTCAGATCAAGATATAGAGCAGAATGGATATTTAAATATTTAAAGAATATCTAAATTTATACATATTTTATAAACATATTTTAGACAAAGAAGTAGCAGCGTGTATTTAAGACGTCACTGCTGCACATCAGGTTACCCCACAATACCAATATCTCTACTTTCAATGTATTGAGGTTTGCACGGCACACTGACTGACCTGTTTGTACGGTACGGGGCCGGCGAAGAGGCTGTAGGACAGGATCGCGTCTGAGAGCAGGAACAGTAGCGCGCCCGCCGCGCTGGTGCCGCCGCGCGCCGCGCCCCGCCACGCCATCCCCCCGAGCAGCACCGAGTACGCCGGCACCGCCACGCGCAGCTCCGCCGGCGGCCGCAGCTGGCAGCAGAACAGGGCCGTGGCCGCCGCCAGCGCCGCGCCCAGCGCCGCCGCCCGCGGCCGCCACCCGAACGCGGCCATGTACGCCACGTGCGCGCCCGCGAACCACGCCATGCCCCCCGCCAGCCGCTGCGGAAACACCAGCAACGCGTCCCCCACCGCGGACAGCGCCAGCCCCAGAGCGATGCGCCGAGCGTACCACCCCCTAGCAGTAGCGTAACAGAGTCCTTCAAATGCGGTGTTGGGCCTCGTCGTGTATTATTCTTACGATTACCAACGAGCGTTTCGACAGAGGTGACCTTGGTCGGAATTCGTTTACCGGCAAAATTGCCACACTGGACAGGCTAAAAATCTTTTAATCCGAAACCCATACCTTAATTGTTTAAATTGTTTGCAGATGTATATAAACATGACTGACACTACATGCAAAATGAAGTTGCATTTGGGAACTGCTTCTGATTGTGCAAACTTATAATTATGTGATATCATTTAAAATCCGACCACATCCATATGATGCTCTAAATTCCGTACTTCCATATGACAACACCCCGAATACGCAATTCAACGGTCGATTGGATATACGCACCCACCATCGACCAAAGGCGTCAAAAATCATGTCGGGAGTCGCTTAGCAACATCTGTCCTAATGGTAGGTCAGGAGCAAGGTTACCTTACTGGATGAGTAAAACCGTTATTAGGCCATATCATCATACCTCTCGAGGCTTAATATTAGCATAGCCTCATTGAAACAAATTATAAATTTATTTGTAATCGAAATAAATGAAAATGGCGCGGTCAGCGGCCAAGATTCATTTTGATATTTTTGTTATAGTTATACAATTACCGTAGAAAAGTTTTGTCGTCGCCACATTTACATAATACGAATAAAATACATTATTCTGTTTGGGCACTTTGGATAGCTTTCTTGATATAAGTGAAAAACAGGAAAAGTAAATCAACATATATGGAAAAAATACAAGTTATACAATATAAGATATAATACTTAGATAATATTATATTACAAATTTGTTAATGGACTATAGTGAAACATTCATTGTAAAAGTAATTCCTGGGGTGATGCATATTCTTTTATTTGATAACTTTCTTTCGAGAACACATTAGGATGGTTGATTATTTGTATCCACACCAAACAATCCATCTTTGATTGACGATCCAACTATCTGCTGTTAATTTCAAATAACTACGCACCTTGCACCAGTGGAGGCAACATTAACACCGACCACTTTGTGGCGCGCTTCTATCGGGCGATATCGGCCACGCGAAACGGCACATGTTCAATCGGATGTATGTACTTCACAGTACTTACATTTATTCCTAGAGAACAACCTCCGATGCCCCACCAGACAGTCCTTGTTATAAGCTAAATGACAAATGACATGAGCAAAGTGCAAACTTTGCTGGTATATTCCTGTCTTTTTATTAGGCAATGGGAAGATTTGTGACCGTTCCCACATTTAACGCATATAATAATTTTTAGGGTGGCTATAATTCTGACAAATTTCCAATGGACTATTTATTGTTCCTTTTCTCGCATCTTCAACTACATCTGAAAATATAATTTATTTCTTTCCTGTTTATAAAGAATGTTGATGTTGGAACTTGGAATAGTCCAATCAAACCATTGGTTTCAATTGCTTTGACTATTTCACTATGAGGGTGGTGTGATACAATTTTCTAATGATAATATGGATTTCCTATAAGGCTGTGACTTTAAATTACAGGTATGACATCTTTCTAGATGAATGCTGACTATATGAGAGTTCACAGTAAATTTACATTTATGATTTATATTTTGTAGGTGCTGGGTTTAAAGACTGAGTCTATAAGCTTTGAAATTAAATTAAATGCAACTATGCCTTCAACTGCTTGAAATTCCTATTTCAAGCAGTTGAAGGCATAGTTGCAGTTGATTAGTGGAGTTTTGTACATTATTTTTAAAGTTTGTAATTGAAGCCTTCTTCTACTAGCCTCCAGTGGAAGTGTAAAGTGTTCGTATTCAGAGGAGAGGCAATAGTTCTTCTTTGCTTATTGGATCTAGAAGGTATTCATTATTGTCTTTATGAAGGACATGGTAAGTCAGTGGAATCATCCATTGCATGTGAACTTTGTGTCATGTTTGGCTAGTTCTACAGTTTACCAATTCTACATCAGCTTCAGATTCTTTACTATTGTTATATCTTTTATATCTGGCATATAAAAGATATAGTTTGCCAATCATTGTCATCATTGGTTGTCTGATTATCTTGGTCTAGATTAATACTATTCATGTTTCTGAGTAAAGAGTCTCACTTTTGTTTGTCTTATACTATTTGAAGGATTTGGCCAATGCCAAATCCTTCAAATAGTATAAGCTGTTGCAGATTTTTATTTGTGTAAGAGAATAGATCCCCATTAAGGATTAATATTGGCTGCATCTACACAACTGTGCTAAAGTGAAGATAAAATATACATATGGGCTTATAACAATAGGGTTGTTATTTGTTGAATAGGGAACAAATTAGTTCTCTCTCAACCACTGGTTGTTTCTGCTACTTAATGCTTGGTACTTTTTTGCATACTAGAATAGAATAAGTTAAATAAAGGTATTCATTTATAATAAAGATGTAGTACTGACTTTTGGTGCATGGAGGGTCCATGGTGTATGAGCACAAACAACAGCAGGCACAGTATGGGCGCAACTTTAGCAGCAACGGCGGCAGCAGAGGGTGCGATGCCGCTACCTGCCGCGAAATACACGCACACACACTTGAAGAAGGGCACCAGCCCCCCGCCGACGCCTATACGCTTTAACTGAGGATCAATGTCATTTCAATTACCCACTTACATTTAATTTTTGTAATCACATCTATACTGCATCACAGTCGTACAACTAACCAGGAGATATTGCTTTTTATATACATTATTCTACCATAGTTTCGAAGTTTCATTACTAAAATGCATTATATTAATGTTGACAAATATATTTATTATTATTTCTTACCGATGTATATTTAAAAGTATGAAGCAAAACACAATTTCAGTTTTTATTATTTTAAACAAAACATTAAACTTACCAATTGTGTAGGGGATAACATGGCTGAATCTCTTTATTCCAAATACTGTAATCTTAGATTATTTAATAGGAAGCTGTTCTGTATCAAACAAAGAGATTGGATGCTCAGAACAATTTAGATTTGAATTTATTATTAAGGTAATGCGCAAAATCTAAAAACCCGTGAACGCAAACAAAACAACAACAACAAACAAGGTACAACTAGGTATGTGATGACATATCGAAAAACTGATATATAAGTCGATTCTAAAAATATCGATATATATATACCAGTATTAAATCAACAGAGAAGTCGATATTGAAAAAAATCTCATCAACCAAATCCAAAGAGTATATGAATAGCAATTTTCTAAATTTTATCATATAACGGCATCTTCACATCATCACAAGTGATATTGATGTGTATGACATTATTTTGTACCCATGATTTCTTTCTTTATAAATTTATAGTAGTTTTATGCATAATTTCTCAATAATATGTTATAATCTATTTCCGTATCTAATCGATTTCTGTTTAAGAAAGAAACCTTGTGTACGCTTTTTTTTTCAAAAGCAACACGCATAGCATGACAACTGATGTCACTCTCTTGCATTTCTAGTTATAACATAATGACGGTGCCAAACATGTGAAAAATCGCCAAAAACTCATATTCTATATGTTTGAAGGCAACGTTTTAAATTTGGTAGAATTACAATGACATGAGAATCGTGCCGAAACTATCCAACTCTGCTTCTTTGGGTACTTTAAGAAGAACACTTTTTATTGTAATAGTTATGAAATCATTTAAGTTCGTCAAATACTCATAACTTTGTTTAATAGATAGCTTAAGTTATAGTAGTTAAGTATAGCAGCTTTTATTTAAGTGGATATGTAGCAAATTAGCCGTCAGTCTTAAGACTAACATGATTATTGATATTTGACACAAAATATACCATAAAAAGAAAAGTCCTTATCTAACCTCTGTCTAATGCTATAATGAATGGAGTATAGTTGTTATTGTTTTGTTAAATATTATATTGAAAAATTCCTAGACCTACTATGGCATAAGTATTTTATTTATAAATACTATTTGGTGGTAATATTATTGTATCCCGTAGCTAAATGCCACTTTTAATAATATCACAGCATTAATTCAATTGATTTCCATAAATTTAATAAACCTCTGTGTTCACTTCCATTATGTTAGTTTCGATTTTCCTCTATACGAATAAAAAAGAAATTTATTCAAACATTATTAACTAATTAAATTTTAACTCGATATTAATCCGAGTTATCAGATCCATAACAACACTGACAATTCTATTCTCTTTAGTATACCGTCATGATTTGACGTTTGGATCCAACAATTTGTGCTGCCATCTAGTGACATAAATTTTTGTAGTTTCTTTATTTTTTAGTTTTTTTAATTCGTTTAATTTTTCTTTTATTTTGTGATCTATATTTTAATATTACCTATATCACTAATAAAAGTAGATCTACTCAAGAACAGATACACATAAACTATAAGGTAAAACGAATATAACTAGTAAAAACCAGTACATTCGCGTTTCCTTCACTACGGGACGTTGGCAAAATTTCTACCATTTCATGGCAGAAAAAGGCCATTTATAAGCATTTATATTAAATAATATATCTTAACTCCTCACAATCAATATAGTCTTAAGATTTCTTTTGTTGTACTCATATATAATAGACGTGTTTAAAGTTTAACGATTTATACTGCTAAGTAGGTAAGGCGAAGGTGCTAAGAATTTCACGCGCTAACAATAGTCACGCGTGTAATTCCAAAACGATTCAACGACCAAATGAACGAACGAAACGAGACCGTGGCCGGCCGCGCGCATTTAACAATGCTCGGAGCATGCTAAGTAGGTAATTATTACGCGCGATCTTATCCTCCTGTGTTTTAATAAAGCTTACTAAGTCAATATTTTAGAATAGAAGGTACTTTATTTGTTGATCATGTGTTATTATGTGTATCTTTAAAGAAGTTTGTGTATGTAAATACATTATAAAAGGTTGTTTAATTCAATTCGGAGTAAAAAATGTAAATAAAATATATGATAGCAAATGTACGTAGTAGATTCTTGTACATAAAATCAATGAACTTTTTTATATGCCTCTAATTGAATTGTAGACAGTCCAAATATGAGAATGAGTATGAGTTTATCGATTTTCTTTTAATTTAGGAAGTGCAGCTATAATTAATTCGAACTATTTAGACTAAATAATAATGAGTTATTTTTTAATATTACACGTAATCTGGTTAACGTATAACATAAAACAATATCGTGTTACAAGGTTTAGCGTGCTACAAAACTTAACGAATCATCATCATCACGCACCCTTACGCTTCTTTGAATTAACGCGTTAATAAATTAGCGCCTTCATTAGCACGTTAAAAAATATCATTAGTCTTTAGCGCGGTAATGATTTTTAGTAGTTTTGAACACCTCTGTCACACACAACGCAAAAAGAGTTTTCTATTTGACTATATAGTTTATAGTGATTTCACAGACCAATAAGAGAAGTTAGTTAGTGATTTGTCGTTTCTAGTAGCCGATCTTGATAGAATATATTTGTTGCAATATCCTATTAATCGTAATTGTTCAGGATGCCGAAGAAAAAAACAGGACAGCGTAAAAAAGCAGAGAAACAGAAATTGAGACAGAAAGAAATTCGTAATGCTCGTGGTCACGCAGATCTGGCGCAGCACCCTTGCAATCTTCCGATGGAGTGTGATAAATGTCAGAAGTAAGTGTAGTTACAGTTTACATATTTACAGCGTGTCTTATGTTTGTGTCTTAGATACTTTTCTAAAATTTCAAACCTTATCAAATTAAAAATCTTATAGTAAACTGTATAAAAATTTTATGATTTGTTTGCAGGAAGCAAAAGAGTCGTGCGTTTTGCTACTTTTGTTCAGCAGTGCAGCGGCTGCCAGCATGTGCGGCATGTGGCAAGGTGAAGTGTATGGCTAAAACTGGCGACTGCGTGGTGCGACATCCCGGCACTTTCACCACAGGCCTTGCTATGGTGGTGAGGGACAATAGTACTTATTGAAATTACAATTTAACCCTTGATTTAATTATCAATTATAGGATTAAATTGTAGTTTTGTTAATCATTATTATTTTATTGGGGAATTTGCTTATTCACTGGAGCCACTAATAATAATTAGTCATGCAGAACCTAATATTATTTACTACAGAAGAAACGCATATATCATTGCCATCTAGTATTGGGACTAGTTTTGTATCCAGCCATATACCAGATAGTATAGTTCAATGTACTCTCACTATTTTTCACAATGAAAATCGTACCACAAAAGGTTACGGACACATTTTTGAATGCAGTAAGAAAATTGTATTTTTTTGTGGATTAGTTCCCAAAATGAAAAAGTGGCATATTTTGATGAATGTATATAAAATTATTTGCATTTCTTGGGAAGAGGTTCATACATATATCAGACCAGCTTCTAAAAAAGTTTTTGCTATTAACAGATCTATCAGTTGACACTTAGATAAATTCATTATAAATATAGTACAGTAAAATCTATCTCAATTAGTGGTTGGTTAAAGTAAAACAAACTTTATTGTGATAATCACTTATTTGAAGATAATATTTTATATACAAGTAGTTATTATATATTTAGAATGAGTGAATGGATGATATAATTAGTAATAATACCCAATATAAGAATATAATATGTTTATGTTGAAATATAATTTAGTGTAATTGAAAATTAATATTTATTTATAAATTACAATCATGAAAACTAGTGGTCCTCCATTCTATTATTGTTGTGGCCGACAGGGTGCTAACTACTAAGTAAGACTAACTAAACTATGTAACATATTATATATTACCTGTGGATACAATAAACATATTGAGCAGTGTTTGTAATTATCCAAAATGTATATTTTTTTATCTGTGCAAAAATAACCTCAAAATTTAAGAGTTTCTAACCTATCACATGACCTACGGGATAAAAATCTCATAATCGTAATAAACTAAAACAGTTAATAATAATAAATAAACAAAAAAAATCATAATCGTAATAAACTAAAACAGTTACAGTCAAATACATTGCTTACTCTCATATCTCCACATAGCTTTATCATTTTCTATAGATGATGCTATGGCTATCTGAATCGTGGCATATTTTGTCTTTATATAATTATTTTAGTATTAAGAATCTATTATGAAAGTTGAAACTTAACCCACTTGCGTTATTGGTGTGTATGAGAGCTTCCTGTATTGGATCATACGGACCATAAACACCCACCCAGTCACGAATTAGCAGTTTGTTGTTATCTTTGATTAGACCTGTACATGTATTGATTACAGATTCTAACAAGGAGATTTTAAGTTGTATACAATATTTAATTTGTTTTACTCCTAATCCTACCAATTGATTTTGATATTGCTGATGAATTAGTTGGCTGACCTTTGTTTAGGCGTATTATATAACGTTGCGCCGCTTATTATATAATTGATTGGCTCCATTCGATCAAAAGGCTAGCTGCCCAATTGGTCGGCTGATTAATTTTGAAGCATGATTTAAGACTTTCTCCTATTATTATATTTTGTTTTGGGAGCGAGTATAAGTTGTCTATGGGAAGGAAATATTTTATATTTGCATATTAATTTAAGGCAAGGATTTGTTAAACTTACTAATATTATCTTGATGTCCCACATAAAATAATTTTTCAAAATAAATGGAAAGATTGTACAGGTTATATATTTACATGGTCCCAGGGTGCGATTTGTGACTTCTGTGAGGCATGGGTGTGTCACGGACGTAAGTGCCTCACTACTCATGCTTGCTCCTGCCCACTCATCGATGCTGTCTGTCTGGAGTGTGAACGAGGTCAGAACTTATTTTGTTCAAACATAAAATTCTATGCTTCAAAGCCTTCTCATTGTGGTCGTGCAATGGAACTTTTAAGAATTAATAGCAAAATGGGGATGATGCCTAAGTAAATAAAAAGAAACTCAATTTGCCCATCAGTCAGACAACAGAAAAATATTTCATTTTATTAAATGTCACAAGAAATGGCATAGTTGATGCATTGAACCTGAGGAGTGGAGGCTTCCTACATCATCGCCCTAATTTATTGGTCACTAGCTGCACTTCCCGTGCGTAAATTATGCCTATTCAAAACAAACAATCAAATCTTTCCTCTTAATTATAATACTTATACTAATATTTTAGTATAGATGGATAATATGTGTTTAATATCCTTCCACAATCTTTCAAATGGACAAAAAATGGCATCATCCCTAGTGCTAGTTCCTATAGTTTTAACCGTTTCGAAATATTTAGTATAAAAGTCGCGGTGCACGCACGCCGATGATCAGTCACACTTCCTATTAAAATAAATATTCTATCTACAGCACGTCAGGTTGTACAGAACTGTCTAATTTCTACACTAGTTTTTAAACCTTAATATATTTAGGGTAGCTCCAGGGCCGTCTTTACCCGGGAGTGCAAGGGATGCGGTGCACCTGCGGGGTGCCTGTCGGGCGCTAAATATTTAGACATTTCATGGAACTTAATATCATTACACAGTTTCACATACTTGTTACGATACATACGTATGTGCAAATTTTTATTACACTTTCGGCGCTCGTCATACCTTTCATAATGTGCAAGCTAAAATGACTCTTATTACTACACAAATAACAATTTTATTTAATACAACACGCGCGTGGCAAATTGCTCCCTGTGACATAGCCGTCCGGTCATTTGAATTTGCAGCGCGGCGCGCGGTGCCTGTGTCAGTGTCGGTCAGTGATTGATCTCATTACTTCTTTTTAAGTAATCGAATTCGTTAGCTCATTTCATTTGCGAGAACCGACGAATTATCATGAAAAATAGTAGATAAATTCATTAGTTTATTGAGATATTTTGCAATTATCTTCAGTCAACCATGACCCAAGACAGACTGACAAACTTGGCTATAATAAGAATGGAATCCAAAATTGATATAAAAATAAATGATTTAATTAAAATCTTTGCAAACTCAAAAGCAAGAAAAAATTAGTTTGTTTGATGTATGTATATCTATATACAACAAAAATAAATATATATTATGAAATTGAAGTGCTGGTGTTCTTCGCCGTTACCATCGCTGTTAATTGTAAATACCTCATAGTTTAATTGATTTCTCAACTTAGGTTCCTTCTTTGCTTTGTTTTTGCCTCATGTTCTTTTTAATGTTAAAAGTATATTTTTTATTTGATATGTAAGTAAAATGTGATTTATCAATAAAATTTTAATTAGATGCAAAAACGCGACTATTTGATATGTGACTCGATAGTACAAACTGACAGCTATATATATCATTTTGAAAAAAAAATATCCATTAATTTAAATCGATCCGAATTTGGTATATTTAAAGTTATATTATAATTAGACAACTAGTCTATCTATACTAATATTATAGAGCTGAAGAGTTTGTTTATTTGAACTCGTTTTTTTCAGGAACTACTGGTTTGAATTGAAAAAATATTTTTGTGTTGAATAGACCATTTATCGAGGAAGGCTTTAGGCTATATAACATCACGTTGCAACTATTAGAAGGGAAGAAATAATGGAAAACGCGGACGAAGTCGCTGATGGCCACTAGTTATATTATTTTTTTTTATGGGTAGGGGGCAGATGAACAGACGGATCACCTGATGGTAAGTGATTACCGTCGCCCATGGACACCTGCAACACCAGAGGAGCTACAAGCGCGCTGCCTATTTATGCGCTGCGGCCTTTGAGGGACGAATATGCTCTACGCTTGAAAGTTTGAAGATCGTATCGGTCCGGAAATACTGCTGTCGACAAGTTTGACTGGGCGAGACAGGAAACTTCTATAAAAACGCACAGTTGAGGATTTCTAACCATCCAAATGACGGGTGTGGATTTCTTGTCGCGTGGAACCATGGCGGAAGGTAGCGGCAGGTATGAGTCCGAACAATTCCTCGGAGCATTCCCCGTAATAGATGCGATAGAAGATGCACAATGAAGCAACATCTCTACGGATCACCAGTGGATCAAGCCGACTTGAAGTGTCCCGGCAATCGATGATTCCGCTGAATGCGGTCTAAAGGGAGAAGCCGCTATTGGGGTGCCCCTGCCCAAAGATGAGAAAAGTACTCCATATGGGGCCGAACTTGCGCCTTGTAAAGCTGCAGGCAATGTGCTGGAGTGAAATACTGCCTCGATCTTATTAAGCACACCAAGCTTCTTAGATGCTAATTTAGCCTTACCCTCTAAGTGAACACGGAACTGGACCTCGCTCGATATGTCGACACAAAGAATCTCAATATTGGCTGAGGCAGTTAGGGGAATGTTTTGAAAGCGAGGTGATTCGACAAATAGGGCTTTTTCGCGGTGAACGCGCAAACACGTGTCTTAGTAGGCTTGAAATGGAACAAATAAAGTTGACCTCAGTTATAGACTTCCTCTAACGAAGAATCAATAACAGACACAAGTTGATTCCGACTCTCAATGAGGCTTTCCCGAAAAATACCCGCACGACTGTTATAGGAGGAGTCCATCGTGCTGTCATCTGCATAACAATGAATACCGCTAATTTGCAGCATGTCATTAATATGTAGAAGAAAAAGTGTAGGCGATAGCACACATCCTTGGGGAACACCAGCATTAATAGACAGTAGGTCTGAGCATTCACCGTCGATTAAAACCTTAATGTTTCTGTCTGCCTAAAAACTAGTGACCCATGCACATAATTTCTCGGGAAGCCTATACGAGGGAAGTTTTGATAGAAGAGCTTTGTGCCAAACTCGATCGAAGGCTTTCGCTATGTCCAAACTTACTGCCAGGGCCTGCCCCTTTGTTTCTATTGCCTTAGCCTAGTTATGTGTCAAGTAAACTAGAAGATCGCCAGCAGGGCGACCACTACGAAATCCGTATTGTTGGTCACTAAGCAACTAGCTAACTCTAGGTACCGAAAAAGCTGGTGGTTTATAATGGACTCCATTATCTTTGAAAGCAAACCATTGAGCTTTGGTGAAACCGGATATCAGGCATAGAGCTCTTGCACCGTGGAATGATGGGCGGTTTTAGACCCCGGTCATCCAAAGTTGAGTTGGTTGCAAAAAAGTTACCCAGGAGATCGGCTTTCTCTTTTGCATCATGGGCTAATGAATATTAGACAACTAGTGGCCACCAGCGACTTCGTCCGCGTTTTACATTATTTCTTCGCTCTTAATAGTTGCAGCGTGATGTTATATACCCTCAAGCCTTCCTCGATAAATGGTCAATTCAACACAAAAATATTTTTTCAATTCGAACCAGTAGTTCCTGAGATAAGCGCGTTCAAACAAACAAACTCTTTTATTTATAATATTATAATATTAGTATAGATGATAAAAATTTGATGATGCAAATTTGTATTAGATGTTTATCCTCTATTTAAATAAATATTAATAAATTTCTTTAAATATCTAATGAATATGAAATGATATAAAAAATTATCAGTGCACCATAATTGACAACTTATTTAACTTAATTTGATGGCATGCGCCAAATGAAATACCTCTTGAGATACAGCATAATTATTGTCCTTTTGTAATTTAGTTCTAAAATTATTCAAAATATAGTATTCGTTACAGAAACTACCGAAGCGAACAAAAAAAAAACAAATTTGTAATAGAAACTGAAAATAAATCTTAATATCCGTATCCTAAATTGAAATAATCACGTGTCTCAGTTTAAAATCATTATTTTACAAACTGGTCAAGTGCGAGTCGGGCTCGTGCACCAAAGGCTCCGTGCCGGATACGAGCAAAAATGTCACGTTTAAATATTTATTTTATTGTTACCATAAAAATGGGAGCCCTAAAAGACTACAATATGAATGTGTGTCGGGCAGGTGTTTGGGAACACGGCGGGCGCGTGTTCCGCTGCTGCTTCTGCCAGGGGTTCCTGTGCGAGGATGATCAGTTTGAACATCAGGCCTCCTGTCAGGTGTTAGAGGCGGAGACTTACAAATGTGAGTACACTATTGTCCGCCATCGATCTCGAGTGTATGCAAGTTTACGACCTGCGCTCCGTATTACTATAGTGTATCATATAAAAAAAATATTGGCATATTATAATTAAACCACTGCGGTCGTTTTCAACCCGAAACATAAATATTTACGCAGCCTGCGACTCGAAACAATTTATTTATTTGATTGTATTGTAAAATAAATAGGACCAACAAACAGTTCGTGGAGTAATATCCCTGAACGCGCTCGATATATTTTGGTGGTGTGGCAGGTCAGTCGTGCAACCGTCTCGGGCAGTACTCGTGCCTGCGCTGCAAGACGTGCTACTGCGAGGAGCACGTGCGGCGAAGGGGTGCGGCGGGGGGCGGGGGCGGGGGAGCGCGGGGCCGAGGCCCCCCTCCCTGCCCGCGCTGCCAGCTGCCCACGCTGCCAGTCACAGACCTCTCGCTCTCCAGTCAGTATACTATATTGTTTACACATTTGTACGCTTTTAATTCATGATATTTTAATAAAACCCCATTGTAATCCTTTGCGTTGTTTAAACATCTCATTAAATTATAATACTCTTTGTTATAGGCTGCCCGATTTATCTTTACTGTGAATGTTTATGTTGCAGCGCGCACGCATCGTTATGGACGTCAGGGCGCCGCGCAACCAGACGACGACGACGGTCACCCATCCGGTCTGTTATACGCAAAAAAATCGTCATTTTTCTTATACTTAGGGTAAGGTGGGGCCAGTGTGACAAAAAAGATAAATCATACTATAAATCTCAAAATATTTATTAAAGGAACTTTCTATAAGTCTTAAAATAATCAATAGTTCTTAAACTATTATTTGACAACGAAAAACAATATCAAAATCACTAGAAGTATTCTACATTGCACATTTTTGAGATCTGTCGATTGTCACAAACTGCCCCGGATCCGGGGTACAATGTGACATACTATGGGGTACTCTGTGACATAACTTATTCTAGGAAAACTTATTTATAATAATAAGATTTATTGTACATTATCCTTCTTTAAAATATTTTTAGGAAAAATATAAATTCAGTTTGTCGTTTTGTACTTTTCAAGCCCAGGTAAAACAATTTCTATATCTTCTATTCCAAATAGCGCCAAATCTGGCCCATGCGGGAAATAAAAACTATAATCAATCTTATTGCATTTACGAAAGTAGCTTACATCGTAAGAATCATCTTCATTGCTTTCCAAGAGGTACCCAATATAATGCTAGTTACTTTTATGAAGTGCTTTATCACTTCTACAAAGAGTTCACTCGTCATCCAACCAGTAGGTTGCGAACGGCCTAGAGTTCCGACAGGTGCATCTTTTATCATAAAAGGTTTGAATGTTTTTCGCGGGAAATCATTGCGAAGGTACGGTAGATCCCGTATCAGACACTTTGCAACAATTCGTTAGGAGAATGCCCGTTCCTCACTGGTGATCTTGTTGAGCTGCTTGGCCCCTTTTGCAGCAAGTATTTTTTTTTTGTTTCAGTTATTGTTCCGTTCACATCCAGGCAAAAAACTCTTCTACCGTTACAGAAACTGACTACGACTCATTACTTCTTGCAAATTATTAAAGAACATGTTGATATTAAGCCTATTTAATGACATTGCCCTTGTCAAACTACATAGTTCTGGTTTTCGTAGCGTCAGATTTGGATTTCTTTTCCTAAAATCATAAAAGCCAATCAATTCGTGACCTTTTCTTGTTACTCCAATTTTTCGGCATGGCTAAGTTTTGATGAACTGCTAACTCGTAAGCAAGTTTTATAAATTCCACTGTATCAAGACCATAATCATTTTAGAACAGGTTATAATATGCTCTTTTAACTTTTCCTCTTGCTCACTAGAAAACACTCTTCTGTTTGCATAATTTAGCATCAGCCATACGTTTTCATCTTCATCAGTCCTATTATCTGTTTTCTTAATGTACCGACTCAATGTCATATCATTAACTTGTTTTTGGTTGGCAGCCTTAAACTTAAACCACTACGGACTAGCGCAATGGCTTCTCGCATATTTTCTGTACCGAACCTGATTCCGAACCATTGTGAATGGGCATCTAGAACAAGAAATAATAATTGTTTATTTCCAGTAACAACAATTTCCTAAATCTGCAAGTAGTATTTAATAACATTGATATTATTAAAATCATACAATAAATAAAATAAGTTTTACTTATACAAGGCATCTGCTGCCAAACTAAGGTGGTTATCACCCTGTCATCTGGTAAGACAGCGCAATTTCCCCAATACTACATAATTAAGATACTATTATTATTTAGGTACTTACAGAGTTACAATTTTTATTAATGTTTTTGTTTAATCTACTTAGAAACTATTTATATCTGCATGCTTGAGTTATTATGTGCGTGTGTGCGTGTGCGTGTGCGTGTGCGTGCGTGCGCGTGTGTGTGTGTGTATTGTTCTTGTTATTTGCATAAATAAAGATTGTATGATTGATATCTATATTCTATTATGAAACTGTAGTAAGTAGCTGCTCTTTCCTATTGTAGTGAAGAGAAAGAAGAAAGATAGTGACTTCTGTCTTGCACTCGTATTTATTCAAGTGGGCAATGGTAAGCAGAAATATTATTCTGCTTATCTTATTATAAACAAAGTTTCCAAGGAACATATAAGAACGTTTAGCGAAACTTGTTCGGCAACCTCTTTTATGTCTGCAAACAATATCCATACAACGTCTCCGAGAGTTTGATTGGTCAAAGTCAATTTCTGCGTGCTTTTTCAATACAGTAAATAATAAAAACAACCCTCTGACGCTAAGTACTTCACAAAACTTCAACAGATGGCTGGTGTGATACAGATATGGTTTAAAATCACAAACCTTCAAACATATCACATTTTTTTTAACATCCCTCCCCAGATAGTTATACCGTAGGTTAGTATTGATTGACACAATACCTTGTAAACTCGTTTAAGATATTACGACATATTCTTGAACCTGTGTAGGTTCAAGAATATGTCGTAATATCTTAAAGGTAGCTATAAGTTTTCTCACCCTGAGACATAGATTCCGAACATGGATTTTATAGGACATATTATAAAATGACACACCAAGGTATTTGATGATTTTTACATAATTACTTCTTTACAGTGACAGTTATCAGCGATTTGTGGGCTGCAAGTATGTGAGCGGAGTTTGCGAAATGGCAGTGAGTCACTTGAATTACTCCGTATTGTGAAAAAAATACATTTGATTTAGTTCGCATTTAGAGTCAAAAAGTTTGAACTCGGGCAAGCATTCACTCGATTTAACCCATTTTGCATAGCCTCACAGATCCCACTCAAATATCTGTCGAAAAACATAAGGACCATGTCATCTGCATAGTTCACAATTTTTCCATTACTGAGATTTAATTGACAGAGCTCGTTGATATACATAACCCTGGGGAACGCTATGTGTTACCAATTACTCGCTGCTAGAGAATCCAAAAATGTTAACGGATTGGTATCTTTTTGAGAGGTAATTCTCTAATAATTTCAATTGGTTGTCACGAATTCCAATTCCCTGCAACTTCTTCAAAAGAATAGGAACAGAGACCGTATCAAAGGCCTTCGCCAGATCCAAAAAATACCTACACATTACCCTCGTCTGGTTTATTAGTAATAAAGTCGGTAACTGCATGCATAGTATCAGATGTCGACCTACCAGATCGAAAGTCAAATTGATTTTTTCAAGGTAATCAACTAGTCGCACATTTATAATCTTTTCAAAAAATTTTGATATTGAGGGCAATATTGAGATAGACCTGTAATCAGTGACACATATCATATATTACTTATTACCTACGTGATGTGTTTATATAAAGGTAAGTTTAACGATATATACCATAAGCAGGTAAATTTGTGACATTGTCACACAGTGCCCCGTCACACTGTACCGCATAGGTTAAAAAAAAAAGCAAACAATCATAGAAAACAAATGCCGGCAAACTGTTTACGCGTATTAGCTTCAAATACATGGCTTTTCAAGAAAAAAAAAATACATTTACTTACTTAAGTCCATCAATTAACACCTTAGAACGAAAACAATACTGGCAGTTTATAAGCAAAAAATAGGCCAAATAAACGTTTTTCTTTAAATTTCTGCAGCGCGCAAATCAGAATCCAATTGACAAGTGTTCCAAGATGGCGTCTGATGCGCTTGTCTGTAATGTGCCTAAGCGATAACGATGACGTAAAAAAAAGACTGAGAGTGTCACACCTTGCCCACCTTACCCTACAGATTTTTATATTACAGCTAAATAATAATAATAATGAATGTGTTGGTTAAGGCGATTACGACGCTGCAGATTACGGTGACTACTCGTACTCGTACGCATACTCGGGCTCCGACGACGGCAGCGACCAGGACGAGGAGCAGGATGACGACGAAGACGACGACGAATCCGGCGAGGATGAAGCGCCATCCGCCGCCCGCGCCCCCGCCCCTGGCCCCGGCCCCGCCCACTAGATACATTTTGCACATCAAAGATAGATCGACCCTTCCTTTTAATATATATGTTGCAATCTACCGTTTTATTTATTTACTTGGTTGATTTCAAGCAAAGTATTCTTGGTCAAAATCATGGCCCCTTTTTACTCGACTACGACGAAGCGAAAAGGGTTATAATTTTGGCCGATATATATAAATGAATGATTTATTTATTTTCCACATACCTCAATGATACATATGACTAAGAACTTAATGAACTAACTTAGGTGTAGAGTACATTATTTAGCTTGATGTGGAATTTGGCAGTGCATAACCACTACCCAAACTGGGATAACCTTTACCTCAGGTAGCGGCTCCCACTTAAAAAAACAATACAAAAACATTAACTTTTCTTACGATGCCAATGCAACGTGTAACATGTTAATGTATCGGTATTTTGATGTAAAACGATATTTTGATCTGCTATAAGTAAGTACTGGAAACGAAAAGGTTATTTAGCTACTTTTACAATGAGAAAGTATTTTAAAAAACGAAAGCACCAAAAAAGCTCCGCCACTAGATGGCGACTCTAGCAAAAGTTGATTTTTGCAGGAAACGATTGGATCAGAGACAGTCATTTCCGTTCCTTTTAACTATATACGAATATACGAATGAGCACTTTGCTAAAATAAGTAATTAAGATGCTTTATAAATTTACTTTGTATGCGTTCAAGACGATTAATGTGCAGAGCATAACAAGCCCAGATAGCAATTTAAACTTGTTTCTGACTTGCAACAAGTTTGATACATCAAAAAAGAAAACTTGCTTCAAGGTTGCCATGACTATTGCAGCAACTTAAAATCAAACTTTCTAGTTTCAGTGTGACAAACTTGCACAACCTTTGACGTATCGAAGGTAGTGCAAGTGTACTTAGGAAAATTATTATAACTACTACCAACCATAGTAGTTTTTATTAACATTTTGATCATTCAAAACTTTTGGTCTAATCGCTTTTTCTACCAAAAGTTTCTACAAAATCAACTTTAAACTCACACAACAGCACAAAGCTTAGCCTAAGAGCTAAAGTAATTAACTGGAACGGTTGGTTTCGAATCCCATATTAAGATCACGTTAAACGGCAAATTAGTTATACGATCTAACAATATAAACCGATACCGCGATGCATGAAATGAACAGCGCCATCTAGTTTGCAGCCTTAGAACTATTCGGGCACCTATGAAGATGATGGGTGTGTTACAAATAAGTATCATTGTTAACAATATTCAAACAATATTGTAGCAAACTTGAAATTTCATATTTAACATAAAAATATTGCAGCGACATTGTCACAAACTTGCTTCGTATATTTGACGCAGCAATTTAGAATCAAAGAAAATTTGCCACAAGCTAGCATACTAGCTGGGTGGCAATGAAACTTATTGTGGGCGATAATTACGTATGGGCCACTCATTATCGCTGTTAATCTAATGTCGAACTAGGTCAGTCCTTTCTAGGGCATCATCACTTGTCGATAAAACATCAACATACTGGACCAACATCTTCTTCGCAATGTTACCCAGATAGCATGCTAACTTGGAGCAAGTTTGATTTTTCTTTGATTCTAAATTGCTGCGTCAAATATAAGAGGTAAGTTTGTTAAAATATCGCTGCAATATTGTTATGTTAAATATGAAGTTTCAAGTTTGCGACAATATTGTTTGAATATAGTTATGACTAAAATACTTATATGTTACACACCCATCATCTTCATAGGTGCCCGAATAGTTTTAAGTCTGCAAACTAGATGGCGCTGTTCATTTAATGCATCGCGGTATCAGTTTATATTGTTAAATTGTATAAATAACTAGCTTTTGCCTGCGACTTCGTCCGCGTGGTAAAGTTACTTTCAGCAGCCTTTTATTCGTTATAATATAATGAATAAATATTCGTTAGAAATACGAATATTTATTAATTATATCGTGTTAAAATACCTGAAAAAAAGGAAAAACAGAAAAACTCAATTTATACTGATTCGAATACCTAGCTTGGGTAACCGAGTACCTGGAATACAGGTATCGAGGCAAATATTACTTTAAGTTTTTATAAAACTTTTGGTCCAAAACGGATTGCGACTTGAAACTCAGACCACAGCACAGAGCCAAGCCTAAGAGCCAAAGTAATTAACTGGATTGGTTGGTTTCGAATCCCATACTAAGATCACATAATGTTAGTTAAAAGGAACGGAAATGACTATCTTTGGTCCATTCGTTTCCTGCAAAAATCAACTTTTGCTAGAGTCGCCATCTAGTGGAGGTGCTTTTTTAGTGCTTTCGTTTTTTTAAAATACTTTCTCATTATTAAGGAAATTCTGTAAAACCATTATTATATGACTTCGATTATTACCGTTTTTTTTAATGACTCATAACCATTTATAACGAAGTTATTAACAAAAAAATATATTCAAATCTTCTTCTTTTATTAATAGCTTATCTGCGCAATTCACACAATTTAGCCAATATCAAGAGGAAATATAAAAATTGTTTGAATGAATTGATTTTTAAAGCAAATCAAACGAGGAATGTATTTTTTTTGTAAATAATTTAATGGAATAAAACGTATTTAAGCTATCGTTATGACTAAGTCGATCCAATAATAGATATCGATTAACAATGATGATTTTTTAATCGATAAATTGTTTAGTTCTATTATCAAGTTCAACTGACATCCCTAGTTTGTGACAGCTGCGCAATCAAATCTTGAGCTATTGCTTGGCCAGACTACGAAAATACTGGCTTTTGATTTCGATTTATACATAGTTTATAAGGTGCCCTGTGTATTGATTCTTATAAAAAAAAACCATCCCTGCAAGGGCCACTGCTTGGAGACGAATGAGAATGTCCTCGGTGAAGGACAGTCGGTGAAAGTGTGTGTTGTGATCTTGGGCGCGCGAGTGGGTGACTATGGGCGTGGGCCTGCAGCCGCTCGAGTTCACAGAGTGCCTGGCGGACAGTCCCCAGTTCCGCGAGAATCTACAGCGACACGAGAAGGAACTCGAGCGTACAAGCCAGCAGATCAAACGTCTCATTAAAGAAGTCAAGGATGTTGTTCAGGCGGCCAGACGTAAGTTCACCCACTTTTAGGCGTTATTCGTTTACTCCAAAAAAATCGTACATTTCCTATGAAAGAAACTGTTTGAACATGGTAGTGGTTTATTGTGTTTAATGGCTATTATTTGCCATCCAGGTTTTTTACCTGATTATACATATTTAGCTTTTATCAAAGAGTTCAAATATTGTTCCTCGATCATTTCATTCTGTCTAGTATTATTTGTTTTGACCATTATTCATTTTCGTGTTTACCAATTTTATTGAAGATTTATTACATAAAGTACCTATATCACTTTTGAAAACATAAGTTTCTTTGTTATTAGCTTAAAAAAAGAGAAACAAAATAGATAATGAAGTAAAATATGCATATATTAAAAAAAAAAGTATTCTTAATGATAATAAATGAGAGTATGCTGGAGGTTTCATATATACAGAGGAACAAACAAATAACATGTACTCATTAGTGGTGCCTTATCAGCAGCACCTACTAATGTATCATACACCAAACACAGACAAAACAGGATATCACCATTCCATGTTTGTATTATATGTATTTCTACCTAAACCTATTATAACATCATAAATGTTTCCTTAATGCCAATAGTTATCAAATTTCCTTTATACCTTATTTTATTTAGTGGACAATATGATTATTAACTATCTTCAAACAAATTTGTTCAAATAAGCATAAAAGTGTTCCAGTTATCTGCTATAAGTGATTAGATTATCTGATAATGAGTGTAGTAACTTGCTGCTGGCTGTCAGTTGGGCCAATACTGTGTTATCTTCATTATTAGTAATCAGGGCCTTGAGTTATTGTATTACAACATTTTCTTGTAACAATGGTATTATTGTTTCATGCAATCATATGTTGAACACATTAATAAATCATAATATAATAATCTAAGATATATGTTAAAAATTTTTGGTAGAATTATAAAAATTATCTAAATACTATATTTGGTGTTTAGGTTTATTATGTTAGTATTATTTAAAGCAGCACTATATTATACAAACTAACTTTATTTCCACTTGGGAAATAAAGTTTGTACATCAAATTTGCAACTTTACAGGAGATTAAGAAAAACTTAACTTAATTTTTAAAAAAATCCACAAATGAATATGGGCCATATACAATACAACGTAATTTTCATTAATATTAATGTTAAAAAATTTTGCATATTCCTATGTTTTATCATTTAAATTAAAGATATCTATATGTTATTATAAAATATGGCAAGATATACTGCACGTAGAACACAACCACTCTGCCAAGAGTATTACGACTGAGAAGAAGATTTTATTATAAGTATCAGAGTTGTGAACTAATAAAACAAAAGCATATAATGAGCTGAGCACTTTATTCATATGCTTCCCATCTGAGGCTATGTCCATGTGGTCGTATATTATACATATAAACCTTCCTCTTGACTCGAAACTAAACTGCATTAATATCAGTTATGTAGTTGATAAGTTCTTAGAATATAGACAATGGAAAGAGACTTGTATGTTTGATACTATTTATAGATCATTATTAATATGCAGCAGTCTCAATATCTATCTTTTATTTCAGTCATGGTATAAAAGAGAATTGTGAAATGTTATTAATATGAATATGTTAACTGAATCTGGTTGTGTACAGGATTGGGTACAGCACAATTGGCGCTGGCTGCAAGTATGGAGCAATTTGAGTTTGCATGTATTGGAGCTTCTATGACAGAGGATGAGCGAGTCATCAGTCGCTCATTGCATCACTTTGCACACCTCATCCGCACCATTGAAGATGAGCGTGACCGCATGGTGAGGGAACTGTTTTTGTACTTTCTTTAAACATTTTAAAAGTATTTAGTATTACTGATGTTACAAATGTCATTTTTTAAAATGCAAATGCGAATATCTATTACCAACATTCGCGAATGCCAATATTCAGGTTTTTAATTTGTATGTTTTTTGAGATTGCAATAGACAATATGATATGATATAAATATTCTTTATTGTTTATACACACCATTTTCAAGAATCATTATTCATTATATGTTGCATGAGTTTAAATTTAGGTTATTATATTTGATCAGCTTTGCGTTCACAGTTCTATATAGAAAAATATTCTTATTGAAAAATACTTAAAAAATCCCATCCTATGTCCGAGTGCCGGGGACCAAGTGGAATATTTAGGTATTATCTAACATATTACTTACATATATGTATATATATCATCTGAAAGTTTATTACATAATCTATAAAAGATTATATTATGAAAAAGGTTTTGATTAATTGTTAAATATTTGGTTACAATTCATCATCATCAGCCCTTTTACGTCCCCACTGCAAGGGCTCAGGCCTTCCTTATGGATGGTTAAGGAGCATGGGCCATGACCCTTCACGTTGGCCCAATGCGGATTGGCGGGTATAAACGACTGCAAATGCAGCCGGGACCAACGCCTTAACGTGCCTTCCGAAGCACGGAGTAGCTCGAGATAATAATTTTTTGGTCACCCATCCCATGGCCGACCCTTGCGAAAGTTGTTTAATGACTACGATCGCGGGCCGCGGCGCTTATCCACTACGCCACAGGGCTACAATTGAAAGAGTAAAAATACCATTTAAAAAATCAAACCACTTTAAATTATTTTAGTAGCTGGTATTGCCTCCTCTTGTCCTGATGCATGATTGCATTCTATTACTCATCAATCAGGTGAGCTTTGTGATGACTTGTTGTGGTAGGCTATCCATTCTTCAGTAGTCTGGCTTTTAGCTCGGTAATAGATGAAACAAAGGAAATTCTTACTCTAAACTGCCTTTTAAGTTCTTTCCATAGGTACTTTTGATTGATTAAGTTTTGATATCTGGGCTTTGAACTTTTGAGGAGGTAAGTCCAATAATTGCTTCAATATGATTCATGCGCTATGAAGTTTGCAGATATTCAAGTCAGGTCAGACATCTGAATATTAAACTCCATTAGCAATAATAAACAAAACACCGTGTGATAAAGTGAAACAGAATGTGATTATATGATTGTGTTATTTTAACTAACAACTAATAGAAAATTAATTGATACTTTATTTGTCAACCCAACGAAATTATCTCCATATTGATTAAGTTCTGATATTCATATTCTCAAAATGTTAGCATCAATTTTGCGAGTGCGCATATTTAAATATATGCTAATATTAGCGAAAGCGAACATAGTCCTCAGCTGCAGGAGTTGCTCACGTGTAAGAGAGTTGCAGATAAAAATAATACTGAAAGAAATGTATGTTAACTTAATTCGAAATATGTATACTCATAATTATCAATAATTTAACACTTTACACACATGCACGTGCACGTGCACGTGTTCGCCGTTGACTGCCGCAAGATGGCGTTGCTGGTGTCGTGTATTGTCAAATCATATCAATAATCATCATCACCAACTTATGATTGTCTCCACTGCTCGGGCTCAAGCCTTTCCTATGGATGGAATGGAATCAAACAAGGATAATGGGCTATGGTGACCCATCGCGTGAGTCCAGTGAATATTGGAGGGTATTGACCACTGTAGATGCAGTTCTAACGAAGGCTTAACATACATTCCGAAACACGCAGGATCTTGAGATAATAAATGTTTAGTCACCCATCCTATTGGACCGGCCATTGTGAAGGTTGCTTAACCACATCATATCAATATTTGTTTAATTTCGTCAAATTGCAAACATTTATCAATAACAAGACTATGATCATGATAAGAAATAAAAAATGTGAATTATAATATTGCCTATCGAAGTATTGATGTATAAGTTCGGTTGTACTTTTATCAACACCATATAATAGTAGAACGTACTGTGCGCTCGCCGGTGATGAATTGTTTTGACGTCGCATTATTTTAATATTTTTTCAAGAACCTTAAGAATTTATCGGAGATTTCGTTGGCGTCATTGATAGATAAGAGCCAGTTAACAATGTAAGCTAGAATTTTGTCAAATCCATACACAAAACTACTGGAACATACAGCAAGCAATTTGCTGAACACGACAATCAAAGTTGGTACTTTGCATTATCTTGTTTGTTCGTCCATTTATTACAAAGTGAGACTTAAATCTGACTCATAAAATAATACATTTTAATGTTAATAGCAATTGTGAAACCATTCTATTGATATGAATCGTTTCTGCAACGCCGCTTAAACATGTCGCACTCACTTCCCTGAATTTACTATGTTGCGGTAAAACTACTACACTGCTTATATAATATTACTATACTAATAATAAATTGCGTGACACTATTTTTCTGTAGCGTATATCACGCTTGGGTTAGGTAAGGAGCTCCAACTTTCCACACTTTTACACTTGGATGTTAGCCGATTCGTTGTATGACTCTATCCAACCCAACTTCGTCCAGAAGCGCAGAAGCTTGTTTATTAGGGTGTCCACACGTTTCACATAGGTATGAATAAATGAATGAATGAAATATGAAACAAATGAATACAATCAATTAAACTGCACAATTGGCGGCCTTATCACTAAAAAGTAATTTCTTCCAGGCAACTTTTGCGTATAGGAACAAAATTATAATATAAATTTGGGTAGCTTACATAAATATAATTATATTTAGATGCATATAAACTTTTGGGTAGTTAAGGATTAAAGGTAATATAATAGTTAAGGATTAAAGGTGAGTGACAGATAGTGAGTGTGCTTTTTGACTGGGCCTTCAAAAATGTGTACGCTTGTTGCCCGTCTGGTATCCTCTGGCAATGCATCCCAATGTCGGGCAGCCGGGGCTGTGGACGATGTAATGATGAATTGACTGGCCGGCGCGGTGTGCGTGTTGGTGTGCGTGTGAGCGTACGTATGCGATGAGTGCACACAGCGCCTGCTGCCATCGCCGCTGTGTTTGTCAACTTTAGTGTATCGACGACCTTCGTCGTAACAGTTTCCGTTGTTCCGATGACCGAGTGGAGTGACCACTTTTACTGGCACTAGTCGTATACGTGTGTGAGTGTGTCTCATGTGTCGCATATTAATGAGATTGTATAACACGCGCGGGACGGCGGCGGCGGCGAGGTCGCTCCGCAGCGACGCGTATATCACGTGTCGCTGTTTTAACACACAATATATACTCGTGTACCTCCCACTAGGCGTACTAATGCATTTTCTAATACGTTTATCGGTATTTTTCAAACTCATAAAAACCTAGCTTTCTTCCAGCAGTTTCGCCCGCGTGGTCCTGTATTTTGAATCACTCTGCTTGTTGATATAAACTGCATTAAAATTCGTTGTGTAGTTTGAAACATCTCAACGTACAGAAAGCGGGAAGCGACTGTATAGATATATCTTTGAGATTATCACAAACTGTGGTAATCTGTGCGAGACTAACGGACGATAAGACATTCAGGTATCCTATAAGGAATCGTTTCCGTGTACGGAAAAACGAGATATAATTAGTCAGTGAGACGAATAAGGGACATATAATAAGGGACATATAGGGACATATATCTATACCCTGTCGATGGCCCACACGTGACACATGTCGAATGTAAGAGCTTACATGTTGATTACGTAAACAATTAAACAAGTATTAGGAGTCCGATCTTCATTTGACATCAAAATCACTGAGTCTAAAATTAAAAAAAAAGTCACAAAATAATTCTGTATGTATGAATGTATAATATAGATAACAGGAAAACGCGCGCCAGTCAGACCCGCCGTCGTCGGGCGGTGCTTTATTAAATTAAGGATAATGGAATATCGTTTAATGAATGAAATAAGTTTATTTTAAGCACCTTTGAATCGGCCATCATTTGTTCCCTACCACTACACTCCTTTACTTTACTTCCTTTACACTACATATTATTTTGGAAATTTGAAGAAACAAACAGCAGCAGTAGCGGTTAATAGTGAGGGAGGAGGGTGTGTGTGTGTGGGGGGGGGGTTTGCACTGCCCTCGCGCAACGTTGCCGATGTTGTCGAATGAGTCGCTCGCGTCGTCGCTCTGCTGAGACATTAATTATTACACATGACGTCACCGCGCTCGTGACCCGTTCGTTAGTATTAATTCTCGTCATCGGGATCAATAATCTTATAACAGCAACATGTCGATGTGTGCTATTATATAATCTGTTGGCTGATCTCTTAAATGACACGACATTGGAACTATGACGGTTCGGATCGTGCTCTGTGCGGAAGTTCATAAGTTTACATACAAACAATTTTAATTAATTTCTTTTCTCTGGTCTCCTTAGCATCTATGTGCGATTGTTTGTAGTGTCTATGTCACCGGCAATTTGTATAATTCAGGTATTCTGTACAATATCCGCATATGAAAAGCTGCGATTTTTGAGCCGCAAGTGCTTTATTTAATATTTGATCTTTTAAATCAAAAGTGTAAAACAAAAATTTTGTTATTTAGTATTTTTTTATTTATTATGCGAGTGAGAATTTCCAGTAACGTATAGAGAAAAAACCCGATATTTCTAGTAAGTAAGAATGCTACTTCGGGCCAATGTTGCTAGCGTCACATCGGGTTGGTTCATTTTCTAGCGGCGAGTGAATACTCAATACTCAAACTAACAATAAATATTATAAATATCAATCGATATATATCTCTGACAATATATATATATAATACCAGAGCACGCGAGCGAAGTTGCTGGCGGAAAGATATTTGGTTATTATAATTCATCTCAGGATCGGCGGATATTTGTTTCGAACGGTCCGGAGGCGCGATTTGCGAACATAATATTTCGACAAAAGTGTTATATAATTTAAAATGTAATAGGTCACGGTATACCGTGTGCAGCAATAAGTATACACATCAATCGTCATTATTTATTTTTTGTTACTCTATGACATCACGTGACGTGGTGTTCGTACGATACATCTCGTATGCTCTCGTATACCAGCCTCATATTTTGATTCACAGCTCTACTGTAATGTTTAAGTTTATAATATTTTATATGATTGTTGAAGTAACGTTATTTACGTAACGGACAGTCGATTTTTTAAACGTCTGTAAGAAAAAATGTTATAATTAATATCGTGAATGCAGAATATATAAATTGTGATAGTGCGATTTGTGCATATTTAACTTGTATTATCTGTATGTGTGTATAGTTGGGGCGTGCGCACGAGCAGATCATCCAGCCCCTGGAGCGATTCCGCAAGGAGCACATCGGAGCCGTTAAGGTAACGACATCTGACTTTACTTATCTATTTCTATACGGTAAGCTATTAGAAACATTAATGACCGAAGTGACTCTATTTGTGAGCAGTCTACATTACGCCCTATGGAAAACAAATAATCACGAATTCCTAATGCGGAAACAATATTTACAAAGTATTTAAGTTCATCTTTAGTAACACTAACACTAATATAAGAGTAGGTAACGCTTATGAAGTAACTAAGCATGTTTTACCATGAAATATTGTTATTTAAATAAATAATACCTACACCGTTAGTGCCACGTCATAAGTGAACACTAAACCTATCAGCGAAGAACATAGGAGTATTTCTATCAGAGTATTCAGATCATGGAATGGAAGTTTTTGTGCTAAGAATAGGACTCGTAAACCTATATATGTATATATATACTTGTTCCAAATAAACCTCGTCCAGTTAGATAAGGGACGGTCCTAAGGATGCATTAGTTATTTCGAGTCCCTTAAATTATCGATTATATTAAACGTTGTTCCAATAATGAATAATTGTTGTTTGTATGACACGTAGTGTGTGCCCGCTGGCCGCTAATGTTACTGTATATGATAATATATTGCGATATAATATTCATGCGCCGATACGGAGGTCGGTATCTGTTCACATAAAGTTAAAGATACACAAGCACTTCGGGTTTTATCGCTTTAAGAATTATTTTTCAATGTTTTTCGGAGTATTCTTGTTCCTGACGATCACGTCGATCGTTCTGATTTTATTTTCTCCTCGTGCCTGGTTCCTGCTGGCCTTCGTGCCTTATTGTCCTCGGGGTTTATTTTAAACAAATGCAGTATTCTTATTAGTAACTTTAACTTTAATAAAATTCCATGGCAATGCAGTCTCTCTCAAATATTACGTTGGTTGATAAACGTCGTTTAACTGTTATAGTTATATTTATATACAAATACAAAGATACACACACGGAACAGGCCAACTGGACCTCGTCGTTGTTGTCTATTTTGTTTGTATTAATTGTGTGATACGTGAATGCTGCGAGTGTCGCGAGTCGCCGCGGGCCCGTGCCGCTTTTGGAGGCAATTATCGAGGCGCGACAATTAGCGACATTCATATCCATGCCGCGATACACTCCGCTCGACCGGAACGATACTTATTTAATTTCATATGATCCACCAATCAGTCTGCTGCACGCGTTCCACTGATTGAGTTGCTACCTAACGCCTAGTAATTGTCTTGCATTATATTTTTTTACATGCAAACGCATATAATATGTCTAATGAATTTCTGTACGTTTGTTCGTAATTCAGTTGAAGCGGAACTGACATACAATCTCAGTTATTAAGGTTATCATTTATTCTTTATATCAAGATTGGGTAGGGGAGTTGTAAATCGTTAATTCATGTGATTTAATTTACCTACCGATGGCCCGTTTCTGGTATAATGCGATAAGGCGAGATTCCTGTTGTTACGCGAACACTTGCTTTTCGATAAAGTTTGAAATAATCCTAAAGTAATTGAAAACATATAAATAAATTCAGCATAGGATATAATTAATGTAGTCGTATCGGGTTACCCATTTCCTAATATTGCAGGCAACAAATAGTGTATAAAACGGAACATTTTTGCGACCGGGACATATACGCGAAATACGGGACGCTCCCGTTAAAAAAAGGGCCGTCTGGTCACATCACATACCACGAGCAGAAGCGAGTGAATAGACAATCTAAACGTCAGAGTTACCAATTTCTTCCTAGAAGTACAAAACTATTAAAATTTCAGACAATACAATTTGCGTCCATAGTAGATAATGACTAACTCTAGTACTACTTGTGACGGGAACATGCCGACGTGTTGTCATTGTGTGGGTATCAACGAACAGCCATCACGTGAGCGGTCACTGTCCGCTGTACACTCTACATAATCTTTTTGCTCGTCAGGTGTACTATTAGTTAATTGAATTTTCCACTATATTGTACTACGGTACACTGTTTACAGCATACTAAACCTATGGAGATGCCGTGTTTGACGTACGTAGGGTGACCATATCACGAGATTTTACACATAGCATTATTGTACACAGAGCGTTAGTAGAAAATTTTAAAATTGTAACTTTGTTTGAAAAAAAAAAAAACTCAAGCTACAACATAATCTCAGGATTTAACCATGAAAATCAGGTCTATTCTCCGGACTTTTGATTTTTTGATCTGGTAACCCTAGTCGTGGATCGTCGTCACCGAGCACGACATCTCGCGTGTCGCCCGCTATCGGCGCGGCGGCGGACTACGTCGCCTGCTCACAGGAATCCACTAATTACTAAAATACTAGCTCATTATATGAAAACGTAGAAACTTATACCGAGAAATATACGCCATTAACAGTTGAACATTTCTGTACGAGGACTTTCAGTTTGAATTATATGATTGTCGCACGCTTTATCGATACGCGGTTACATGAAGTGAAACGTACACAATTAACATCCAATAGAATTATTTCACGCCGATCGTTCAGACAATCATCGTGGATCTGGTGCAGGGCTATATACATACATATGTACACGAGTCTCGTATTCCTGCACGCTTCAACGTTATAGGTATACACATCTGGCACATGGACCTAGTCACATCATGGTATTCACTATATAGAATTATTCTTCACAATGATTATTATATTTTCGTCTTTTATATTATTCCTCGCCATTTTTTTATAAACAATAATACTAATCATCTCAGTGTAAGTTTCCATTTACACTTATGTTCGTTTGTAAAAAAAATATTATTATTTTTATCCAGCTGTTCCTACTAAGAGTTGATAAATTGAAATATAATTTTTAATAAATGATAATTAAAAATCATTATTTGTTCACTTGAATATTATATTCCATTCTGAGGTCACCTTTAAAACGACTCCACGATTATTATTATTATTCGATTCTACTATTGCAAATTATAATCACAGCCCAGTGACGGCGCTGTGTGATGTAATTTATATTAACTACTAGCTTTCCGCCGGCGGCTTCGCCCGCGTGATCCCTAGCGATCTGTTTATTTGGGTATCGATTGCTGTATCATAATAACATAGTTTTTCATACATATATTTTTGGTATCTTGAACCGTTTTTGCAGCGCACGCAACGGAAGCCCTCAAGGATGAATAATTTTCCCCGTTTTTTCCACATTTTCCATTCTTCCCTTCTAATAGTTGCAACGTGATGTTATATAGCCTTAAGCCTTCCTCGATAAATGGTCTATTCAACACAAAAATAATATTTCAATTTGAACCAGTAGTTCTTGACATTAGCGCGTTCAAACAAACAAACAAACAAAATCTTCAGCTTTATAATATTAGTATAGATAACCCAATAAATGAAAGTTTAGGTGACGCGCGATTCAATACTTTATCGGTGACAGCTCAGAAGGTTCAACAGTGTTCACATTTTCAAATCCCCCAGAGTGAAGTTGCCAAGGTCTTGTTTCGCAGAATTCGTTTTGAAGACCGTGTTCGCTGTCATAGGATGTTTTGTTAGTGAGACTGTGCATCGTTTACATTGTGCGTTCGTTTGCAGGAAGGCAAGAAGAAGTTCGACAAGAAGACTGCCAAGTTTTGCCAGACGCAGGAGCGCACGCTCTCGCTCTCCACCAAGAAACCGGAGAATGTTTTTCAAGAGGTTTGACAATGACTTACAAAGTTTGTAGCTACATTCGAGTTCGAGAGGCGTATATCCATATTGCAAGGTCTAGCGGACGATGGCACGTGCGAGCGCTGTGGCTCGCCTCTATGGGGGTAGTGATGAATGGGCATACAGGGTGAACCGCATAAGCGGTTGTATATAAATACAAGGGAGGGACTCGTATGTATCTATACATACATACGCGTATGTACGATGGTACGATGCAACACACGCACACGCGCGCATGCGTGCTCATTATCAAATAGTGAGTCGGTAGTCTGTAATGTTTAAATTGGATCGCCCGGCAAACACATCTCCGATGTGGATACACGCTTTTGATATTTATTTTGAATATCTAATTAAAATATGGATATGGAACACGGACCGTAATACGACCTAATCGCGGACGTGTTAAAGTATGGTCAGATTGAGGGTACCCTAAATTGGCGTTTTTGTATGAAAAGGTTGATGCGTGTGGGAGAAGCGAGAGAAGTATGCCAGATATGAGAGATAGGTAACATAGAAAATACTTATTGTATTTTAAAGGGACACGATAAATCATCTAATACACGTAAGAATTAACGTAGCACCTGAAAGCCTATTCTATTTCTACGAAAAGTTTTATATTTTCGAAATGCTCCAAAGAAACCCTTTTTTCGATAATTTATGATGTAGATTCACAGAATCTTGACGGTCAAATGACTGATCTTAACAAAATGTTGGGTGGGCGCAGGCGGACGCGGCGATGGACATGGCGGAGCGCGACTTCTGCCAGGCGTCGCTGGAGTACGTGTTCCAGCTGCAGGCGGTGCAGGAGCGCAAGAAGTTCGAGCTGGTGGAGACGCTGCTCGGGTTCGTGTTCGGCTGGTGGACCTTCCACCACACCGCGCACGACGTGCACGCGGACGCGGAGCCGCGCGTGCGCGACCTGCAGCTGCGCATACAGCGGGTACGGCACACATAACTAATGTCACCAGTTTTTTCGTGTCAAAGCGGGACGCCTGCGAAATTTTGCATATAAATAGAAAAATATCTATACAAATTATACTTTAAAATGTGACTTAATAGTTATGATATCTTACCCTCAATGGCACGCTCTCCACGGGATTTTAGTGATATTTTAATGTAGACGTGTAACTGAGTAGGTATATAAAAGTTCTCTTTGGGGACAGCGGGACGAACAACCTGAAAGCGGAACAGTCCCGCCCAAAGCAGGACGTATGTTCACATTATACATACCATACGTTCACACTCTTGTGATACGGATGTCATTCGCGAATGTGAATGTTCAAATTATTTTTTAACTGGCGCCAGCCATTATTACTTTAAGTTTCTTGCGATTAGATGATTATTAGATGATTAGATAAATTCCACCGACATATATTTCAAATGCTTGCGACCTTTAATTAACACGTAGATAATAGAGGTGGTTCAATTTATTTGCTCCCAAATGTATTTCTTTTCTACATTCTAGGTATAATCTAATTGCTATTTATTATAAATCTGATTCTTAAACTCTATTACCAGTAAATAATACCAAATGATGAAGTGAAGGTTGAGAATGTGATTATGATATTATTTCACTTTCAATTAAATATTTGAAAAATAAGAAATTAATAACATTTAATTTTGTCGACTTAATAAAATTATTTCCGTTTTTTTTCTGTTATTTCGCACAAATTTTGCGAATGTGAATATTGGTAATATCTCTCCTGTGTATATTGTATGTAATATTTTAACAGGTGTTGCAGGTGTAGCTCTAGAGGCTGCCGCTCGGGGACGCCCCCTCTATACACTCGTACGTTCACCCTTCACGGCTCCTCGTACTAATACTAATATTTGATTTACGAGTGGTTTTCTCATAATTAACGATTAAAAATATAAACTGAGCGTGTTTCCTTTCGTAAAGAGTGTGTTATATAGTTTTGGCGGATGTTTTAACAGTAGTGCGCTCCCTTTAACACGACGGAGCCGTTTACTCGTGCGTCCGACAAGTCGTGCCGTGACCTGTAATGACAGGATTATCGTGTCGAGTATGCATCGTTTCACCTGTGAATTATAAAATATCTTGTTGTACATATCATTATCCAGCTTACTATACTAATAGACTGGCTACTAGTTTGAAGTCGCTTTGTTTTCCACCACGATTCGGCACCGATTATGATATCAACTTTAACATATAAATAGCATGGGGTGTGTCAGTGCGCTCGTCGCTCTCATAGAAATCATAAATAATCATATACTCATCATAGCGTTAGCACCACAAATATGATTATTTTGTGTTTATACTTGCACAGCGCAGCCTGTCTCCGTAAATTGATCTAAAATTTGCATTAGAAAAAATTTACAATGATGATCTATACGAATTCGATTAGCGAACGAAGACGAGTGAGCGAATAACGCACAGGGGGGAGCATGGGGTAGGGGGGGGGGTCGTTGGTCAGGTTCATGATGGCTCTGTTTTCAGACGCGGAGCAACTTCGAGGAGACGAGCAAACAAACAGAGTCCCTCATGAAAAAGATGATGGAGGTCCGACAGATGGTGAGATATTATCTATATCTATACTGATATTATAAAACTGAAGAGTTTGTTTGTTTATTTATTTGAACGCTCTAATCTCAGGAACTACTAGTCCGAATTGAAAAATTCTTTTTGCGTTGAATAGACCATTCGTCCGTGCGATATCGGACTGTCACCCTTTCTTGTCGTTAAGTTCGGGGCATATATACGCGTGCTTCAACTTGGACTTACTTTAGATTAGAAATTCGGTCCATCGTCATTTGAGTTGATGGTTACGATTGTTTGTATATGATTCTCACCTTGTCGATAATAATAGAACATTTTACTTGAAATGAATTAATATACTGTCCAAGACACTGATGTTTGATGCTGATAAAATGAGTGCAAGACTAAGTAATTATTGCTAATGAGAAAGTTTTGCCGAGTTGCTACAGTCTGTAACGTACGGTTTGTTACTTATCTATTCTTTTATCTATTTTCTTGGCTTGGTTTCCGACATACCATAATTTGTTTGCTTGTAAGATGTTTGTGAGCGCATCGATGAAATAAACAGCGGGCAGTGATGCGGTGACACTCGGTCCGGTACAAAATAGGAGCGAGAGCTCTCTTAACCATTTTTATGTAATCCGTGGGCTTAATGTCGGCACGTTGCCCTGTACGGAGGCGGCCGCTCACAACCTGCCGCTATTTATGGTGACGACTAATGACTCATTTGAATATCAATCCAATATTACATGTATGTATGTATGTATAATGGCCGAAGCTTACACTGAGCATTTGCAGAGCGCTGCATCGATGTGTAATTTTGTTGTGTTCGTGGCTCCTTCGAGACCAATTTTTTAAATATCTAAATGAGGGTGGCCTTGAACGACCTGTGTCGTCACACACCGGTCAGTTAGATGAACAGATATTCGACGTAGGGGAATGTTACTGTTCGATGTCGTTTATATTTATTTGTTTGTTCGTCAGTACAAGGAGGACGAGGGGATAGAGGAGAGCGGCGGCGTGTCGCGCGCCGGGTACCTGTTCCTCATGGAGAAAAGTGAGTCGCTGCTTATTAATCGATAAATGTTTGATCTCTTTCTAACAGATAGGTTTATTCTGATTTATAAAAAAATTATAAGTGATGCTCGCGATTAAAGATCGATAATTACGGGGACGCGGCCGTTTGGGACATCGGCGCGCCATATTTCTGACGAACGTTCGCAAGCCGGAGGTTTGCGGCTTCCGTCCTCTTTACACGGTTCAGGGGGTGATGATTCGTTTTCGTGTCATCGGTCGATCTTCTCGGGTGTACTGAAGGTTGGCGCGTGTCTGTGCAGAGGCGTTCGGAACGGCTTGGAGTAAACACTACTGCACGTACGAGCGGGCGTCGCGCGTGCTCTCCCTCACGCCCTTCAACCAGATCAACGTGAAGGCGGTGCTGGGCGGCGGCGGGGGCGGGGGCGCTGCGGGCGCGGGCGGGGGCGGCGCGGGCGAGGGCGGGGGTGCGGGGCGCGCGGGCGCCGGGGCGCGGCGGCTGCGCGCGCTCGTGGGGGGCGCCGCCACCGACCAGGTGCCCGTGTGCGGGGCGCGCGCGTGCGCGGACACGCCCGAGCGACGGTTCTGCTGGGAGGCCGTGCCGCAGGTAACCCGCTGCGGTGGGCCGGGGGACGAGACCATTTCCGTTCCATTAGAGATGCTCTAAGTTTTTACTTCGTTCAAATCGATCTTCTGAAATTACATGACGGTGATACGTTCAGAATATTTATGTAATAGTACTGTTATGACCCTACAATTAATCCGTATTATATAACATCTATATATATATATATAAATAAAAATGAATTTCCGTTCGTTAGTCTCGCTAAAATTCGAGAACGGCCGAATCGATTTGACAAATTGTAGTCTTGAAATATTCGTGGACGTCCTGGGAAGGTTTAAACGATGATAAAATATAACAAAATCGCGAGTATCTGAAAACGACAATTTGATTTTCCCATACAAACTGTTCTTAGCTGTCAAACGTTCAGTTGACGATTAATATTTATGGTCGTGTATTGGTCAGTTTACGCAACATTTTTCAATAATAATATGGTTTTTATTAAGAGGTAAGTGATACGAAGTTCACTGGGTCAGCTAGTTATTTAATATAATCGTATTTTTCCTAAATCAAGTGATAGTCTCAATACTGATTCGCGTATTTCTGCTCGTTTGTCATATAATACTTTCATGATGCTGTAATTAATAAAGTTTGTTTAGTAAAAAATGGATAAATCTAAGGATAAAGGATTTTTATGTTGCTCTGCTGTACTTGACACTCCACTGTTATTCTACAGCTAGTTGATGTTTCGTAGCACTGCATTCCCGATGCGCTGATATCTATAAGTCACTGCTCACACCTCACTCGAGTTCTAAGACACTGATAAAGTCCCGACACGCGCGTGCTCCTGGTAATATCGAAGGACCATCTTATGTTCGGGTTTGAACATTAATATAAATGATTGTTAAATGATAGTTTTTCACACTGCACGTATATTGTATAAACTTAAACTGATAATGATAAATGCTAATGAGTTCATCCGATTCCTACGGCGATTGATTTTACACTGAAAATTATTTAAAATATATGTTTCTATGACGTGTTGTAATGCATTCGCAGACGGTGTTCGGTATCATTGCAATGCACCGAACACTGTCGTATTAGTATCACTCATTATCGTGTGGCTTTTTTGCGAGACATCTTTTTACGCTAAAATCCGAACAAGTTTTTATATTGATATCAAGATTACACTGGAGCCATGTTCCGATCACCTCAAGGATATTTAGCGGATCAGTTACGACATGACTACCTTCAAGAATAGCTCTTGTCATATCGGTAGAATGTGATTACATTCGCGCGGTCACAAGAATTATTGTGATTCACACAGGACCATGGTGAAATATATCTGTTAGATTTAAATAACCATTATTCATCACCAGTTAGTATTAACGTCCCCATTAGTGGGATCAGGCCTTCCCTATGGGATGGAATAGATTCAAATTCAATAGCCAGAATGGGCCCTGATCGTGATCGTACATATGTTCGTGCCTAAACTGCAGGATCGAGAGCGCGCACCGCTGACGCTGCAGTCGCTGTCGGAGCGCGACCGCGGGGCGTGGATGCGCGCGCTCGACGCACTGGACCGCTGCGCAGGTACACGCGCACGCGCACGTGCACTTTCTAGGGGAAAAAAATACGATTTTTATTTCTTATGAACCCGAGGTGGTCCCATGTAAAATATATTAAAAAGTATAGTTTTGTTTCATAACAATTTATACTTTTTAGCAAATTATTTAGAATAAATAATATATAGCGTATTTTGCATTTATTCAATTTCACCTACGTAAATTATAATCTTTATGCCTCACATATGATGTAGCTTCCCGTAGGTGATTTTTTGGTTTTCCATTCTATTTCTAGTCATTCTAGTGTCTATTTAATGCAAACAAAGCGTAAAGGAAAATAATTATTTATAAACATTTCTTTTGTAATGTTTCAAATAGAAACGATTTAAAACTTAAAAGTGAGAAATAAAAGTCGACTTGAAAATACCTCCGCCCGATTTCAGCAAAAGTTTATTGAATAATAATGTCGTTTTTAATGTATGTATTATTTTTCATGTATTAAAGTGTTTTGCTTAGAAATTAACTCAATTGAATATGATTCGGCGACGTGCCGGCAGAGGGTGGGCTGGGTGGCGGGCTCGGCTCGGAGGTGGGCGCGGGCGGCGCGGGCGCGGGCGGCGCGGGGGGCGAGGGCGAGGCGTGCGCGCTGGACGCGGCGGGGTTCTCGTTCGTGGGCCGCGTGGTGGCCGAGCTGGAGGCGCGCGGGCTCGAGGAGCAGGGCCTGTACCGCGTGGCGGGCGTGGCGTCGCGCGTGGCCCGGCTGCTGCGCGCGCGCCACCTGCCGCTGCCCGCGCACACGGAGACCAGCACGCTCGCCTCCGCGCTCAAGGCGTACCTGCGCGCGCTGCCCGACCCGCTCCTCACCAGGGACATGCACAAGCGGTTCATCGCCGTCGCCAGTCAGTATACACTCTGTCGGCCGTAGTACTTTATATGTTTTCTTTTATTGACAATTTTTTTACACACCGCGTACAAAACACTCTGGCCATCGAGTCGGGGCCGAGTTGAGGCACAGAGTCGACTTCCTCGCACCTCTTCCTCTTTTTCTTTGTATTTTCTCCGAACTCCTCGAACTGAGCGTTTTTATTACTTCTATTTTATCGTAAGACGACGCCTCCCGCTGGGTTCGTCTGAAATAAAATCGATCGTGTGTCGTGCAGAGTGCGAGCGGCGTTCGGAGCGCGCGGGCGGCGTGCGCGCGCTGGTGGCCGCGCTGCCGCCCGACAACCGGCGCATGCTGCACCTGCTCATGCAGCACCTGCGCAAGTGGGTACACTTACAGTTCTGTATAGGTATAAGTCCAATGTAGCAAGTTTAATGTTGTTTAGTGTGACTCGTCCCTCAATATTGATGATGCCATAACAATAACCCTGTCTAACGTCCATTCACGTTCTGCTGTATATTATTTATTTATGTTGTGATTTGTTTTATATAAAACAAATCATAACGGCTTCGCCCGCGTTGTCCCTAAGGAACTATCTGGGAGTATAGAAAATAATCTATTATCTGAGTCACGTAGTAAGGATTTTTCATTTCTCAAAGTGAAACTATTAATAATGTAAAATATGTATTTTGTTTTTAAAACGAACATATCCCTAAGACATTAAACAAACCTTGTTATATAAATGCGGCGAGCCGAACGACCACCCGGCGCAGCGCCAGTGTGCGCCCCGCACAGGGGCAGGGGTGCGCTTGTGTCATGTGTAATGTGTTGCGTTGTGTACGCAGCGTGTGCGCGAAGAGCGACAAGAACCTGATGACGTCATCGAACCTGGCGGTGTGCTTCGGGCCGACGCTGCTGCGCGCCGAGCGGGAGACGGTCGCCTCCATCATGGAGCTCAAGTTCTACAACGTGATCGTGGAGACGATGCTCGACCATTACCACGAGGTGTTCGAGGCGGCGCCGCCCCCCGCCGGCCCCGCCTCCGCCGCAGCCGCCGCAGCCCCCGCCCCGGCCCCAGCCCCAGCCCCGCAGCCCAACACACACAACGGACTGATCAGGTCAGTACCCATTCCCGTCCAGGGTCGCAGCTGTCGCTACTTCAACATTACGAGTACCGCAAGTTGCCGATGCGCCGGAATTTTGTATGATTGACCCGAAGTGAAGTAGTTCGGAAATTAAAAGTGCACATAGCACAAAATACAATAGATTATAGAAATACTAATGACATTAAAAATGTATGCCATTTTTATATTTTATTAAAAATAAACCTGGGTGTAGATATATTAAATTATTAAATAATGCTGGATTCCAATTTCAAATCTATGTATTGTCTGAAAGTAATTTTTTGTTGACTTATTCGTAAATTCCTCAACTAATGATGGCACTTTACTTGACTATTCACTAAAAGTTTATTCTATTCGTTTTCGTATTTGCGTATGTGTCATATTTAACAAATAATTGCCACTTAAGTCAGTATATGTACTTGACAAAAAACGGTTAGTCATAATCAATATTAATTAAGCACCAATGGATCAACACCAGTAGGTCACACTTTAGAGAGCCAGAAAAAAGTACATTGCAATTACCTAAATCCTATTAATATTATAAAGGCGAAAGTTTGTAAGTATGGATGTATGGATGTTTGTTACTCTTTCACGAAAAAACTACTGGACGGATTTGGATAAAACTTTACAGCAATATAGGTTATACATCAGAATAACACATAGGGTACTTTTTACTGGGAAAACTTCTCACTCCCACGGGATACCGACTTCCACGCGGACGAAGTCGCGGGCGTCCACTAGTTTGACATAAACGAACTTAAGAGGAAAAAATATTTTCAGAGAAATAGTAGTGACACAAAATCATATTTTTTGTTTTACCTTTGTTTCTACTTGGTTTATTTGAATGTTTTCATGAGATCATGGTACCATATCCGCGTCTTGTCACCTAGTATTGTTTTACATTGTACAATTTTCTAATTTTGAAAATTGGAGAGGCTATCAGAGCCACGTTCCTTTAAAGGAAGACCTCTCGCTAGCCAAAATGAACATTATGGAGAAATACGGCGCGAGAAGAAAGTGTTAAAGCTGATTTTTTACACAATTTGATATTTTGCCTTTTGCCTTAAATTTCGAGTTATTGCACTACTAGGGCTGGCGGAATGGTTATCAAGACGCGACGAAGATCTCTCTATTAAGAAAATTATTGCTAATAAGAATATCGAAGGCGTGCAAAGTCTATACTAGCAAAATTAACAGAATATCTGTCCCTAATGCAGACGACGACAGATGCAGATAAACACCCGAAAGTACCATCAGCAACTACTTCCTGTCTCTGTAAACTCTATAGTAGCGTCTAAAAAAATTACTACCTCTCCTTTGGCTTTACAAAGTCTGCCAACGGATGTTTCCGTAAACCGTAGTGGTAAAGGCATAAAAGGTATTTCCGTTATATCGTCGTTGATATGGACAGGGTACAGAGTACTACTAGTGGTCAGACTGACGTGATCGATAGAGCGGGTGAGGGTATATATACTTCGTGGTACTGCAGTTCCTGGTACTACTTTACTGCGTGCCGCCGAGAGAAGGACGCTCATGCATTTGTACTACGTCCAGGAAGGCAATCACTTGCCGGCGGTGCGTATTCTGTACGCATTGTTTAAGAAGTCTGTGAAGTTTCTCTAACGTTATTTATAATGTATTGTAAATGCAATCTACTTATCGACGGCGAAGTTCCCAATACATTTGTAGCTTCCCGTAGGTGAAAGATTTTTTTTAAATCGGTGTAGTAGTATCGGAGCCTATGCAATGCGAACAAATTAATAATAAACAAATCTTACATGTTTATAATATTAGTATATATAAGTTGTGTTTTATTCAAAATGGCGTACCACATTCGCTAATAGTTAGGAATGATAACTATCATGATAACTATACCTTGATAAATGTAAAACACCTCACAAACTATTTTTGTATTTTAGGACTTGTTATTAAAAGGAAATTTTTTACATCCTAGGTCTTGGATGACCCTACAAAAACAAAAAATATATATGGTTCCCCCTTTTTATTAATAAAAATATTCTTTCTAATTATAACACTGTTATAATTTTGCTTCCAAAGTAAGGACAAAATATGACATTATAATATATTCGTCCCGTTTTTTAGATTTTTTGTTGGATCTTAAAGTCAATTCATGACGTTAAACCAAAAAGAATAGAATTGTCAGTGTTGTTATGGATCTGATAACTCGGATTAATATCGAGTTGAAATTTAATTAGTTTGAGTTATGAATTTATTTTTTATTTGTATAGAGGAAAATGGAAACTAACATAATGGAAGTGAGCACAGAGGTTTTTTATTAAATTTATGGAACTCAATTAAGTTAATGCTGTGATATAATTAAAAGTGGCATTTTGCTACAGTGTACAATAATATTACCGCCAAATAGTATTTATAAATAAAATACTTATGCCATAGTAGGTCTAGGGATTTTTCATTATAATATTTAAGAAAAGTTCTGAAAACAATAACAACTGGGCAAGTTAGTTTTATTGATATTAGTTGTTTGTTGAACGTACAACAACAAAACTACATCAAGTCTCAATAATATTTTTATATTATGTATGGTGAATGAATGAATAGGGTTTATTATTCAGCAACAAAAGACATAACGATAAAAAATCCGTTTATTATCTATATACTTACCCGATAAATATATCAAACATACTAGGTATTCGTACAAAATAACATGACTTCTGAAGTGTAACGTGAAAATAACTTGTGTTTTCGAAATTAAGACTTAAAAAAAATTGCGATCAGTTATGAAATATTTTATTCATAATTAAATAATCTTAATAAACATTCAGCAATCGACAAGAAACGTCTGTTCTAAACAAACTGTACGCGTCTTTGTGATTTTGAAATTGAAATGTTATAAGTAACTATATAATTTCAAAATCACAAAGACGCGTACAGTTGTTATACTATTGCTACTGATCTGCATGTCGACGGCGGACTTAGATATTTCGTACGGTGGGTATGTGATTCGTGGTTCTTACAATAATATTGTTAATAATAGATTGAATTCCTACACAACCTACTCTAGAAATCAGTTTTATTGAAATATATTTATTTACTAAGTGCCTAGAGTAGTCGTGCTCTCTTAAAATCACTGCGGCGGTGTCGTGTGCGTTAGGTCGTTACGTTCCCTCAAATATAGTATAGTTGAAATTAATAAAGCAGCATTTTGCTGTTCCGGTTTCTTGCCGATTCTTGACAGTACAAGATCTCCCGCCTTAGTTTTACGAACCATTGACAAAGTTTTCGACTTTCACAAGTACTATGTAACAACCTAGACTGAATTGTTTTTTATATTTATATTAATATCATTCGTTTTGTGGATGCATAATAATACAAGCTGAATTCTGCGCTCCGCTTTTTGTTCTTTATTCCAAACCTGAATTCGGATGAAAGTTACGAGCAACCAATAAGTTGGCGCATCACTAATGTTGATGTATCAACCAAACATCGTTGCTTTACACGTAACATAATAAACAACTTAAACTTACGATAACACAAAACAACAAGATATTATAAGAAACACAAAACGATGTTATATTTATTAATTTTCGATACTCAATTTACTTTAATTACGTCAGAAACAAAAGTTTAATGAATATAATAAACAAAATCCAAACACCGCGAGTGACATCTAGTATGATTTCAAGAACTAATATTTACTTCCTCATTAATTATGCATACCATAGATACCATACATACCTAAACTGTTGATATCATATCAGGTTGGTTGTATTCTGAATATAATAGATTTATTTTAGATTAATTCACCGAGCAGATTTATTGAAAATCAATACATTAACGTCATTTTAAAAAGTTCACAGAGTCTTGGTGCCCATAACTGATGCACAAGATACAATGTCCGAAAAAAAAAACGAGAACACATAACATGTACAAAAATGCACAAGTCTCACAACGCAATTTTTCTGCGTAAAACAGTTATGATATCCACGTAAACCAAGTTCCTTAATTCAGTACTCATATCTTTCTGCGTGAGCAGCTGTGTCACCATGTCATAGATTTAGTAATACGAGATATGTAATAAATATGTATACATCATAAAAGGCGAATTTCCAACATTTACTTAGGATATTTTAGAATATGTATTATTAAGACAGTACACACCCACGGCCCATGGTCCCAGCGGTGCACACCTCAGGCATTGGCCCTCTGGAACGAGTTAATAAATAATATCCGATTTACAAACAACTATTAACATTAGGTTACAAATTGAATTATTCATATGCCAATTAACATCTATTGATCTTTGCTATCATCAAAGAAACTGAGACTCTGTAATCTTTTCACATAGTGTGTGGTGCTGGACCAAAACAAGTCAACATGTTATATGTCACATGATCGTATCACAAAAATGTACGTTTTGTGTTCTGGATATAGAAATGGTCTTTGTCTTGATCGAAGCTGGTTAGTTTTAAAGTTTAATAGAGATAGTAATTCAGAACAGTCGCTCCTTCCGTAGGTGATATCCGCTGTTGCATTAACATAGCACTGTGTGCAATTAAAAAATACATATCATCATCATCATCATCAGCCCTTTTACGTCCCCACTGCAGGGGCTCAGGCCTTCCTTATGGATGGTTAAGGAATAAAAAAAAAAATAAATAATATAAAATAATTATTTCTAGTCGTGTATTACGCCGAGATCTTAAAATATATATATTTATGAATAAAAGTAAAAAAAAAAGAAAACTTGAATTATGGTGCATGTATTGTATATTTAATTGTGAGTAATTATGTGCGTAAATAGCATAGATTCAATTTCTTCATATTATTTTTCATTTAACCAATCAGTGAGGAGCTTATCACAATCGTGATATGTGACATAATTGTATAGTTGAGCCGATCGTATATGATATTATATTATATTGTCGCTGTGCAAAAGTTGATTTACTGATTTTATAGAGGCAACTTGATGCCTTTTACGTTTATTTTGCATTTTTTGTTGAAGGGATGTCTTTAGAATATATGGTTTTCTCACAATGAAGACCTTAGATTCTCTATATATTTTGTCTGTAGGACATCTGTATGGTTTAAAATATATTACTTTTAGTAATGATCTTTCGCTCTTTCAAT